TCCCTCCCTCCTTCCCTCTCCCCCTCTCCTCCCTCCCTCCCCCTCCCTCTCCCTCACTCTCCCCCCTCCCTCCCTTCTTCCCTCTCCCCCCTCCCTCCCTCCTTCCCTCTCCCCCTCCCTCCCTCCCTCTCTCCCCCTCCCCCTCCCTCCGTTCCTCCCTCCCTCTCTCCCTCCCTCCTTCCCTCTCCCCCTCTTCCTCCCTCCCTCCCTCTTTCCCTCTCTCCCTCCCTCCTTCCCTCTCTCCCTCCTTTCCTCTCCCCCTCCCTCCCTCCTTCCCTCCCCCTCGCCCTCCCTCTTTCCCTTTCCCCCTCCCTCCCTCCTTCTCTCTCTCCCTCCATCTCTCTTTTCTCTCTCTCGTTCTCTCTCTCTCCCCCTCCCTCCCTCTTTCTCTGTCTCCCTCTCATTCTCTCATCCTCTCTCTCTCCCCCCCCCCCATCAGGACTCAGTTGAAATTTTGCTAGATCTTCTCACTTCGTTTACTTGATCTCTTAAGCTCTTTTATGGATATTCTGTTTTCCTGCTTCCCCGTGCTGTATTTTGGGTAATTTCTATCACTATTATTTTCCCTCTCAGCAGCATCCTATCTGCTGCCAAATCTGTCCATTGAATTTTTTTTAAGATTTTATTTATTTGTCAGAGAGAAAGAGAGAGTGAGCACAAGCAGAGAGGGAAGCAGGCAGAATGAGAAGCAGTCTCCCCACCAAACAAGGAGCCCAATGTGGGACTTGATCCTAGCACCCTGGGATCATGACAGGAGCCGAAGGCAGATGCTTAACCGACTGAGCCACCCAGGCATCCCTGCCCATTGAATTTTTAAGTTTCATTAGGACTTACCCCATTTTAGAGATTTTATTTGGTTCTATTTCAAATTTCTGGGTCATTTCCCTTAGTTTCTCTCCATATAGTTACTTTATTTTACTTTTTTTAAAGATTTTATTTATTTGACAGAGAAAGACACAGAGAGAGAACACAAGCAGGGGGAGTGGGAGAGGGAGAAGCAGGCTTCCCGCTGAGCAGGGAGCCTGATGCAGGGCTCGATCCCAGGACCCTGGAATCATGACCTGAGCCGAAGGCAGATGCTTAATGACTGAGCCACCCAGGAGCCCCTCCATGTAGTTATTTTAAAGCATGTTTTTCTTCATACATAATAAACATGTTTATTTTCTTTTAAAGAAATCTATAGTGGGTATTTTCGGTAGTCTTTTGTTTGTAATGGTTCTTACAATTTTTGTTTCTTTTGTATAGTACTTCTTTCCTTTGATAATTTTGGGGGTTCCTTGAGGCCTAGGATGAAGGGATTTTTCTTTGGAGAGGATTCATATTTGCTTTTACCTCTAGCACTACCAATTCTGAACCATTTTGAACTGACAATGCTTGAGATTTCTTGGACAACTCTGGTGATGCCAATTTGGGTCATTCTGCTAGAAACCTCCCTCCTTCCCATCATTCTGCCTCTCATTCTGCGTCTCTATGTCTGTCTTTCATTCTGCCTCCCTGTCTGTCTGCCTCTCATTCTCTCTGCCTCTTATTCTGTCTCTCTCTTCTCCTTCCTCAGAATGATACCAAGGCAACTTTCTCCAAAGCCCCGTGGGAGTGGTTGAAGGATAATGGAGCAGCATTCTTTCTACTTCACTCTGGCCCTGAGATGAATCTGTTTGACTATGGGGTTTCTCAGAGTCTCCATCTTGGGCACAACCTGAGCCTTTACTTAAATACCACCCGTTTCCCCACAGCTAACTTTAGTATTAATTGGCAAATTTCTTCAGGAGAAAAGTGCTTTTTGAATTTTTTGCCTACTTCTCTTGACTTTTGTTTTTGATTAAAATTTGACTTGATAATAGCTACTATCTTGCCTAATGAATTTAAAAAGCTTTTTTTCCCTTAAAAGTCAGCATTTGAAGCTATTTCAACAGAGTTTGGTCACAATAAGATGGCCTACCATTACCTAAATCCTTATTTTTATATCCAGAGAAATCACTGCTTTCTACATCTCATTTATCAGCTTTTCATTCATTTCTTGATAGGATATTTGGGTCTCCTGCTTCTAGCTTGAATACGTCAATGGTGACATCTGAGTGTGGCCCCAGTATTCCCTCTCTCTCCAACCTTCCAAAGTGATTTGATTTGTCTAATAATGATTTTTTTCATTATTCTTAAAGTCCAATAAACTTTGTCAAGAAGTGTCTTGGCATTTATTTTGTGTCAGATCTTTCTTAGTCATGTTCTCATTAAAGAAAGCTCTATTTTACCAATATTTTTATTTATTTTATTCTTTATTTCTTCCTCAAGGACAACAAATATACATATATTGGATATCCTTTGTCCCACATCTATACTTTTTCTCCAGTTCTTTATCTTCTGTGCTCTTTTTCATTTCATTTTGCTTAGTTTTTTTTTTTTTTTTTTTTTTAAAGCTTTTATTTATTTGAAAGGCCTGGGTGGCTCAGTTGTTAGGTGTCTGCCTTCGGCTCAGGTCATGGTCCCAGGGTCTTGGGAATGCCCAAAAATTATTTATCAAAGGAAAGAAGTACTATACAAAAGAAGAAACAAAAATTGTAAGAACCATTACAAACAAAAGACTACCGAAAATACCCACTATAGATTTCTTAAAAAGAAAATAAACATGTTTATTATGTATGAAGAAAAACATGCTTTAAAATAACTATATGGAGGGGCGCCTGGGTGGCTCAGTCATTAAGCATCTGCCTTCGGCTCAGGTCATGATCCCAGGTTCCTGGGATCGAGCCCCGCATCGGACTCCCTGCTCAGCGGGAGGCCTGCTTCTCCCTCTCCCACTCCCCCTGCTTGTGTTCTCTCTCTTGCTGTGTCTCTCTCTGTCAAAAATTAATAAATAAAATCTTAAAAAAAAATAAAGATTTTATTTATTTGAGGGAGCGAGCACACAAGCAGGGGGAGCGGCAGGTAGAGGTAGAGGGAGAAGGAGGCTTCCCGCTGAGCAGGGAGCCTGAAATGGGGAGGTGGAGGGGTGGGGTTCAATCCCAGGACCCTGGGATCCTAAGGAAGCTGCTTAACCAACTGAGGCACACAGGTGCCCTGCATTTTGCTTAGTTTTCTACAGTCTGTGCAGGATATCCCTCTTTTCAGCTGTCTGTTGTGTAGTTGCTTCTAATGTGGCTTTCCTTTTTCTTAATGTATTTCTCTTTCATTTCTTTTCTAAGCTCTTTCAGGTCACGTTAAAAATTCTTCAGTTTTATTATCATGTTAAAAAATATTTTTGTATTTTTTTGACCTCTTGTTTCATAATGGCCATATTTAATTTCTTTTACAGGAAATGCATTTTCTCTGTGTTTTGTAACAATTCTTTTGATGTGCAAACAAGAATTTCCTTTGTCTTTTGTTCCTTATACTGTGTCATTTTTTTGGGCAAATGGCTGCATACTTTTTCATAGATTCTGTGCTGGCTCATTTTTTACTATTACTCAATTTAAGGGACCCACTCTAACAGACCAGTTATTTGCTGAAGAGACATGTTGGTGTAGCGGGAGACACCTAGTGTGTGAGCTGGAACATTAGCTTAGGCCTTAAAACTGGGATTCTTGGTCACCGGCACTCTTCTCTCAGGTAGCTGGTTAGCAGGTAGCCTTGAAGATCACAGGTCTCTAGTCAGGTGATTTGAGCTTTATTTTCATCAGCAGCTCCTTAGTTAACTATCACTCACCTTTTGTTTCTTCACCCTCACACATGGATGGGTTGTTAGGGAAATGCTTGAAGAGAAATAGCTAAACTAAACATAAATGATGGTGGGAAAGTTCCTTTACTCCAGAATCTGAATATCCATGTCAATCCTGCACTACAGGACTTTTGGCAAGTCTGAGGAAATTTGAGCACGTGGACTGGCACAAAGATGCTTGTTACTGTTGAGAGCATACTAGCCTCTATTTCTCATCAGAAGCAAATGGGACTTTCCTTGGCCCCTTGGTCAAAAACCTCATTCATTTTTGGGTTAGGAGATATCAAAGCAAACATTGCCTGGGCAAAGTTAACCAGGCAAGGAATACTTGATTAAAGACTATTGCAATAGGGAGAGAAACTGAACTCACCTCAGCTGAAACAAAAGATGGGAGAGTTTATAAGAGCTGGGGTGGGGAACGTGGGGACTGTCATTGGCCATTTGTGTCTGCTAACTGGCCTTGCCCAAAGAATAAGTACATTTTCTCTTATCTTCATGACAGGGAGGAGTTTTATACTTGGAGCAAGGCACCCCCTGAAGTTAGGCTCCTACCTTACCATGGAGATCTTCTCTGATGATTACATTTCAGAGACATCCCAGGTCCTTGAGAAAGGCATTCCCTGGATCTTAAAGCTGGCAAGGGGCTTTTAAGGAGGTTTATATACATTTCAAAGGGAGTAGAGTTAAGAATTTATGGTTAGGTATTCTAAGGTAAATGTTTTATGTTAGCAAAAAGGAAAGGGAGTTCAGGGGTCTATGGATAAGACATCTGTTTAAAATTAAGTCGAACTGAGGGGAGTGTTAAGGCCATCATGGCCAGGGGGTGCTCTCTGGTCAGGGGACTATTGCTCTTCAGCCAAGACACTCTCCCCTCCCTGTCCCCCAGCCCCCTTCACCTTCTCCCCTCCCCCTCCTCTTTCTGACCCAGCTGCTGGATCCTGTATCACTGCTTGGTTCCCAGTGTCCTCCCTGGGCAGAGTGTCAGTGCCCACCCAGAGCCTCTGGGGCTGGGGAGGGGAGGGGAGCAGGGTGTGGGAGCTGTGAAGGAAGTAGAGCTGCCTCCCCCAGTGCAAGGTGGCAGGGGAGGTCTAGGGGGCCCAATCCCTGGAGAAGTGGATTGGGTAGATGAGGAGCTGGGGGCGAAGAAAGCAGTCTGCCTCCAGGGGACTCACAGAGGCTGAAGTGCCCAACCCGAATACACAGTGCGCTTCGTACTGTCCCTGGAGCCTGACTTCATTTGCATTTCTGTGTAACATCCCTGTGCCTTCTTGATGCAGGACCTGTCGATTTCTCTTTGGGCTGTCAGAAGGTGGAGGAGAAGATGGGCTGGCAACAATCTCTGCAAGAATCAGATGTGTCCAAAGTCCGCACCATTTACCTCAATGAACCCCTTAGGAACAGTTTCTGCAAAAACTCAATCAGGTGAGAAGTGTGTGTAGCTGGGAGGAGAGGAAGGAGGAAGATGTGGTCCTCACCTGCAAGAAACAATGGGTGTGGATGCTTCAGGCTAGAACAGTTGTCTCAGGCCTTGAGAAACTTTGAATTCTCAAGTTCACCACCAAGAATAGGCTGTGTTTTCATCTCACGTTCAAGGTTTCTTTCTGAGTTGGCCTCTCCTCTCACTTGTGCCTGTTCATGGCAATACCAAGCAGCACACTGCCATTTGGGAGCTCTCTTTAGTAATACCTACCTATGAGGTAAAGTGCTTTCCAGTGGAATCTCACAGATCTGCTGAATTGTCCACCAATATCCTATATTAGGGAATTGAGCATTTGGCTTCTTTTTTTTTTAATTGAAGTTTAGTTAACATACAGAGTTATATTAATTTCAGGATTACAATATAGTGATTCAACAGTTCTATACATTACTCAGTGCTCATCAAGATAACTGTACTCTTAATCCCCTTTACCTATTTCACCACCCCCCCCATTCACCTCCCTCTGGACAACCACCAGTTCATTCTCTGCATTTGAGTCTGTCTCTTTTTTGTTTCTTTTTGAAATTCCCATATGACTGCAATCATATAGTATTTGTCCTTCTCTGACTGACTTATTTCACTTAGCATTATACCCTCTAGGTTCATCCATGTTGTTGCAAATAGAAAGATTTCATTCTCTTTTACGACTGAGTAATATTCTGTTGTATATATGTGTTACACCTTTACCCATTGAACTATGGTTGGACACTTGGGTTGCTTCCATATCTTGTAAATAATGCTGCAGTAAATATAGGCGTGCATGATCTTTGTGAATTTAGGTTTTCGTTTTCTTTGGATAAATATCCAAAGTGAATTACTAGATCATATGGTAATTATATTTTTAATTTTTCAAGGAACCTCCATAGTGTTTTCCACAGGGGCTGCACCAATCTGCATTCCTACCAACAGTGTGCAAGGGTTCCTTTATCTCCATATCCTTGTTATTTCTTGTTTATATTTATTTATTTATTTTAGCCATTCTGACAGGTGTAAGGTGATATTTCATTGTGATTTTAATTTGCATTTCCCTGATGATTAGTGATGTTGAGCATCTTTTTGTGTATGTGTTGGCCATCTGTATGTCTTCTTTGGAAAAATGTCTAGGTTGTCTGCCCATTTTTAATCAGATTAATTGTGGGGAGGTGTTAAGTTGAATAAGTTCTTTATATATTTTGGATGTTAACCTCTAACTGGATATATCATTTGCAAATATCTTCTCCCACTCAGTAGGGTGCCTGTTTGTTTTGTTTATGGTTTCCTTCACTGTGCAAAAGCTTTTTATTTTAGTGTAGTCCTGATAGTTTAATTTTGCTTTTGTTTCTCTTGCCAGAGAAGACATATCTAGAAAAATATTTCTACATCCAATGCCAAAGAAATAACTGCTTAGGAGTTTTATTATTTCAGATCTCACATTTAGATATTTAATCCATTCTGAGGGTTTGTGTGTGTGTGTGTGTGTGTGTGTGTGTAGTATAAGAAAGTGGTCCAGTTTCATTCTTTTGCATTTAGCTGTCCAGTTTTCCCAGTACCATTTCTTAAAGAAACTCTTTTCCTCATTGTATATTCTTGCCTCCTATGTCATAGCTTAAGTGATTGTATGTGTGGGTTTATTTCTGAGTTCTCTATTCTGTTCTATTAATCTATGTATCTGTTTTTGTGCCAGTACCATACTGTTTTGATTACTATAGGTTTATTGTAAATCTTAATCTGGGACTGTGATATGTCTAGCTTTGTTCTTCTTTCTCAAGATTGCTTTGGCTACTTGGGGTCTTTTGCAGCTTCATACAAATTTGAAGACTATTCTATTTTTTTTTTAAGATTTTATTTATTTATTTGAGAGAGAGAGAGAGAGAATGAGAGAGAGAGAGCACATGAGAAGGGGGAGGGTCAGAGGGAGAAGCAGACTCCCTGCCAAGCAGGGAGCCCGATGCGGGACTCGATCCAGGGACTCCAAGATCATGACCTGAGCCGAAGGCAGTCGCCTAACCAACTGAGCCACCCAGGCGCCCTTGAAGACTATTCTAGTCCTATGAAAAGTGTTGGTATTTTGATAGGTATTGCTTTGGGTAGTATGGACATTTAAAAAATATTGATTCTTCCAAACCATGGGCACGAAATATCTTGCTATTTGTTGGTGTCATCTTCAGTTTTTTTCATCACTGTTTTAGAGTTTTCAGAGTACAGGTCTTTCACCTCCTTGATGATTAAGTTTATTCCTAGGTATTTTATTTTGGTGCAATTGTGAATGGGATTTTTTTTCTTGATTTCTCTTTCTGTAACTTCATAATTAGTGTATAGAAACACAGCAGATTTCTGTATATTAACTTTGAATTCTGCAACTTTACTAAATTCATTTCTCAGTCCTAATAGTCTTTTGGTGGAGCTTTAAGGGTTTTTCATATATCATCATGAAACTGCAACTAGTGACAGCTTTTCTTCTTCCTTATCAATTTGAATACCCCCCCTTTTTTTTTTCGGATTGCTGTGGCTAGGACTTGGCGGTACTATTTTGAATAAAATTGGTGAGAGTTGACACCCTTTTCTTGTTTTTGATCTTCGAGGAAAAGCTCTCAGTTTTTCACTGTTGAGTGTAGTGTTAGCTGTGGGTTTTTCATATAAAACCTTTAGTATGTTGAGGTATGTTTCCTCCAAACCTATTTTGTTGAGAGTTTTTATTAAGAATGGATGTTATATTTTGTCAATTGCTTTTTCTGCACCTATTAGGATGATCATATGTTTTTATCCTTTTTCTTATTGATATGATATATCACACTAATTGATTTGCAAATATTGAACCACATTTGCATCTCTGGAATAAATCTTACTTGATCCTGGTGAATGATTCTTTTAATGTATTGTTGGATTCAGTTTGGTACTATTTTGTTGAGGATTTTTGAATCTATTCTCATCAGGGATATTGGCCTGTCATTTTCTTTTTTGCAGTGTCTTTATTTGGTTTTGGTATTAGGGTAATGCTGGCCTTGTAGAATGAATTTGGAAGTTTTCCTTCCTCCTCTTCTTCTTCTTCTTTCTTTTCTTTTCTTTTCTTTTTTTTTTTTTTGGAATAGTTTGAGAAGACTCTTTTTCAAAAGTTTGGCAGAATTCACCCGTGGAACTATCTGGTCCTGGACTTTTGTTTGGAGTTTCTTGGTTACCAGTTCAATTTCAATATTAGCAATCTGTGTGTTCAAATTTTCTATTTCTTCCTGCTTCAGTTTTGGAATATTGTATGTTTTTAGAAATTTATCCATTTCTTTAGGTTGTCCAATTTTTGGCATGTAATTTTTTCATAATATTCTCTTATAATCCTTTGTATTTCTGTGATGTTGGTTATTTCTCCTCCTTCATTTCTGATTTTATTTGAGTCATTTTTTCCTTGATGACTCTGGTTAGAATTTATCGATTTTTATCTTTTTTAAAGAACCATTCTTCGTTTCATTTGTTTTTTCTAATGTTCTAGTCTCATTTTATTTATTTCTAATCTAATCTGTATTGTCTCCTTCTACTAGCTTTGGACTTCATTCATCTTTTTCTAGCTCCTTTGGGTGTAAGGTTAGGTTGTTGGAGATTTTTTTTTTAATTTCTTGAAGTAGGCCTATATCACTATAAACTTCCTTCCTTAGGTTTTACTGTGTCCCAAAGATTTTGGACCACTGTGTTTCCAATTTCATTTGTCTCCATGTATTTTTTGATTTCTTCATTGATTAGGTGCATGTTATTTAGTTTCCATGTGCTTGTGTTTGCTTTTTTTTTTTTTTTTAAGATTTTATTTATTTATTTGACAGAGAGTGAGCACGAGTGGGGAGGAGGGGGAGAGGGTGAAGCAGGCTCCCTGCTGAGCAGGGAGTCAGACAAGGGGCTCAGTCCCAGGACCCTGGGATCATGACCTAAGCCGAAGGCAGAAGAGTAACCGACTGAGCCACCCAGACACCCCATGTTTGTGTTTTTTACAGTTTTTTTTTTTTTGTAAGTGATTTCTAGCTTCATATCATTTTGGTCAGAAAAGATGCTTGATACTTTTATTTGCAAATATTAGCATTTTGCCACATTTGTCTTATTATTCCTTCTCTCTCATACATATATAATTTTTTCTCTAGTCTCTTTCTCATACACACACACATACATATATATCACACATTTTTTTCTGAACACTTTGAGATTGGATTGCAAATACGCCTATTTACATCAGTGTGTATTTCCTGAAAATAAGACCATTTTCCCTTATAGACATAGTATAATTATAAAAATCAAGACAGTAACATCAATTTGATAATTATTATCTAATCTATAGACTTTATTCAAATTTTACTAATTACTCTACTAATGTCTTTTTTTATGTTATGTTAATCACCATACATTACATCATTAGTTTTTGATGTAGTGTCCCATGATTCATTGTTTGCCTATAACACCGAGTGCTCCATTCAGTATGTGCCCTCTTTAATACCCATCACCAGGCTAACCCATCCCCCATCCCCCCACCCCCCCCCAGAACTCTCAGTTTGTTTCTCAGAGTCCATAGTCTCTCATGGTTTGTCTCCCCCTCCGATTTCCCCAATCTTCTAAATTTACAAAGACTTGTTTTATGGCCTAACATATGATTTACTCTAGAGAATGTTCTATGTGCACTCGAGAAGAATGTGTATTCTGCTGTTTTGGATGGAATATCCTGTTTATATCTATTAGGTCCTTCTGGTCTAATCTGGTTCACAGCTACTGTTTCCTTGATTTTCTCTCTGGATCATCCATCCATTGATGTAAGTGGAGTGTTGAAGTCCTTTACTATTAGCTGTATCACTGTCAGTTTCTTCCTTTATTACTGTTAATGTTTGCTTTTTGTGTTTAGGTGCTCCTAGGTTGAGTGCATAGATATTTATAATTATTATATCCTCTTGTTGGATTAATCCCTTTATCATTGTGTAGTGTATTGTCTCTTGCTATAGTCTTTGTTTTAAGGTCTATTTAGTCTAAGTATTGCTACCCCAGCTTTTTTTTTTTTTTTTTTTTAAGCTCCCATTTGCTTGGTATGTTTTTTCATCTCTTCACTTTCTGGTCTTTAGGTCTGGAGTGAGTAACTTATAAGCAGCTTATGGATTATGTTTGTTTATTATTGTTTGTTTTTATCTATTCAGTACCCTATGTATTTTGATTTGAGCATTTAGTCCATTTACATTTAATTATTGATAGGTATTTACTTCCTGTCATTTTTCCCCAATTGTTTCTGGTTGTTTTCTGTTCTTCCCTGTTCCTTTCTTTTCTTGCTGTTTTTCTTTGTGGTTTGATGGCTTTCTTTAGTGTTATGCTTGGATTTCTTTCTCTTTATTTTTTGTGTAACTATTATAGGTTTTTGATCTATGGTTACCATCAGGATCATCTATATGAAATCTTATGTATTTAGCACTCTATGTTAAGTTGATAGTCACTTAAGTTCAAACACATTTTAAAAGCACTAAATTTTTACTTCCCTCTCTGTTTTATTATATGATGTCATATTTTATGTCTTTTTATTTTGACCAGTTTTTTTGGAAGGTAATTTTACTACTTTTGTCTCCTTTTTTTTTTTTTTTATAAAGTATGTATTTATTTATTTTATTTATTTATTTGAGAGAGAGAATGAGATAGAGCATGAGGGGGGGAGGGTCCGAGGGAGAAGCAGACTCCCTGCTGAGCAGGGACCCCGATGCGGGACTTGATCCCGGGACTCCAGGATCATGACCCGAGCCGAAGGCAGTTGCTTAACCAACTGAGCCACCCAGTCATCCCCTTTTGTCTCTTTTTAATAAAGATTTTATTTATTTGAGAGATAGAGATAAAGAGGAAGCACAAGCAGGGGGAGGGGCAGAGGGAGAGAGAGAGAGAGAGAGAGAAGGAGAAGCAGACTCCCCAGAGCCTGACGTGGGGCTCAATACCAGGACCCTGAGATCATGACCTGAGTCGAAGTCCAATGCTTAACCAACTCTACTCAGAAAAAGCCAGCCCTTACGAATGTGGATTTGACCCCATAGGATCAGCACGCTTACCCTTCTCGAGCCACCCAGGCGCCCCATTACTTTTGTCCTTTAACCTTCATAGTCACTTTATAGGTGACTACCTTTACTATGACATAGTAAAGGTAGCTTTACTATGTTTGCTTTTACCTGTGAAATTTTTTCCTTTCATACTTTTAATTACGGCCTTTTCTTTCCACTTAAGGAATTTCCTTACACATTTCTTGTAAGACTGCTTTAGTGGAGATGAACTCCTTTAACTTTTGTTTGTCTGGGAAGCTCCTTACCTCTTTTTCTATTCTGAATGGTAAACTTGCTGGATAGAATATTCTTAGTTGTAGGTTTTTTTTTTTTTTTTCTTTTAGCATTCTGAACTTTTGGTCTGCAGTTTCTGCTGAAAAATCACCTTATAGCTCTTTATGGGGTTTTCCTTGTATGTAACTCTCTGCTTGTCTCTTGCTTTTTAAAAAATTCTCTTTATCATTACTCTTTGGCATTTTAATTATTATATGTCTTGGTGTAGATATCGTTAGGTTCATCTTGTTAGGGACTCTCTCTGCTTCCTATATCTTGATGTCCCCAGATTAGAGTCATCTTCAGCTATTTCTTCACATAAATTTTTTACCCCCTTCTCTTTCTCTTCTTTTTCTTTCTTTTTTTTTTTAAGATTTTATTTATTTATTAGAGAGAGAGAGCAAGCACAAGCAGCGGGAGTGGCAGGCAGAGGGAGAAGCAGGCTCCTGGCTGAGCAAGGAGCCCAATGCGGGACTTGATCCCAGGACCCTGGGATCATGACCTGAGCTGAAGGCAGACGCTTAACCAACTGAGTCACCCAGACGTCCCTCTTTCTCTTCTTTTTCTAGGATCCCTATAATGCGAATGTTATTACACTTGATGATGCCAGAGTCCCCTTAACCTGTTTTCATTTTTTTATTATTGATTTTTCTTTTTTTTTTTTAAAAGATTTTATTTATTTAACAGAGAGAGACACAGCGAGAGAGGGAACACAAGCAGGGGGAGTGGGAGAGGGAGAAGCAGGCTTCCCGCGGATTGGGGAGCCTGATGTGGGGCTCGATCCCAGGACCCTGGGACCATGGCCTAAGCTGAAGGCAGACGCTTAACGACTGAACCACCCACGTGCCCCATTATTGATTTTTCTTTTTGCTGTTCAGCTTAGTTGCTTTCCATTACCCTGTCTTTGAGATTGCTAATCTGTTCTTCTGCATCCTCTAATATGCTTGTGGTTCCCTCTAGTGTATTTTTTATTTCTGTTATTGAATTCTTCAGCTCTCACTGGTTTTTTAATTTTTTCTGTCTCTTTGTTGAAGTTCTCATTGAGTTCATCCACTCTTTTCTCAAGTCCCATGGGTATCTTTATGATCAGTACTTTGAATTTTTTTTATCAGGCATATTATTTTTGTTTCATTTTGGTCTTTTCCTGTGGCTTTTGTCTTGGTCTTTCATTTGTGACATATTCTTCTGTCTCCTCATTTTGTCTAACTCTGTGTCTCTATCTATGTATTAGGTAGGTTGCTTACATCTCCTGGACTTGAACATACTGGCCTTCTGTAGAAGAGTGGTGCCCTATAGTGCAATCTCCCTTGGTCACCAGAGCCGCATCCTCCAGGGGTGTCCCCTTTGTGGGCTACTTGCACCCTCCTCTTATGGTTGGGCCTCAGTTACCCTTAGTTCAGCCAGCTGCAATGACCCACCTTTCCTTCTGTTTGTGCACAGGACAGGGTTTGCTCCCTGTACTGTGGAGAGACCTGTCTGTGGCTACTGTGGGCTTGCTGGTGGGCAGGGCCAGAAGTCAGCCTAGCTGTCTGCAAATAGCCTCTCTGACACAGCTGCAGATGCACAGTAGGGCAGGGCTTGCTTTCTGCATAGCCAGCTAAGAGGCCTGGCTGCAGAAACTGTGGGCATGTTGGTATGTGGGGTTATCTCTCCCTCTTTCCAGAGCAGGAGTCACTTTGAAGTGGTTCTGGTCCCTGTGGGAGTTGCTTGCAGGGTGTGGTGGGGTAGGAGCTGTTTTGGCAGGATGCCTGCTGAGGAATCAAGCAGGTTGGATGGGGTGGGTCCACAGGGGAATGCTGGGGTGGGGCACCCTAATGCTAGCAAGGTAGATGAAGAGTATTTCTAGCTCCCACAAACATCTGGCTATCTAGGCTGAGGAAGGGTAAGAGAAATGGCCTCTGCCAGCACTCGTTCCTAGAAAAATCTCATGCAGCCTCCTGCTCCTCCAGCACACATTTTAACATTAGTAAATAAATCTCCTTCCTATATACCCCATGTGCTTTTCAAACTGCTGCTTCTGTGTTGGGTCTTGGGCTGAGTTTAGTATACTGGCTCTTTAAGGGCAGGAACTCAGCTTTCTCTCAGTCTCTGGCTCTCCCACAGTTATGCCTGCCGAGTTTTACAGCTCTTGGATTGAAGCCCTGCTGGTTTTCAAAGCCAGATTTTTGGGGACTCATCAGTGTGAGTCCCCAAGTCTGGGGGTGCCCTGTGTGGGATCAGATCCTCCTGCTTCTTGGGACTTGTGCTGCCCCCCCCCCCCCGTTTGTGGTTAGTTGTACCAGGAATTTGGTTCCCAACTGCAACTCTGCCCCTCCTGCCCTTTTTGGTGTGGCTTCTCTGTGATGGAGCTGTTATCTTGGTGTGTTTGTGGGACAAGTTGAACTCTGGATCCTCCTATTCTGTTGTCTTCCCAAAACTCCTGGTCTTTCTGATTTTAAAATATAGTAGATTCATTAGAAAACAAGAAACACACCTGTGTCTATGATGTGGCATAGGCATTGGGGGGGGTTGATGGATTTAAGATAACTTAGTGATAAAGAACCTGTGAAGGAGAGAAGGGAGAAAAATGGGTGACTCTTATTATCCTTGAACTCTAAGATGAATGTTTAGAAGTTTTGTTACAAGAATTACAGGCCATTAGAAAATGTGGAATACATCTTGCTTATCTACTATATTCATAGTACTTAGTTCCTGAAATGGGGAAAATTCTTTCTTTATCCTGACATTGTTTTCAGATAATAATGTTTTTAAAAATAGCAAAAAAATCTTTAGAAAGAGTCAGTGTTTTATAACAATATTTTATCTACTTCTGGGTTTTCCTTTGGTGTTTTTAGAGTTCACAGTGTTAACTGATAATGACATTTTTCTTTTTACCTACAGCACAGCCAAGTACAGCATGTGGTCATTCCTCCCTCGATATTTGTATCTGCAGTTTAGCAAAGCTGCTAATGCTTTCTTCCTGTTCATTACTATATTGCAGGTAATATTTCTGAACACATTATTAGAGTAAGGTTTTAGAAAAGAAAATATAAAAAGCTCATTTAGCTGAAATAAGAATTTGATGTAGAGAATAAATTCAAACACTGTTAAGAAGAGAATTCTCTTCTTATAATATTTAAGTTACTCAGTAAGACCCATTTTGGGGCTGAAAAACATGTTTATGCCCAATATATGATTTGGTCCACAGTTCTTCCTGATTTAGATCACTAATGAGATATTATTGGACCAACTTCTATAATTTATGCCGCTTCCATGATAGGATAATTTTAATATATTTAAAGGAATAGTTTAAAGAAAGTCCAAATGCTAGTTTAAAATAGCTAATTTTCTTTTCTTTTCTTTTTTTTTTGTATTTCAATAAGAACACTTAATGTGAGATCTACCCCCTTAACAATTTTAAGTATACAATATAGCAGTGTTAACCATAGACATCTGTTGTACAGCAGATCTCTAGGACTTATTAATTTTGCATAACTGAAACTTTATGCTCATTGAATAACAACTCCTCATCTCTCCCTCTCTCTAGCCCCTGACACCACCATTTTACTCTGATTCCATGAATCTGACCATGTTAGATGTCTCATATAAGTGGACTTATGCAGGATTTGTCATTCTGTGGGTAGTTCATTTCACTTAGCATGATGTCCTCAAAGTTCATCCATGTTGTTATGTATGGCAGGATTTCCATCTTTTTGAAGTCTAAATAATATCCCATTGTATATATGCCACACTTTCTTTATCCAGTCATCCATTGACAGACATTGAGGTTATTCCCATATCTTGGCTATGGTGAAAAAATTATGAACATGGGAGTGCTGCTATGTCTCCAAGATCCTGATTTCAACTCTTTTGGATAAATACCCAGAAGTGGGATTGCTGATCCATATGGTAGTTCTATTTTTAATTTTTTGTAAAAGCTTCATATTACTTTCTATAATAGCAGCACCATTTTCTATTCCCCCCAGAAGTATACAAGGGTTCCAATCTTTTCACATCCTCACCAACACTTGTTATTTTTTTGTGTTTTGCTAATAGCCATCCTAACATGTGTGCGGTGATACCTGACTGTGATTTGGAATTTCATTTGCGTGATGATTAGTGTGATGTTGAGCACCTTTTCATGTACCTCTTGGCCATTTGCATGTTGTCTTTAGAGAAATGTCTATTCAGGTCATTTGCCCATTTTGATTGGATTATTTTTTTTTTCCTATTGAGTTGGAGTTCCTTATATATCCTTATCAGATGGGGGGGGGCTTCAAATATTTTCTCCTATTCTGTAGGTTGCCTTTTCATTTTATTGATGGTTCCCCTTGCTGTGCAGAAGCTTTTCAGTTTGATGTAGTCCCACTTGTCTATTTTTGCTTTTGTTGTCTGTGCTTTTGGCGTCATATCCAAGAAATCATTGCCAAGACCAATGTCTAGAAGCTTTCCCTCTGTTTTCTTTTAGGAATAACATCTTCTCAAAACAGTTAAATTCAAGACTTTCCATATTTTGGTTTATTCCTGTTTATTCAAACTTATTTTCATCATGAACCCTACAATCCAGCACAACCCAAGAGGCAAGCCTCCTCACAATTCCCCAATTTTCTTCCTATCTCTAGACCTTGGTGCATTCTATTACCTAACCCAGAAGACACTCATCTGGCTATAATCTATCCATTCTCTTAAAGGCGCAGCTCAAAAATAACCTTCCTTCAAACTTCACGAAATTCCATGCTCCATCTTCATCTTCTGTAGCAGTGATCTGTGTGTGCTGTATGTTATAACTGATTTTATTTTTCCTGGAAAACTGAAAATTCCTTGAATAGAAATAGTGCCTTCAAAGTGGCCAAGCTTTGGGATAAAAATTTAGTGAATTTGTTGAATTGAACTTAAACAGAAGACTGGCATTAGTGAACATTTATAGAGGTCAACATAAGTGTGTACCAAAATTTGTGCATGGAATTAAGAATTCAAGGATGAATTATTAGACCTAGCTCCTACCTTTGGAGAGCTGGTAGTCTTAACATACAAATACTTTAAGAAATATTTATAAAGTGTTAGGGGAACACAGCGTCCTTTGGGCTTGAGGGTGAGTGGTTCAGGAAAAGCTAGTGAAAAAGATGACCTTTGAGCCAAAGATTAGAGGAGGAGGAGTCTAACAGTAAGCAGAGGGGCAGCGGAAGGAGAGAGGCCTTTCAGGCACAGGAGACTGTGTGAGCAAAGGCACAAACAGGAAGCACTGGTTGCCTTTTATAGGAAACAGGGACAAAGAGGGGGGGAGGGAAAGAGGTAGAATTTTCTCTGAGAACATTTTATGTATTTTGAATTGTGAAAATTGCAAGTATTAAGTTTTTTTCTAGTGTATAAAATGTTCTATGAAACAGCAAAATTTTTGTTTGGAGCATAGGGTAGAAAAGAAGCTAAAGATGTCAGCTGAGATCAGGTTATAAGAAGCTTAGTGTGCTACATTCAGAAGCTTGGACTATTCTAGGGATAGGAAAAAGGCAGTGACAGTCAGGAGCTAGAGTGAAGTGACCAGCTCTGGTTAGGCTTAACTGAGGGAGAGACGAGAGAGGCCTGTGAATGACAAGACTGGCTTGGAGGGGCCCTGCAGAGAGAGATGGAGAGGAGGGGCAGATAGGAGTTATAGGAAAGAGATTTAATTGATAGCCTAAGCAATCCTAAAATTTCTCCCCTTCCTCTTCTGGTTCTCGAATTGTATTGTATTGCATTGTATGTATTTTATTTATTTTGTTTATTTTTATTAATTTAATTTTTATTATGTATTTTTATTGTGTATGTATGTAATTTTATTTCTTAATGTATTTGTTTATGTAATTTTTAATGTATTTATGTAATTTTATTATGCATTGATGTAATTTTATTTTTTATGTATTGATGTAATTTTATTTAATTTTAACTTATTTTTATTATTTTTTAGAGATTGTATTTATTTACTTGAGAGAGAGAGGGAAAGAGCATGAGCAGGGGGAGGAGCAGAGGGAGAGGGAAAAACAGGCTCCCCGCTGAGCAGGGAGCCCCACTCTGGACTCATCCTAGGACCTCAGATCATGACCTGAGCCAAAGGCAGATGATTAACCAACTGAGCCGCCCAGGTGCCCTCTCAGATTGCTTTTAAAGTAACTATAAGAATCATCGAGAGTTTCAAAATAAACACTATTTTGCTACACAGAGAGATAAGCAGGAAATAAGGCAGCATAGAGAGTACACACAGGCCCAAGTCTGGAAATACAGGGCTAAGAACTGGTCTAAATCTGGAAAACTAAAGGGGCCAATCTAGGACCTCACCTACCCTTCTGTCCATCAGGAAACTGCCACAGCCTGTTTATCACTTTATTTCTCATATTTTGTTTATTTATTTAGAGAGTGTGAGCAGGGGCGAGGGGGGCAAGGGGGGGCAGAGAGAGAGAGAATCTAAAGGCAGGCTCCACGCTCAGTGCGGAGCCGCATGCAGGGCTCAATCTCACAACACTGAGATCATGACCTGAGGCGAAATCAAGAGCCAGACACTTAACTGAGCCACCCAGGCGCCCCACTTTATTTCTCATATTTTAAACAGTAGTGGGTAGACCCAGGGTGCCTTTCACCGGAAATTATAAGAAATGTTATTCGCCTGTGCCTCCAAAAAAAATTTCTCTTTTGCCTCAAAAAGAAGATTCAGTTAACTGACCTTCTGGATTTAACTATTTTGAAAGGATGGTATTTTAGACATTTTAAGTTTTGAACTTCTCTTCAAAATGTAACAAAAGTATTGTATTGGAAAGGTGACATAATGACCAAAGTGTTAAGAAGTTGCACTTTTGCATAATGTAATGTTTAGTGTCCTGCTTCAGGGAGGGTTTTGATATGCTAAGAGTCTCCCTCCTCTTTTTATTTAACACTGTGGGTTGTTCTTATGTCCCGGGTATGCCACTAGTAGCCTGACTTTTAGTGTTAAGCAAAATATAAGAGTCATCATAAGATTCATGGTCACTCTGTTTTTGCAGCAAATTCCAGATGTGTCTCCAACGGGAAAATATACAACTTTCTTGCCTTTGATGATGATTCTTATGGTTTCAGGCATCAAAGAGATTGTAGAAGATTATGTAAGTTTACTGTTAGTGAAATGTTCTCAAAACTACTCCCTTGAGTAGAAGAGACATGGTTGTTGTTGTTTTCAAGCTTCTTGTTGGAACTGGTATAATTTTTTAAATCTGTAATTGATGTGAAAAATCAAATTAAAGTTTTAAGATTTCAAATCTTAAATTGTGTGTGTGTGTGTGTGTGTGTGTGTGTGTGTGTGTGTGTGTGTATTTGAGAAACCAGTAGGACTTAATTGTGGTCATAAGATATATCTTTGAGGCTATAATGGAACCAGAAAATCCTAACGGGCTAAAAAGTTCAGAAATTGTGCAGTGACTTCATTTCTCCTTTAACCTTATCACAGATACAATTTCTTTCTTTTTTTTTTCCTCAAGATTTTATTTATTTGTTAGAGAGAGAGAGAGAGAGAGAGAGCACAAGCAGGGGGAGGGGCAGAGCAAGCAGAGGGAGAAGCCGAATCCCGGCTGAGCAAGGAGCACAACGTGGGATTCGATCCCATGACCCTGAGATCATGATCTGAGCTGAAGACAGATGCTTAACCGCTTAATCTGGCTCAGACAGACTGAGCCACCCGGGTGACCCCACAGATAGAATTTCACATGAGCTTACATATTTCAGCAGTGAAGGAAAAGAAGAGAGATATTTAATATTTTCTGTTTGTTCTGACCCAACCTGCTACAGCTGGGGTCACTCTAGTAGAGTCCCCTTCCTCCTCACTCACAATCCTAATGCTCATTTTCCAAAATTGCTAGCTATTGTTATTCCTATGATTCTGCCTCATTCCTTCATATCTTGAAAAGATAGGTCATCAGTAAGATCTATTTGGTTGCTGGTCTTTTGATTGCTTTATAAGATGAAAGAATTTTTCAAACTTAATCAAAAGCCTTGAGCTAAATTGGGGCATAATTCAAGATTAATTATGTGTTTAACTAGAAAGATAGTCATTGAAAGCAACGTATAATATGCTGACATTTTAAGTAGCACTTCACTGTGTAGGAGGCCCTGTATTGTATGTATTTGTATGCGTGTGTGTGTGTGTATTCAATTACACTGAGGCACATACTGGTTCGTGACCTGACATGGCTACATTCATAAGAGGCAGAGCTGGAATGTCAACCAAAGTAAGCTGTCTCTAGGGACCACATGCTTAACCACTTTGCTATACTCCTTCCCTTAGATCCCATCTTAATTTAGAGAGTCGGATAAGAGCAGAACAAAATTGAAATTAGTTATAGCCAAAAAAAACCCCACAAAAAAACAACCCCCCCAAAAACAAACAAAAAACCCAAAATCCTTTACAATCAGGTTTGCTGCCTCTATTCTTTCCTAAACTTCCTATGACTTGTATTATGATGTGGATTATTCACTTTGAACTTTTAACATAATGGATTTTTTTCTATAACAGAAACGACATATGGCAGACAAATTAGTTAACACAAAGACCACGATAGGTAAGATATTAGATTAAGCTTTTATTCCCTTTCACTATAAAAAAAATCCAAATTGACCAAATAGATATACGTACTATGTTTCATAATGTTTCATTATTTAAAGAAATATAGAAAACAAAGAACAACCATTAGGAAACTGTTTTCTATATGTGACAATCATCAATTATGTTAATTAGAATAAAATAAACAAAATTGGAATATTTGGGATATGAGCAATTCTTATGTCCATAAAAAAGATCTGGGTGTTACATAGTCTCTCTCAGTCCTAGTTTTGATATGTGTTATCTTTGTAATTGATTAGAAATATATAATGTTGCTTTCGGGCTATCAGCCAGTATTTTAGCATGTAACAGCAAACTGTTTTCTCTTTAGGATCGGAAGTAACTTAACATAGCTTTACCTAACAGTCATCTATCCTTATGTTAAGTTACATTATATTATACATATTGCTCTATTTTGGTGCAGTGATGTGAACACAGTTTACATATTTTTCCAGTTTATATCAAGGTTAAATTAATAAAGACAGTACTTTATAAAGAAACACATTTAGTTTTTTGGAAAAATATCTTCTATTATTTTGGAATTTACCTAATGCAATTGTTACAGTTAATACATAGTTCTGTTTTCCAGTGTTAAGAGAGAATGCATGGAAAATGATTATGTGGAAAGAGGTAAGAATGTATTTTAAGTTAGTAATAAGCACCTACCATATTTAGAGTTACAGATTTTTATCTCTGAAACATGTCTTCAAGAACTGTCAAATTATCCTATTTTGTAGATGAGGAAGGAAGTAGAGGGTCAAAGGGAATAACTATTTTGCTCAAGCTCACACAGCCTAAAAGTGGTGAAAATAGGCTTTGAATTTAAGTCTGTTTGGTTGGAAGTCTACATGCTTTCTAATGTGCCTCAGTGTTACTTTTGTGTCATTGACTGGAATATTTAAAGATGATGCTTCGCAAACTATTGCTCAGGGTACAAGGCAACCTTTATATGGAGACTACCTCAGGGAATATTTTCATGTATATTTGCCCTTGGGATAGAGGTTAAAGGCATAGTGGGGCTAGATACTTTGTCCTCATCAATAATTCATTACTGACCAGTGTAAAATTCCTTTGAACACTAGTTGTAAGAGTGTTTGGATTTCTAAGTATTATCAGTATGTCTTTCCCTGAAAGAGCTGGAGCGGGTGAGTCAACCATGATTACATTTTGCTCTTCTCATTGGGACTAAGAGGAAAAAGTCCCTGAGAGATCCACTCCATTCCTGGTTGGCAGAGTCTCAGGGGAGACGGTTGGTGAGAGACAAGAGGAGAGGAGTGAGGCTGCAGCAGGGGGAGGGGGGCTTCTTTCTGTGCAGAGGTGATTGCATGATCTGAGCTTTAATTTACTTACCCCCAGTGTCTTCCACTGGAAGAACGAGCCAAACAGCTAGAGCCAAGGACCAGGAATTCTTATCCCTCTGACTCATTTTACCACCTGTACAAGCAAACAGAGCACATTGCACATCAGGTGCTTACAAAAGGAAAAGGGAGTTGATTTGGGGGTCCTTTGGGCAAAAGAGAAAAAGAGTTTGTAAGAGATGTGCTGGTCATGAGCACCCTTAGAGTAACGACTGCCTGCTATCAGTTCCCTGGGTGCATAATCTGCATCAATATTGTTTCTTGGGGGGAAGTCTAGTTTTAATTACAAAGTCTCAAACTTATCTCATTCTAGTCATTGTTAAATCTTGCTGTAAGTTAGTTGTTTATATAAGTTACAAATGCTTTATTGTTCGCTGCATTGTGACCTTGATATAAGTTGTGAATGTTTAATTGTCAATCCTTTTTTCTCCCCTACTGTTGCACGTGTTCTCAGCATTTATAGACACTTAAATAGCATTTAATGTTCTCTCCTCACTTTTATCCAGAAGTATTTAATTAAACTTTGTTCAATTAATGAAGATAGAAATGATCTGTATAATCATATATAAAAAAAATAGTCTCCTTGTTCTCTTCCTCCTCCTCAGAAATTTTTTCAATATAGGTCCAGAAATTGGTTTAGGAAAGAATTTTTACCCCCAACCTCCCCCCCGATCCCACTTTTCTAGCTGCCCAGGAAGGTCCTGCCAATTGTAAGTGTCCTCAATACCTAGCATGGTGTAAATGCTCAAGGGGTTTGTTAAAGAAAAAGTACACAGGAAGAAAGCATCAGAAACTCATATTGCTTTCTTCAGGTATTGTTCCTAGTATTTACATCTCTCTTAGTTATAAGTTAGAATTCATTCATACATTCAGTCAACAAATTTTGATTGATTGATTGATTGATTGATGGAGGGAGATGGGCATTTTTTCTGTTCTACATGGACCTCACAGAGCAGCAGAGAAAAGCCCACCATTAAGCAAATGACTACAGCGTGATAGTGTATGAACAGCACACAATTGCAAAAATAGTACTACCAATAGGTCTGTTCGGATTTCTCAACCTTGGCACTATTTACATTTTGGGCCAGAAAATTATTTGTTGTGGGGGGCTGTCCTGTGCATTGTGGACTGTTTAGCAGCATCCCTGGCCTCCATCCACTTGATGCCAGTAGCATCATCCCCTAAAACCCCAAAGTTGTGACAACCAAAAGTGTTTCCGGACATTGCCAAATGTCCCTGGTGGGAGGGGAGGGCAAAATAGCCCCCGCTTAAGAATAACCATTTTAGAGGGATGATTCCCTCCAAAAATAAAATTGTTCTAATGTAGCTGAAGTTTCTTAGCATGGCTCCAGGATTTTCACATCATAATTTTTTTAAGAATATTTGACACATTTTGACTCTATTTTTGCTTTTTTTAAAATTCATGCTTCTGTGATTTCTCTCCTGGTCTTATAGGTAATTGTGGGCGACATTGTGAAGGCTTCAAATGGACAGTTCCTTCCTGCAGACATGGTTCTGATTTCTTCTAGGTTGGTTATGATAGTGCGCATTTAAGGAACTTTTTTTTTAGATTTATTTATTTTAGAGTGTGTGGGGGAGGGTGGCAGACTGGGAGGGAGAGTCTCAAGCAGACTCTGCGTGGAGCCCCACTCAGGGCTTGATCTCACGACCCTGAGATCACAAGCTGAGCCGAAACCATGAGTCGGGAGTTTAACAGATTGTACCACCCAAGCTCCCCCACTTAAGGAACTTCTATTCTGAATTAGAAATTTTAAGAAAACCAAAGGCCTACCCTTCTCACCGCTTTCTGCATCCCTCTCTCTCTTATTATAGATCAGCAAAGTTTTACTGCAAAGTAAAGTTGCAAAACCTGCAGTTTTACTGTGAAAGGACTGATAGTAAATATTTTCAGCTTTGCAGGCCATGCAGTCTCTCGTAGCATCAGAAGCCACCATAGGCAACGTGTAAGCAAATAGGTGTGGCCGTGTTCCAATGAAACTTTGTCAAAAGAGGATTTAGCCTGGATTTAGCCTGTGGGCCATAGTTTGCTGACTGTTAGTCTATACTTTTATTATCTTTTCTTTAATTTCCCTGGACGTATTTTCTTCTAGCCTAATTGTTAGATTAATTCTATCCCTCCTGTAATTTCTACAGACATTCAGCAAAATTAAAAAAATATGCTTATTATCATATTTTAATCTCATGACAATTCTGAGATGTTCCCATTCTATAAATAAAGTGACTCACACAAGAGTAAGTGATCTTTTCAGTACCATTAGGTGGGCTCATGTGAGACCCAAGTTTAAAAACACAGCTTCTGTTCTTTTTGTAGAACTATATTGCTTTATTCATTGGCCATTTTAGAGGAAACTTACACAGAGACTCCCTACAATGGGTATTTCCTTTCCATTAGGTCATGTCTGACCACCTCTCCATATGCTTCTATGTTGGGCCCCCTGGGGAGCTCAGCTGTCCCCTCCTTCATGTTCTCTGTAAGGAGAACATAGTCTTGGGCATCTGTGGGTAAGGGTGGCTATAGTCATGAACACAGCTGCATTTGACATGTTGGGTAAACTGTTTCCCTAGATCAAGTCATAATCATCTCCAAGTGATAAAAATGTTCCTAGCCTTCTGGACACACATCATCTTGGAGCATGGAGAGATTTACTGGGAAGAGAGATTTGTTCTAGAGCCATTGTCTGAGCTTCTGGAAAAGCAATAATGCCAACACTAGCTCTTATTCCTACCAGATGCACTTTGTTCTTTTGCCATCAGTGTATTAACCCATTGGACAAAGGAACTTATTGTTGCTGATAGGTTTCTCTCGGGTTTGGTTAGGAGTATGGGGTTGACCACAGGAGCCAGAGATGTACCATAAAGGGCTTTGTTTTTACAACCTCTACATCATTTGTATGTGTGACTTTCTTTGCCTCTTTCTCTCAAAAAAGTACTACTTATATGGAAACCAATCTTTATTTTGGAGTAGGAGAGAAGTAAGGGGGAGATTAAAAAAATCATTGTTCTTGGACTTTTTTCTGGCAGTTTTACAGATATTTTCTAAGTTTTCACCCTGCCCCCACTAAACAGCTTAGATACAAACACACACACACACACACACACACACACACACACACACACACACCCCAATGCTTATTTGATTGGGCATAAAAGTAAGAAAACCATCTGAAACAAATAACGCAACATATTTTAAGAAAAAAGAAAAAGAAGAAGATAGCAGGAGAGGAAGAATGAAAGGGAGTAAGTCAGAGGGGGGACGAACCAGGAGAGATGATGGACTCTGAAAACAAACTGAGGGTTCTGGAGGGGAGGAGGGTAGGGGGATGGGTTAGCCTGGTGATGGGTATTAAAGAGGGCACATTCTGCATGGAGCACTGGGTGTTATGAACAAACAATGAATCATGGAACACTACACCAAAACAAATTATGTAATATATGGTGATTAACATAACAATAAAAAAATTATCATCTAAAAAAAAAGAAAACCACACTGAGTCCCAGAATGAAGTGAGATCCTAAGAACACTAAAAGGTAATACTGTGTCAGTATAGGCTTTTTCCCTGAGTGTTTCTGCCAAACCCCGAAGACCATAAGCTTCTACTTCATTGAGCATAGGAAGGAGGCGATTCTTGCATAAAGCTGAGAACTACACCCTTAATTAAGGGAGAATGAAGAGTAAAAACCACCATGCTGTAGGGGGCAATAGAGAAATGTGCTTGTCTTGACTTTGGCATAGGGTGGAGGGAAAACTGTGAGATTCGAGTTGGCTCATGCAGATGTGATCTCTGAATTCAACTTGCCTGTGTGCTGAAAAGAATTTTAAGCAGAGAATTTAATGTGATCCTGGAAAATAAAGAAGAAACCTCTAATTAGAAAGAGATAAAACAGAGAATGGAAAAGGTAACAGTCCAAAAGAAAATGGCTGACATTTTCTCAGAATTTTTGGAAGTCCGTCCCTTAGATTCATTGGGTTTCCTGGATCTGAAGTTAGAACTAAATAATAGGGAACATCAGAGTAATTTCGAGTGTGATAATCAGAACTATACCAAAGGTTTTCATATTGTTCAGAATGAGAGTGAAGATATCGATTGGTTAGAAACCTTAAACTCTGGATATTTGTCTAAAAATTTACTTTAATATCTAAATGATTAGACATAGAATATATAGCTTCCAGCCATATCATGGGGGAAAATTATTTGAGAAAAAGGAAAAGCCCTCACAAGTAACTAAAAATAGAAAAAAGGCAAAAAGAGGGAGAAATAGAATGCACTTAATCAGGTAGTAGAATAAATAAAAATACATCATCAATAACAAAGCAAATAGATTTCAGAAGTTAAAGAGAGAAGATTATAAAATTGTCCAGCTATATGTTGTTTACAAGAATTTCACAAAACACAAGTGCTCAGGAAGATTGAAATGAAAAAATACATACAGAAATAGTAAAGAAAATAAGTCCAGAAGAGATGGTATCACCATTAGATAAAATAGACTTTGAGGCAAAAAGCATTATTTGAGATAAAGTGTCATTGAAGAAAAAGAAAAAAAGCCATTTCATAATAACAGTTTTAATTGTTATTAAATGATATGGGTTAAGCATAAAGAAAAAACTTAAACATCTACAAGAAATTTATAAACCTAACATCATACTGGGATGTTTCAGTGTTTGCTTTCAGGAATTGATCAAATGGAGAAAAAAGTCAGTATGGAGGTAGATTTGAAAAGTACAATGCCAACCTTGAAATAATGGCATGTATAGAAATTTTTGGTGTATTGTACCAAAAAGCAATATATACATACTCTTCAAGCACAATTAGGAACATTTGTCAAAATTGTTAGGACATAAGAAAGAAAAGATTCTAAGGGACTGGTATTCCACAGGCCACTTGCTCTGACCATAATGCTATGAAGTTTGAAATCAATAATAAAAAGATAACTAGGAACTTTATAAGTTGGAAATAAAACATGCCTCTAAACAATTCGTGGGTTAAGGAGGCAATCATAATGGAAGTTGGAAAATACTTAGGTTTTAGTAGTTATGAGAATACATAAAATCTCCTATGATACAGCTAAGTTGATAGACATTTTTAGCTTAAAATGCTTTCATTAAAAAAGAAACGCCAAAAAAATAAGCTAAGAATCTAGTCTAAGAAGTTAGCTCAGTACAAAAGAATAAACTAAAATCAGGCATAAGGAAATAATAAAGAGAAGTAGAAATTAATGAAAAAACAATGGAGAAGGTCAAAATGGGGAAAACTTGCTTCTTAGAAAAAGACAAATAAATTAAAGTTCTGGTAAGATTAATCAGGGAAGAAAAGGAAAGGCACCAATACACAATACTACAAAATTGAAAAGTTGATATAAGTATAAATGCATCAGAGATTAAAGAAATGAGAGGATCTTATGAAAGTTTTATAATCACATTTTAGCATTTAAATGAAGTGCATAAATCCATAGAAAAATATAACTTACCAGAACTTATTCTAGAAGAAATATAGAACCTGAATGGTCCTATAATCATTAAAGATACTATGTAGGTAGTAAAAAAAAAAAAAATCCCACAAACAGACTCTCAGGACCAGGCATTGTAACTGTCAAATTCTATCACACTCAATGTAGAGAAAATACCAATCTTCCAATAAACTGCTCAGAGAAACAAAGAATACCCTCTGATTAATTTTCTGAGGCTGGTGTAATCTTGACACAAAAAATTAAAGACAGAATGATAAAGGAAATTTACAAGCCCATTTTGTTAATTTAATTTTTATTTTTTAAAAGATTTTATTTAGGGCGCCTGGGTGGCTCAGTTGGTAAAGCGACTGCCTTCGGCTCAGGTCATGATCCTGGAGTCCCGGGATCGAGTCCCGCATCGGGCTCCCTGCTCGGCAGAGAGTCGGCTTCTCCCTCTGACCCTCTTCCCTCTCGTGCTCTCTATCTCTCATTCTCTCTCTCTCAAATAAATAAATAAAATCTTTAAAAAAAAAGATTTTATTTATTTGACAGAGACATAGAGCAGGAACACAAGCAGGGGGAGTGGGAGAGGGAGAAGCAGGCTTCCCGCTGAGCAGGGAGCCCGATGCGGGGCTCGATCCCAGGGCCCTGGGATCATGACCTGAGCCAAAGGCAGCCACCCAACCAACTGAGCCACCCAGGTGCCCCTGTTGTTAATTTTAGTATAAAAATTTTAAAACCAGGCAATATTTAAGATGGTAATATGATCAAATGGGGTTCATTACAGGAATGTAATTTGTTTTTATAATAAGGAGTCGGACTCCATTTTTGGATGTTTGCTGACAAATTTTAAACCTCCCCTTCTCTTCCCCTCCTGCCACACATCTGGGCTGGTTGACAGGAAAGCCTCGGTGTTCCCTCCTTTGGCACCTTGTAAATAATAAACCTTTCCCCTCTTTTGGTGTGTTTGTAGCATCATCAGTTTTGACACTTAAACAAAATCTTGGGTGGGGGGGGTAGCTTGATCCTGCTTCTGAAGGGTGACCACAACAGTTTCATTATTAGGAAATGAAAGGATTGCACTTTAGTGCATTTTCACTTTGGTAGATTAAAAGGTAGAAAACATCATATCAATAGAAGCATTTCAAAATATACATTTGTGATGATAACGCCTAGAAAAGGGAGAGCCTGGGTGGCTCAGTCATTAAGCATCTGCCTTCGGCTCAGGTCATGATCCCAGAGTCCTGGGATCGAGCCCCGCATCGGGCTCCCTGCTCTGCAGGAAGCCTGCTTCTCCCTCTCCCACTCCCCTGCTTGTGTTCCCTCTCTCACTGTATCTCTCTGTCAAATAAATAAAATCTTAAAAAATAAAAAACCTCCTAGAAAAGTACCAATAAAAGGGAACTATCTTAACCCAATCAAAGGAAAAAACTGGTATATAAGGAGTAAAAAATAAATTCTCATTATTTGGAGATGACATTATTGTATACAAACCCCCCCAATTTTTAGATTTTAAGTGACCAATATATTGCTTAGTGATACACACAAATGTAGTAATGAAATTATAAAGAGAAGGGAATGATTATCACAAATATTAATATAGTAGTTATCTCTGGGAGGAAGAGAAGAAAATGCAATGCGGGGCCTTTCAGGTACTATAAATAGTCAATTTCTTCTCTTGTAATATATATAGCAATAAAACAGTATTTTGTTCTCAAAATATAAACATTCCTTATATAAACTCTTGGATATATATTTCCCACAAAAAATAAAATTTTGTTATCTTTCAAATCTGTAAGAGATACATATAAAATTTACTAAAATTCACTGTTTGAAAAATTAGTCTTCTGTATTAAAAATAATTTAAAAGTGGGAACCACCTTTATGGTATGAATATCTCATCAAATTTAGAGACAAAATTTTTTTAAATAGGGGCTATTGATCTAATGGAAAAGCTTTATCATTTGGAACAGATCTTTTCTATTTGTGTTCTTGGTTCACACTTCTCTCAGGGAAAAAAAAAGCTTATGATTCCCACATGGTAGTTGTAAAAATAGAAAGATAAGAAGAAGAGTGAAAATATGCTTTGAAAGTAGAAACACCAATATAAAGTTCTAAGCCAGTCGGGGCTTGAACAAGATCATGGTAATATGATTGCTATACTGAGTACATTTGAGTATTTCAGATTTGGAAGAGGAGTTTCACAGGCTTTTAAAAATTAATTTTTTAGAATAGCTAATTCACATATGTGTTTCAAGTTTTAAAACATAAGAAAAGACATCCAGTGACATCTCCTTCCCTCCTGTTTCCCTGCCATCAGACACTCAATGCTATTATGTTCCTGTGTATACTTCCAGGGATCTTTTATGTTTATAGACAAATACATCTACTTATGCCCCCCCCTTGTATTCTGAAAACTTTAAGTTTTCTTTATAAGTGTATCTAAAATATCTTCTTTTCCTAGCTTTTTAAGGTGTAAAGTTATTAACTTGAGATTTTTCTTCTTAATTTTTTTAAAATGTAGACATTTACAGTTATAAATTAGACTCTAAGCACTGTTTTAGTTGCATCCCATAGGTCTTGGTATGTGGTATCTTAACTCTCATCCACCTCAGAGTATTTTTTAACTTCCCTTTTTAGTTCTTTTTGATCCATTGGTTATTTAGTAGTGTGTTCTTTAAATTCCACTTATTTGGGAGTTCCCCAAATTTATTTCCCTATTAATTTCCAACTTCATCCTATTGTGATCAAAGAACATACTTTCATGATTTCAGTCCTTTAAATTTATTGAGGCTTATTGTATGGTTTAGCATATGATCAATCCTGGAGAGTGTTCAATAGGCACTTGAAAAGAATGTGTATTTTTCCAGTGCTTTGAATATATCATCCTCATGCCTTCTTTCCTACAAAGTTTTTTTTTTTTTAAAGATTTATTTATTTGAGAGGGAGAGAGAGAGAGCAGGGAAAGGGGCAGGGAGAGGCAGAGAGAATCTCAAGCAGACTCTGCGCTGAGTGCAAAACCCAATGTGGAGCTCGATTTCATGACCCTGAGATCATGATCTGAGCTGAAACCAAGAGTTGGATGCTTAACTGACTGCGCCACCCAGGCACTCTGATCCTCCAAGGTTTCTGCTGAGGAATGATATATAGTCTTATTTAGCATTTCTTGAAAGTGGTGAATAACTTTTCCCTCTTGATTTCCAGATTTTCTCTTTGGCTTTAACTTTTAACAGTTTGATTGTCTAGGTGTGGTTTCTTTGAGAATATTTTACTTGAAGGCTTATTTTGTTGAGCTTCTTGGATGTGTAGATTAACGTTCTTCATCAAATTTGGGAAGTTTTGGGGAATCATTTCTTTAAATATTTTTTTCTGCCCCTTTCTCAATTCTCCTTTTGGGACTCCCATTATATGTATGTTGGTATGTTTGTTCGTGTCCCACAGGTTTCTGAGGCTCTGTTTATTTTTCTTTATTCTTTTACATTTTTGTTTCTCAGACTGAGTTATCCCAATTGACCTGTCTTCAAGTTTGAGTCTTTCTTCTGCCTGCTCAAATTTGAGCAATGAATTTTTCATTTCAGTTATACTTTTCAAGCCAGAATTTCTGTTTGGTTTCTTTTTTATCATTTCTATTTCTTTCTTGATGTTCTCTATTTGATGGGATATGTTCAAATATGTTATTTCTTTCAACATAGTTTCCTTTAGCTATTTGCATATATTTAGCATATCTGATTTACATCTTTGTCTAGTAAAGTCAATGTCTGGATTTGCTCAGGGACACTTTCTATTGATTGCTTTTTAATATGTGTATGGGTCATACTTACTTGCTTCTCATGGTTTTCATGTCTCATGGTTTTTGTTGAAAATTGAACATCTTAAGAATATAATGTGGCATCTCTGGGAATCAGATTCTCTCTCCTCCTCAGGATTTATTTTAAAAAATTTTTTTAAAGTAGATTCCCTGCCCAGCATGGAGCCCAATGCAGGGCTTGAACTCATGACCCTGAAATGAAGACCTGAACTGAGGTCAAGATTTGGAGGCTTAACCGACTGAGCCACCCAGGCACCCCACCCAGGATTTATGTTTGTTGCTTTTCGTTACAAGTTTTTCTTTTAGGCCTTTTGGTTAGTCTATTGTTTCCCCTAACTATTATACATCACCTCAGACAACTGCAATGTTCAAACACTTTCCTGTAAATGTTCTCAACAAATCCACACCACTGTTTACCCAGGATTTTAGCACTGGGTAAGCTCTGGGTCAGGTCAAATAAAAACAAACACTTTAAGTGGGACCTTCCAGAGATAGGTGAAATAATGACTATGGGAACAAGGCTTTGAATGAGGTCTTGCTCTTTTATGCTCCCTCCAGTACTGGGATTGTGGACTATTATTTTTTAAAGCTGTCACTGAGCCAAAAGCAGGAAGTGGGAGTAGGGCAAGTTAAAATATTACAAAGCTCACTTTTTTAAAAACCAGTATTCAGCTTTTTTTTCTTGAATAAAATCTCCCTGGGTTGATTTAAGTATTTAGTTAATTTTTAAGAGTTCTGAAAAAGTTGATTCTCATAATTTTTTCCGTTTATCTCATTGTTTTATAGAAGAGAAAGTTTTTGGACATTCTGACTTTGTTATCTCACTGCATCTTTAATGAAGATATATATTTATTTTGGGGGTATATGGTCTTGGCTGGCAAGATTGATACAGATTGTTTTACTTTAAACTTGTTATTCAGTAAATGAGATACAGTCAAAAGAGTAAGACTAAAATCAAGACTAAACTTTAATGACAATTTTTGTTATTCTTTGTGGCATTTCCCCCTAAACAATTAATTTTCATGAGTAAATTGCATTTGATATGCAGTAAAATCTGGCAAGGCAAATGTTCATTAATTCAGTGTCTTGATTTCTTAACTGGTGAGGTTAAGATAGAAATAGAGAAGCCCAAGTATAGTGTTTGTCTGAGAGCCTCTGCTCTGTCCAGAGTTATCCTGAAGATTTTATTCTCATTATAAAGGCCATAGAGGGGCACCCAGGTGGCTCAGTCAGTTAAGCATCTGCCTTTGACTCAGGTCATGGTCCCAGGGTCCTGGGATCAAGCCCCATATTGGGCTCCCTGCTCAGTGGACAGCCTGCTTCTCCCTCTCCCACTGCCCCTACCCCCCCAGCTCATGCTTTCTCTCTTAAATAAATAAATAAATAAAATCTTAAAAAAAAAAAAGGCCATAGAGCCTGAGCCATTGGGAACTACAATGGACCCATTTTAGAAAATAACAGAATTTTAGGTTTGACTTGTTGTGACACTGTTCTGAGCTATATAACATCTTCTATTCACCCTCAGCCATTTCTCCTTTTGGGATTAAAGAATAAACACACAGCTTTGTAAGGGTAGTTTTCTACTACAAGATGAATTTTAGGCTGGTAGTATCAGACTGCTAATTTCTCCTGAAAAAGTAATTGTAGTTCTTTCAGTTTTGAACAGTCCTTTCAGCTATTGATTTAGATCCCATTTCATTGTTAACATTATTGGGAAATTAATTTTTGGAGAGATATTAATTCAGTGTTATTTGCTTTATCTTCCTTAGTGAACCTCAAGTAACCTGTTATGTTGCAACCTCTAATCTGGATGGGGAGACAAATCTAAAAATACGGCAGGTAAAGACACATTTTTAAATCCTAATTTTGTGTCTAAGCTCACAATGTTATTATTATTTTTTTTCATGAAGAAAAGTATGTCACTACTGTTATAGAAGTAATTCATCCTCACCAGTTATTTAGAGGGTACTTTAAAAAAAATAAGTAGGAACTAGATGATACAGTACTAGTGTAAGAAAAAAAATGTCCTATAAATTTCAGGTCATATAAAGGATAACATGCCTTTGTGCATATTATTTTGAGGATATTTTTGTTAGTGCTTTGGTGATAAAACTACTGTCATGATAAATATCATAACTAGATTAAAGGGGTATAAAGGAGCTCTGAGTATATACCACTGCTTTTTATTTATTTATTTAAAAAAATTTTTTTATACCACTGCTTTTTAAACTATCATTTGAATTTCAGAGTAACTTGTGATTGTGAATGGAAGGAGATAGTTTTCCAATTAACTTCCTATTAATGGAAAAAAGACAATCTTTAAGATAATTGAGTCTTTGCTTTATCACTTTGCTTCAGTAAGGAAGCCCCTGAATTTACATTTGACTATTTACATGTCTGCTAATCTTTTTTTGCAAACTTTAATTTGATTGAAAATGAAAAAAAAATATTTAGAATTTATTAAAGTAATATATTATCTTCATAAAAGCAATATAAGTAATACAGAAACTTATTAAACCTTATCTCCACGTTCCAAATCCCACCTTTATTCCCAGTACTAATTGTTGTAATAGTTTGGTGGTACCTTCTTATTTTTAAAAATGCAATTGTAGACTTCTTCAGGGGAAATGAAGTAGACATACTTTCTTCTATTTTTCCTGCTAAGTACAACTAAAATGTTTGGTCATTATATAGGAAAACAAATATGAGAAGACACTGAAAGAGTGATAGAAGAAGGTAGATTGTGGGACCCTGGAACCCAGGGAACAACATGGTAGTGAGTTCCCTGGGTTTTCCTTTTGTCATATATACCAGACTTGGAACTGAAGAAGTCAAAAACCCAGAAAAACCAATGGACACAAACCAAAAAATGCCCCAACAAAAGCCTCCTTTCTCTAGTCAAAGGACCAGGAAAGGGGCAGCCAGCAAGACAGGAAGTTTGAGACAATGGCCACTCCATCCCAGCCAAACACCAGAGTAAAAATTTGGCCCCACTCCCACTGATACCAGCAAAGGTTGAGTGTGGAGCCTAGAATTCCACCCTTACCCAGCTGTGATGAGGCACCCAACTCCCCAACAAGGATGGTGTCAGAGAAAACAAGCAAGAAGCCAAGACTGTCATTTTGTAATAAGGATGGTAATAAGGCCCTCCTCTCTTTTTGCTGTGTCAGTGAAGACTACATGGACAGCTGCACTCCAACCCTTCAGTCCAGGGAGGTAATGATGGAGGCCTACAGGGGAGCCAGAACTCCCACTCCTGCCCAGCTGTAACAAGGAGCCCCTCCATTTGGTTGTCAACAGAGGCCAAGTGTGCAACTTGCCTCTCTGTCCGCCATCTTGCAGTAATGAGGCCACACCGGCTTCCCTTGTCAGACTAGTGTCAGAGGAAGGCACCTAACACAGAAAGTTTAGTGATATCCAGATCTTATATTACCCCAAATATCCAGATTTCAATAAAAAGTGATTCATTATGCCAAAAACCAGGAGGATCTCAAACTCAGTGAAAAAAGACAATCAACTAATGCTAAGATGAAGATAATGAGATGTTAGAATTATCTGACAGAGATTTTAAAGGCTCCATCAGGAAAAGAGCTTCACTGAGCAACTATAAACATGCTTGAAACAAATGAAAATACAAAAGTTCTCAGCAAAGCAATAGAAGACGTAAACATGATCCAAATGGAAACTTTAGAACTTAAAAGTACAGTAAGTACTTAAGGCATCAAAAACTCTCAGGGGATGAGCTCAACAGCAGAATAGAAGGGACAGAGGAAAGAATCCATGAACTGAAAAATAAAACAATAGGAACTTCCCAACTTGAAAGCAGAGATAATAGGCTGAAAAGGAAATGGACAGAGCTCCAGACACCTGTGGGAATATAACAAAAGATCTAACATTCATGACATGAGATGCTGGAAGGAGAAGAGAGGAACTGAAAAACTACTAGAAGAAACGGTTGCTAAAACTTCACAAATTTGCCAGAAGACATAAACTACAAATTTAAGAAGCTGAGCAAGCCAAAAAAGATAGACCCAAAGAATCCATACCAAGACACATTATAGTAAAACTTCTGAAAACAAAGAAAAAACTATTTTAAAGCAGTGAGAGAAAAAGGACCCTACCTCTAGGGGAAAGACCCTTTGTGTAATAGCAGATCTCTCGTTAAAACCCATGGAGGTCAGAAAGAAATGGCATAACATTTTTAAAACGCTGATAGGGAAGAATTGTCAGTCCAGAATCATGTATCCAGCAAACGCCTTTTTCAAGAGAGAAGAGAGAATTAAAATACTCTCAATTGAAGGAAAAATAACAGAAGTTGTTGTCACAAGGCCCACTGTCAAAGAATGGCTAAAGGAAGGTCTTCAAACAGAAAGGAAACCATAAAAAAGGAACGAACATAAGGAAGAAGGAACATGATAAGCAAAAATAAGGCTAAATACAGTAAGCTTTTTTCCTTTTGAGTTTCCTAAATTACGTCTGATGGTTGAAGCAAAAATCATAAGATGATCTAATATGGTTCTAAATGTGTGAGAGAAAATATTTAAGATATATAACAGGGGAGAGTAAAGAGACATAAGAGGAAGCAAGGCTTCTATATTTAAATTTGTAAAATGATGATACAAATAAACTGTGAGAAGTTGCTTATAAATAATGTAATGCCTGGAGCAACCACTACAATAGTTATACAAATGAAGATACTAAAAAACACTATCAATAAACCAAAATGGAATCCTAAAAAATGTCCAAGTAACCCAAAGGAAAGCAGGAAAAAGCAAAAAGCAAAACCAGAGAGGACAAACAAAAAAAAATCAATAATTCTATTAAATGTAAATGGTATTAATATGCCATTAAGTTTTGGATTAAAGTAATATCTAATGGATTAAAAACATGATCCAACTATATGCTGTCTATTCAAAACTCATTTTACTTATAATGGTATAGGCAGGTTAAAAGTAAAAAGATGGCACGTGGGTGGCTCAGTCGGTTAAGCGTCTGCCTTTGACTCAGTTCATGATCCCAGGGTCTAGGATCCAGCCCTACGTGGGGCTCCCTGCTCAGCTGGGAGCCTGCTTCTCCCTCTCCCTCCGCCTCTCTCCCCTACTCATGCTCTCTCTCTCTCAAACTCTCTCTCTCTCTCAAATAAAATCTTTAAAAAAAAGTAAAAAGATGGAAAAAGATATATCATGTAAAGATTAATTAAAAGAAATCAGGAGTGGCTATATTAATATCAAGTAGACATGAGAGCAAATGAAATTGCTAGAGACAGAAAGGAATATTTTTTTCTTATCATTATACAATGATAAGAGAGTCAATCTGCCAATAAGACATAGCAATGCTACTGTGTGTATACATCAAAAAATAGAACTGCCAATATGTGAAGCTAAAAGTGATAGAACTTAAAAGATAGACAAATCCACATTTATAGTTGCAGACTTCAGCAACCCCCTCTTGTTAATTGACAGAACAACTAGATCAAAAATTCTTCAAGATACAGAACTATATGCCATTAATCAACAGGATCTGTTTGATAGTTATACAACATTCAACAATACCCAACAAAAGAAAAACACACGTTCTCTTCAGTGTGCAAGGAACACACACCAAGATAGACCATACCTGTGTCATAAAACAAGCCTCATAAAATTAGAAGAATTGAAACCATGGAGAATGTGTTCTCCAACCACGGTGGAATAAAGCTGGAAATCAGTGACAAAGATAACAGAAAAACCTACAAACACCTGAAAAAGGTAAACTGAATAGCTCAGTAACTACTAAGGAAGTTGAATTTATAATTTAAAAACTCCCCGAAAAGAAATCTCAAATCTCAGGCCCAGGTGGTTTCACTGGAGATTTCTAACAAACACACAAAGAAAAATTAACATCAATTATACACAGTCTCCTCCAGAAAACAGAAGAGAGGGACTACTTCCTGACAAAGCTGTTATTACCCTGATACCCAAGCCAGACAGAGACAGTGGAAAAAACAAAACCAAACAGTCCAATATTCCTCATGGGTATAGACACCCGAATTCTTTAAAAGTATTAATAAGTGGAATTCAGCAATATATGAAAAGAATTATAAAGGTTTATTCCATGTACTCAAGGCTTGTTTAATAATTGAAAAATCTATCCATGTAATCCACTATTTTAGGCTAAAGAAGAAAAATCACATAATATTAATAAATGCAGGAAAACATCTGACAAAATTCAGTGTCGATTCATGACAAAAACTTAGAGAAATGTAGAAATAGAGGGGAACATTCTCAACTTGGTAAAGAACATCTACAAAAAAACTTAGAGCTAATATTAAAATATATGTGGTGAAATATAAGTGGTAAAGACTAAATGCATTCCTCTGAGACAGGAAACGGGCAAGGATATCTGCTCTCACTATTCTTGTTCACATAGCACTGGAAGAGTTAAAAAATACAATGAGAGGAAAACAAGACATACAGATTGGAAGGGAAGTAATAAGACTCTCTATTTGATTTTGACATAGTTGTTTACATAGAAAAGTTGTCTACCTAGATTCCCAAGGAATCTAAAATAAAATGAAATAATGTGTTTTAAGCAAGGATATAGGATACCAGATAAATACACAAAACCACTTTTTTTTTAAAAGATTTTATTTACTTATTTGACAGAGAGAGACAGCGAGAGAGGGAACACAAGCAGGGGAAGTGGCAGAGGGAGAAGCAGGCTTCCCACTGAGTAGGGAACCTGATGCGGGGCTTGATCCCAGGACCCCAGGATCACCACCTGAGCTGAAGGCAGATGCTTAATGACTGAGCCACCCAGGTGCCCCTACAAAAGCACTTTTATTTCTGTATAGTAGCAATAAATGTGTGGACCCTGAAATTAAAAATACAGTATCGGGGCACCTGGGTGGCTCGGTCGGTTAAGTTTCTGCCTTCAGCTCAGGTCATGATCCTGGGATTGAGCCCCACATCAGGCTTCCTGCTCAGCAGGGATTCTGCTTCTCCCTCTCCCTCTGCTCCTCCCCCTCTCCTGCCCCTGCACATAAAATCTTTAAAAAAAATACAGTCTCATTTATAAGTGCTCAAAATGTGAATTAGAGGGCACCTGGGTGGTGCAGTTGATTAAGCATCTGACTCTTGGTTTCAGCTCAGGTCATGATCTTGGGGTTTTGAGATCAAACCCTGCATAGGGTTCTGCACTTGGTGCAGAGTCTGTTTGAGACTCTGTCTCTCTCTGCCCCTACACTTTCTCTCTCTCTCTCTCTCTCAAATAAATAAATCTTTAAAAAATATGAATTAGGTGTAAATCTAACAAGATAGACAGGATCTGTATGCTGAAAATTTCATTATAATGTTGATGAAAGAAATTAAAAAAGATCTAGATAAATGGAGAGAAAAACAGTGTTCATGGATTGGAAGACTCAATACAGTAAGGATGTTAATTCTCCCCAAATTGACATACAGGTTTAATGTGACTCCTGTGAAAATACCAGCAAGGTCTTTTGTAGAGATAGATGAGCTTATCCTAAAATATGTGCAGAAAGGCAAAGAAACTATAATAGCTAAAACAATTTTGAAAAAGCAGCATAAAATGGAAGGAATCAATCTACCTGATTTCAAGTCATTTTTTAACTACATTAATCAAGAGTATGTAGTTTTGGTAAGGGACAGGCACACAGCTCAATGCAGCAGAATAGAAAACCCAGAAATAGATCTACACAGATAGGCCCAAATGACTTCGTCAAAGGAGCAAAAACAATTCATTGGAGAAAAGATAAACTTTTCAACAAATGGTGCTGGAGCAATTGTATGTTCATAGCAAAAAAACAAATTAAAAAACCCTTGACCTAAGTCTCATACTTTATACAAAAGTTAACTAATAATTTATCATAACTTAAATGTAAAACTATAAAACTTTTAGGAAAAAAAATTGGAAAAAAATCTTCAGAATTTAGAGTAGGCCAAGATTTTCAGAGTCAATACTAAAAATGTGATCCAGAAAAGGAAAAATTGATAAATTGGACCTCATCAAAATGAAAAGCTTTTGCTTTTGAAGAAGATGAAAAGACAAGCTGAAAACTGGGAGAAAATATTCGCAAACCACATATCTGACAAAGGATTGGTATTTCAAATATATAAAGAACTCTCAAAACTCTACAAAAAAAAAATAGCCAAACCAAACAATTCAATTAGAACATGGGCAAAAAGAGACATTTCATAGAACAGGATATAAAAATGGCAAATAAGCACATGAAGATATTTTCTACATCATTAACCATTAGGGAAATGCAAATTAAAATCAAAGTGAAATGTTACTACATACCTATCAGAATGGCCAAAATTAAAAATAGTTCCAACACCAAATGCAGGTAAGGATGTGGAGAAACTGGATCAATCAAACACACTGAATGGGAATATAAAATGATACAGCCACTTGGGAAAACATTTTGGTGGTTTTGTATAAAATTAAACATGCAAATATTATATGACCCAGTAATTGTACTATCCCAGAGAGATGAAAACCTATGTTCACAGGACAGACAAACTTTATGCAAATATTTATAGCAGCTTCATTAGCAATAGCCAGCTATCCTCTAGTGGTTGAATGTTTAACTGTGATACATCTATACTTATTTTTGTTTATTGATCTTAAATCCAGATACCTTACTAAACTCTCTTACACATTTTTATGATTTTTAAGTCAAGCAGATAGGATTTTTGCGGTAACAAATTCTTTCTATAAAGTTGGTTCATTTCTGGTGCTTACTTTTCAGTAATCATACTTAATTTCTTTTTTCCCCAGTCTTATGGTATTACCCAGAAACTCCTGAGCAGTTGCAAATAAATTTGATGATAGAACCTAGTCTCTTCTTGATCCTGACTAACATGGAAATGCTTTAACATTTTATAGTAAAGTGTGGATAGTTGCTTTTTGTTTGCTTTTATCAAATTTGTGAAGTCTTGCTAAGAATTTTTTTTTCTAGAATGCATGTTAAGCTCTTTACTATTTTTTCTGCCTCTATTGATAGGATAATGCTTTTTCTTTTTTAATTCATTAATATATCACTCTTGAGCATCTGTTTTTGAGCGTACTGGTAATACATATTTTCTTTTTTGGGAAAATATTTGTTCATGTTGTTTGTTCATTTTTCTATTGGGATATTTATATTTTTATTGGTTTATAGGATTTCTTTACATATTTTTCTTACTAATTATTTGTCAGTTATATGTATTATAAATGTCTAGAAGCCATTTACCCAGTTGGTAACTTGGTCTTACACTTTATTTAAGGCATCTTTTGATTAACAGAAGTTCATCCCAAACTGTTTCGATGTAGGTTTCTGAGTGTCAAAACTTCCAAGACATCGTTTGCATGCCTGAAAATATTTGCGTTAAACTTTCACATTTGTTTGATATTTGGGAAATTTAAAGGTCTAAATTTAAAGGTCTTCTATTTAGATAACTAAAAATAAAAATTCACTGTCTTCCTATATCTTGTATTGTTAAAAAGACTGATGACAATTTGATTCTTTTTTTTTAAAAGATTTTATTTATTTATTTGAGAGAGAGAGAATGAGAGAGAGAGAGAGAGCACGAGATGGGGGAAGGTCAGAGGGAGAAGCAGACTCCCTGCTGAGCAGGGAGCCACATGTGGGACTGGATCCTGGGACTCCAGGATCATGACCTGAGCCGAAGGCAGTTGCTTAACCAACTGAGCCAACCAGGTGCCCTGACAATTTGATTCTTGTTCTCCTGAAGATGATCCGCTTTTTCTCTCTGGAAAGTTGAGATCATCTTATCACAATGAGCCATTCTCTAGATCAATGTTTCTCCAAGTGTGATCCCTGGACCAGCACCATCACCATTCTTTTGGAAATACAAATTCTAGTGACCCACCCCAGACCTACTGAAAACAAAAAACAAAAAACAAAAAAAACCCCTCAGGGTACATCTCAGCAGTCTGTATTTAAAGACTTCCAGGTGAATCTGATGCATGCAAATCAGGTGATGCATGGAATCACTATTCTAGATCCTTGCTACTCTAAATGTGGGCCAGAGTTCAGCATCATCAGCTACATCTGTAAATGTATCAAACATGACATGATGTTTGGTTATAGTGACTACACTTTCAAAAACACTATTTTCATATCGAGATGATGAAAACTTAACTTTCCTATATCTTTCAACCTTATTAAAATTATTTGCCAAATGCTGTCCTGGCAAAGTTTTCTAACAAAGTTTATGTTAAAGTTTCATGTGCATTATTTGTTACCTGATAAGTGCAGTACATTTTTAGACCCTGATTTTCATAATTTTCTTTTATTAACTACTAGAGACATTGAACTTTGCTATTAAAATTTAATTTTCATATTTTTTAACTTTGTCTTTATTTTACAGGCTTTGTTAGAAACAGCTGAAATGCAAACAGAAAAACAATTGTCAAGCCTATCAGGAAAAATAGAATGTGAAGGACCTAATCGTCATTTCAATACCTTCATTGGAACCTTGTATCTAAATGGTAAAAGGTATCATCTTTCACTTCTCAAACCTTTTTTTTTCTTAATGGAACTTTAAAAAATGGCAGTTTTTATTCTCTTGGTTGATAACATTTTAAACCTTTATACTTTTTCATTTTTTACTTGATTTTGAAATACCTGAGGCATCAATATATTGTTTTTAAAAAAAGAAATTCTTAAGTATAGGAGGAAAGTGTATGACATTTTCTTAATCAGTTTACTTGCAAATGGAAGGACTAGAGAAGTCAGGTCCAAGTTCCCATTGCAGACAAGCACTTAGCACATCCCTTAGGGTAAATTAGTGGAAAGAACAAGGTTTTGAAAGTCATCCAGGGAGAGAAGCCACTAAGGATTTAGTTTGATAACGATGAAGGATTTTTCCTAATTTCTACTCCATTTCTACTTAGCTTCTACTTTAGACTTTCACAAAAACATCTTTTATATGGTGAGTTGGGCTGTGCTGGAGGGGACAAGTAAATATGGCAGACTGATCTTGCTTTATATACTCTGAATGACCACATGTAATCTTTTCTATAGATTACCAAATTGGCACACAGGTATTTATTCCTCCACCTAATCTTTCTTGACAATAAGATTTATAGTCACCCTAGGTATCAGAGATATTTTCTCTCCAAAATTTTAGTCAACATACTTTTTGGGGTTAGTGAGAAATGGATGATAAAACATTGTTTTTCCATGCTCATTTAGAAGGAGGTACTTTCTATGAAGACACATTTGTTTTTATTGCTATTTCCCCCCAGTGTTGAACTTGACAAAAGGAAATATATATAAGGTGAAAGCTTAGGCTTGCTTTACGTTGTGAAAAGAAAAGAAAAAACTTTTTGGTTAATTTATAAATGCTCTCCTTTATTTTTAGCCCTGTTCCAATTGGGCCTGATCAGATCTTGCTAAGAGGCACACAACTTAAAAATACTCAGTGGATCCTTGGCATAGTTGTTTACACTGGATTTGAAACCAAATTCATGCAGGTAAAATAATTTGTGATGACAGATAGTATTGCCTCTAGTTTTTTCTTCTTTTAGGAGGTGAGGGATTTAGTATTTATCTCTTGAATTTAGGAAGCTTATTTCTGGGGGCACCTGGGTGGCTCAGTTGGTTAAGTGTCTGCCTTTGGCTCAGGTCATGATCCCAGAGTCCTGGGATCAAGTCCCACACTGGGCTCGCTGCTCAGCGGGAAGTCTGCTTCTCCTCCTCCTTCTGCCCCTCCTCCTGCTCCTGCTCTCTCTCTTAAATAAATAAATAAAATATTTTTTTTAAAGGAAGCTTATTTCTGTTTATTAGCCTGAAGTTTGGAAGGGAGGTCCATATTTCATTTTAGTCTATATGGCTCCCATTTATGGTAAAATTATTTTGGCCAAATGACATCAGAAATTCTATGTAAATTCTTACTCTCATGTACCATTCCTCTCAGTCATCTTTCTTTCTTTTTTTAAATTCTATAATGAACAAATATTTAATAATACGTGTACAGACATACATATAAACGTGCAGAAAACATTTTGTGTTGGCAAAAATGGTATCAATCTGTACAGACTATTATATGAATTGCTATTTAAGACTTGAAATTACATTCTATATTAACATATGGAGGGGTGCCCGGGTGGCTCAGTTGGTTGAGCATTGGACTCTTGATTTCGGCTCAGGTTATGATCTCGGGGACGTGGTGGGATTGAGCCCTATACCGGGCTCCACGCTTAAGGCAGAGTCTGCTTGAGGTTCTCTCTCTCTCCCTCTATCCTTCCTCCCACTTGTGTGCTTGCTCTGTCTTAAATAAATAAATAAATCTTTAACATGTGGAAATGACGTAGTTACATTAGAGAGTCTAGGGGAGAGAAACTATTATAAATATTGCTGCAGTGAACATGGATAGTTGCTTATTTTTTTCACAGAGATAAAGCTCTAGCATTGAAATTGTTGAAACAAAAGGCAGTATATTTTTTGAAAGTTTTTATTTAAATTCCAGTTGGGGAGAGCTGGTTGGGGGGATGGGTTGAATAGGTGATAGGGATTAAGTGTTGTGATGAGCACCAGCTGTTGTGTAGAAGTGCTGAATCACTAAAATGTATGCCTGAAAATCAATCGCCGTCTTTGTTTTGGAGTAGGAATTTTTGCATGTTTATTATTCATGAGAAGTAACTTAACAGTAAGTCTACCCATTATACCATCTGCTAAAATACAACATTTGGCTTTGACTATTCCTTCTACAAATATCTCTTTAGTACTTATGTAATGCCAGACACTGTGCTAAGACCTTGGGGTGTAGTAGGCCTGTTGCCTGTCCTTGAGTTACTTGCAGTGTGTGAAGGAAGACAGTCAAGGTAACAAAATAGCAAGAGGTCACTCAGGAGGGGTAAGTATAGGATGCTCCATGTCTGCAGAGGCGCTCCATCCAACCTGATGCTGAGGCTGTTGTGGGGAAGTAGCATGTAAAGCAAGACCTGAAGGCTGAGTGGAATACATGGGAGTGTCAAGGGTTTGGGGAGGTTCAGAAAGAAAGGGAGGCAGGTGGGACAGCGCTAGGCCAAGAATTGGCATGTGCCCTATTGGGCAGTGCAACTCAGTGTGACTGAGAGCAGAGAGAGAATGCATGGAATGGTGACAGACTAGTCTGAGGAAAGTTGGAGGCTGTACGACTGAAGACCTGGGTACATTTTCTTGCAAAGCTATTACTGGTCTGTGACATCCCCCTGTGTTTGCTTCCCAAGTTCTTGTCTCACTTTTCTTTTACCTCTCATTCTTCCTGCCCTGGGATTGTACCCTGCAATAACACATTAATGGGTAAGATTTCCTTACACTCTGTATACTAGAAACCCCAGACTAAGACAGCGATATAAACACAGCCTATCCCCAAATAGAAGTTTGTATTTGGACAGGGAACCAAGGGCAATGTAGAACACACAAAATCATGACCCATGATTCAGTTGTAAACGGCTCCACCCTCAAACAGTACACTTCAAATGATCGTGCTGGCTTACTTAATTGTCCACCTGGTAATACAACACTGCATCTCAGATTTCACTGTCTACTGTTAATGGAAAAAGCCCACTCCATTACCCCCCAGTATGGCTTGTCTGTGCTGCAGCTCATTGGAAAGTGCATCCTTCTTTATGATATTTTGTGGATGTAAATCACTGCACAAGTTGATTATACATGTTGATTGTGTCATTTAAGAATAACAGAAATCTCCAGGAGAGGAAGAATGAAGGGGAGTAAGTCAGAGGGGGAGACGAACCAGGAGAGATGATGGACTCTGAAAAACAAACTGAGGGTTCTAGAGGGGAGGGGGGTGGGGGGATGGGTTAGCCTGTTGATGGGTGTTAAAGAGGGCACATTCTGCATGGAGCACTGGGTGTTATGCACAAACAATGAATCATGGAACACTACACCAAAACAAATGATGTAATATATGGTGATTAACATAACAATAAAAAATTAAAAGATTAAAGAAAAAAGAACAGAAATCTGAAAGAGTGCTTTTTCATGACTTCAGAAAAGAAAGAACTAGTAAATGTCAGTATTTCCTTATTGAAAGATTTTAAGTACAACACCCTTAGCTGAAAACTGTTTTATATTGTATAACATTTGAAGACATTACTTATACAGGTTAACAAAAGAGAAGGAATGATGTGATTGCTTTGGAGATATTATACATAAGTATATATATATTTATATATATGTATATATATAAATTATGTGCACACACAGATGTTCTCTAATACTAGGCTTAATGCAGTTAAACCTAGATTTTAAAAAATCTTATTCATATGCTTTGTAAAAAAGTTGAGTAATTTAGAGTACTAACTCATATTTTCATAACTTGTAGACTTCAAGAATTTATGCTTCTACATTTAAAAAAATGTAGAAATGGTAAACTTAATCTGTCAAAGTGTGATTGAAAAGTTAAATATCTATATCTACCTATATCTGTATATATCTCTATGCTTGCCAATTATATATGTTATATATTAAAAAATTAAATACACACATATTTGCCAATATTTCAGTAGACCTCAGCAGACAATTATCAGAAATTTATGGGCAATTCTGAAATGCTAATAGAAAATTATTATTTGAAACTCTCACTGTATCCCTAACCCAGAGCTTTGGTTTCCCTAAAATATGCATGTGTCAGAACAATTATTGTACTGGTAAAATCTCGAATATTTTCCCAACAGACTCAGATGAAAGGTATCTTCCTATGGTTTTTAAACCAGAAGTAATTCAATAACTATAAATAGTAAAACCAACAAATTAGTACGGTTTTTTATTGGGGGGTTCTGTACAGAAGATCACCTAGACTGATTTACCACATTGGATTTTTTTGTATTCATGAATTAAAATTCCTTTGATTGGTTTTCATTCTTTTTGGTGTGTGTGCATGTGCTATTATGCAGAATTCTATCAAATTGCCTCTCAAGAGATCAAATGTTGAGAAGGTGACCAATGTGCAGATCCTGGTATTGTTCCTGCTGCTCCTGGCCATGTCCTTGGTGAGCTGTTTGGGAGCCATACTCTGGAATGACTGGTACGGAAAAGGCATTTGGTACATCGGGACAAAGGGTAAGTGTCCAAGGGTGGTAAGAAGCTACCATTTTGGGAGCTGTAATGCTGTAACCCTGAGGGTTAATGAGTTTAGAAACAATGTTTCCTTCTTAAGATTGTTCTGCCAGTTCCGCATAATCTTGGCATTCCAGAAAAAAGGAGAGGGAGGAGTCAAGGCAGAGGAATGAGACTGTGAGCCAGACAGATAAGGCCCACATCTCTGCCTCTACCACCTAGTCACCGGGAGAAGTTGGACAAGGCTTTTTACTTGTCTGGGCTTCTCTTTTTACTACTTCTTCCCTCATTTGAAAATGGCGATAATACCCACCTCACTGGGTTAGTACAGTGCTCTGTGGACAATGAATGATGCCAAGAAAATGATGACAAGGGGCCCCCCGAAGGGGATTCAGTGGTTAAATTGACCAGAAGGTCAGTAAAAGATTTAAAGGTAAACTATCCTTGGCATTAAAAGTTCAGTCTTTTTTTTTTTTTTTTTTGGCTTATGTCTTTCCATGTTTTCAGAATTAGCTGTCATACATCCTTCTGCCTTTTCTCATCTATCAGCTAAGGATTTTAAAAATTTTTCTAACTTCCTTTGAGAGGATCTGTCTGGGAGCATCTTAAAAATAAAGAAGCTAAGATAAAGACTTTGTAGATTGGATAAAAAAAAATCAAAGATTCATTCTCACGCAATCTGGATTTCTAGATATACCTATCCAGTTTTTATCTCAAGCTTTTAGATTTTCAATGATTTCAAAAAAGTAATCTCAATTTAAATGTGCTTGTTTAATTTGTCCGAGCCAGGGGCTGTGAATATTATATTTTGAAACAGACATAAATTCTTACAGAAGTCACTGATATTTTGTTGCGGATAAAATGTGTCAAGTTCTACATACCCTACAAATGACCTGTTCTTTCCTTCTTGATCAGATTTCTTGAAAGAAGAGACAACCCTCATTGTTTCTATTTTCTTGCATCCTGGTCACTCTTGGGTCCATTTCCATCTGCTGTCCACTTCAACCAGTCCACTGGAATTGTGGCTCAAGGGAAGGATCAATTCCTAATTGCCAAACCCAGTGGTCATTTTTTTAAGTGGGATCTAACTGGACCCCTGCCACCCTCTTCTGATATTTTTTTAAACCATCTCTTCCCTATTTGATTCATAGAAACTTTGATCCACCTTTTAAAGGCTGGTATTTTTCAGGACCCTAGGTTCACCAGGAATGTCTCAACTTGAGTCCATAAATCCTAAAAATTTTGTGAGAACTTCATTCATATATGTATATGTGCATGTTGTTTTCCTGCAGAAGGGCCTTCACTGGCTTCTTAGGGATTACCTTGTCCAAGAAAATCCTTCTAAGAGAGCTCACTTGCTCTAATAATTTCACCTGTCATCCATCAGTTGATGTCTTCTACCTGTTTGCCTCAAGCTCAGATCACTCTCTGAATTATTAACTCATTGTTGTCTGGACATTGCTTTGCAGGTATCATGTAGACTTCTTTTTTTTTTTCAATTTAATTTAATTTTATTAGGTTATGTTAGTCACCATACAGTACATCATTAGTTTTTGATGTAGTGTTCCATGATTCATTGTTTGTGTATAACACCCAGTGCTCCATGCAGTACGTGCCCTCCTTGATACCCATCACCAGGCTAACCCATCCCCCCACCTCCCCTCCCCTCTAGAACCCTCAGTTTGTTTCCCGGAGTCCATAGTCTCTCATGGTTCGTCTCTCCCTCTGATTTCACCCCTTCATTTTTCCCTTCCTTCTCCTGATGTCCTCCAAGCTATTCCTTATGTTCCACAAATAAGTGAAACCATACGATAATTGACTTTCTCTGCTTGACTTCTTAATTCAGCACGTACAAAATTAAATGCATCTTTTTTCCCCAAACCATTGTCTTTTTTCAGTATTCTCCATGTAAATTGTAGGTACTCCATCCCACCATCATCCAAGCTAGAAACATAAAGGTCACTCTTAGTCCTCCTTCTCAGCTTCCTCCTCTTTTCCCGACTCCTACCCCTATGGCCTTCCTCATCCAATCAGTCCCAAAGTCTTATTCATTCAACCTTTTCAGTATTTTCTCTGTGTGTACTCTCTTTTTCATCCCTGGACAACTGTCACAGTTTTCCAACTGGTTGCCCAGCCCTCAGTCAAGTTCTACTCGAATTCATTCTTCATACAGTTTCCAGAGAGATGCAGATAAAAAATAGGAATACATGCAGTCGCTTCAGTGTATCCTGTTGTTTATACTGGCATGTAGACTACTGCCTGATGGCCCACTGCTTGTTTTTGTAAATAAAGTTTTATCGGAGCACAGCCATACTTATTTATTTATGTATTATCTGTGATTTATTTCAGTGCTACAATAGCAGAGTTGAGTAATTGAAACAGAGACTATGTCCTACAAAACCTAAAATATTTACCCTCTGGCTGTAGACTCCTGGCCTACAGGGTCAAGATAAATCTCCTTTAGCATGGTATATCAGGACTTTTATAATCTGGTCCTATCTCCATCACCTGATACCTCACCACTTCTTCCTGAGCACTTGGTCTCTATTCACAGAAGGTTGACTTTTGTTCTATTTCATGATCCTTCCATCCACCAGTTGCTTCAGCATCCCCAGGCCTTTCATCTTGTGCTCCTTTCTTCTGCTTCAAATGCATCTCTGGTCCCTTCTTGACTGGATACCTGTCACTTCTCATTTCGGTCCAAGATGAGGTATTACCTTCTCCGGTAGCATTTCCTATATCTTATCTTCCTCTTTTCATTTAATGAGGAGCCCTCTTGGCTTCTATAATGCAATCCTGAATAGACATCATTCCATTTCCATGTTTTACAATTATTGTTTGTCCCTCCCCCCAGCTAGACTGTGAATTTTTGAAAATTGTGAATTTTGGGGAATCACTGTATCTTTAACTCCAAGAACAGTGCCTTTTCATAATAGGAACTCAGTAATTTTTTGGCTAAAAGAAATAATTTTATATTTAGAAACAGAACTATATAGTTTTCTAGTCCAGCCCCTTGTTTTATGAAAGTGAAACAGATTCTGTATATTTCCCAAAAAGCACAGAGGAACTTAGTGGCTTATTTGGAATGAGAATCCATAATTGGCTCTAGACTACTACACCACTCTACCAGGATATTCTAGTCCAAAAGAAGAAAAAGGTATTGGGTAATTAAAGTGTAACTGTATTTTTAATAATTAATAAATATATCAAAGCACTTGATCTTGTCTCCACTTCTCTGTCCATCAAATGGTCATAATAATATCTGCCTCTAGTATTCCTAAAAGAATAATTTATGACCACAAAGTAGTACAGTAAATATAAAAGTATAAATATGGCAAATAAGGGGAAGTTCATAAACTCAATGGTGATAAGAGTTTGAATAGATATGATAGCGAATTAAACTTGACTTTTGTTTTTATTTTTTTATTTTTTTAAAGGCTTTGTTTGTTTATTTGACAGAGAGATAGAGAGCACAAGTAGGCAGAGTGGCAGGCAGAGGGAGAGGGAGAAGCAGGCTTCCCACCAAGCAGGGAGCCCAATGCGGGGCTTGATCCCAGGACCCCGGGGCCACAACCTGAGCTGAAGGCAGCTGCTTGACCGACTGAGCCACCAGGCGCCCCAAACATGACTTTTAAATTGATGGAATTTAGAAATCTAGATTTAACTACTGTTCTAAATTACAAGTGTGCTCCCTTTTTAGGAAAAATGAATATAAAGTTTTAACTTAAAATTATTATTTAATTTTGAATTTATATATACATATTTGTGTTTAATTACACTTTACAAATCAATTTGTGTTTAGTTCTTTTCAGTTATAACCCCACCTCCCATAACTCAACATATAAATTTAATATTTAAGGTTGAGATGTAAGTTTTGAGAAAGACATGTATAAAGCAGCATGTATATATCCCCTGAATACCTTCTAGATATTTTTCAGGGCATTTCTGTGAAATTAGATTGAATTTTTATTGGAAAATTACTCTCTCAAATGTATCCATCTCTTTAAAAAGGAGGCTATCAGGGGCGCCTGGGTGGCTCAGTCGGTTAAGTGGCTGCCTTTGGCTCGGGTCATGATCCCAGGGCCCTGGGATCGAGTCCCGCATAGGGTTCCCTGCTCAGCAGGGAGCCTGCTTCTCCCTCTCCCACTCCCCCTGCTTGTGTTCCCTCTCTTGCTGTGTCTCTCTGTCAAATAAATAAATAAAATCTTAAAAAAAATAAAAAGGAGGATATCACTAGGTTTTACAAAGTATATTCATTTTCTTTTCTTTTCCTTTTGGTTTCACTTTCCTTCTTCCCCTGAATTTTAAAAATCATTCATTATTTGTCTTCAAGCCATGTAGTTCCTGCTAAATAAGATGTCATCCCCATTCTCTTCCCCTCATCTTCTCCATTTAACAAACTCCCTTCTTCAAACTTTGCTGCACCCTCTTTCTGGGCCCTCCACTTTGTGCTGTTGTTGGGACTCTCCGTGGTCAGTGCTAGCACGGAATTCATCACGCCGTGCTTCCTGACTCATCTTCCCTTCTCAAGCTGCATCCAAAGCTCCCTGAGGCCAGGGTCTATCTCTTGCTAGATCTTGTACTTTGATACTTGCCATCCACCCTATTACACGGTTGGTGCTTCACTGATTCTTTAAAAACCATTTTGATGTGTCCATTTTCGTTATACTTTTAAGAAGTTTCATGCAGAAATGTTCACAATTGTAAAAAGTAATAATGCAAACAAAGATGAAGAAAGCTATTGCCTGAAGCTGTGACATGATTCCTCTGCTCTTCTTCCGCAGATTACAGCTCCCACAGTTTAGGGTTTGACTTATTGGTGTTCATCATCCTGTACCACAATCTCATCCCCATTAGCCTGCTGGTCACTCTGGAAATTGTGAAATGTGTGCAGGCCATGTTTATAAACTGGGTGAGTATTGAAATCAGAATGTTTAAAAAACAGTTCTCTCTTGATCTGTGGCTTTGGTTTTGAAAATCAGCATAGCAGTTCTCACCATGGGGCTAGTACGTGGGCCAGTTGTGCTTCTGACAGGAAAGCCAAACATTGGTGTCAGCCTGACTCCAACATGCCTGGGCCTCTCTGTGTCACTCTTGAGGACACCATTGTTTCATATGTTTATTCTAACTGAAAGGGAAGATTTAAGAGTTAGTGGCTTAGTAGCAACTGTGAAGAGATAGCCCATTAAGAGAGAACCCATTCAGCGGGAAGCCTGCTTCTCCCTCTCCCACTCCCCCTGCTTGTGTTCCCTCTCTCGCTTTGTCTCTCTCTGTCAAATAAATAAATAAATAAAACTTAAGAAAAAAATATAAGATCCTCGAGAGGAGTCCAGTAGACTTATAATAGATTTACATATCTTGGCAAGAGTGACAGAAACAGCTATTTCAGAATCATTTCACATTAAGGAAAAGATATCTTAAGTGAAAGCCATGCATTCACTTAAGTAAATACTTAATAACATGTGACTGAATGAATTTTCCGACTTGAATGTATGGTTGCAATTTTCAGTTCTGTTTTAAAAGATTTTTCCTGGAAGTAAGATTTTTGCTAGATATCTCATTAAAATGATCTCCCTATGCCAATAAATTACCACCACTTGAAGGGTACTGTTATTTTTTTTTTTTTAAAGATTTATTTGTTTATTTCAGAGAGAGAGAGAGAGAGAGAGCATGAGAGGGAAAAGGGTCAGAGGGAGAAGCAGACTCCCCGCCGAGCAGGGAGCCCAATGCGGGACTCGATCCCAGGACTCCAGGATCATGACCTGAGCCGAAGGCAGTCGCTTAACCAACTGAGCCACCCAGGCGCCCCGAAGGGTACTGTTATTTTTAACAACCACAAAATGAGACAGAGTGCTTTTAAATGTATTCCCATAATTTTCATAGGAATGCTGGGAGATCCGTGTTATTGCTCCCATTTTATAGATGTAGTAGCTGCAAAGCACCTTCAGGATCCCACAGAGTGAGAGCCTGAGGCAGAGCTGGGATTTGGAAGCCAAGTCTTCCAGTACCAAACCAACGATACACTGACATTTGTTTCTATATAGCATTGCCTCTCCTGAATCAGCTCTGCCAACGTATGTGAGACACTAGCACCCGAGACTCTCCAAGTATTCTAGACTCGCCATTTTGAATTCTTTCTCATGTCAGCCATGTCAGAAGACCAGTGGCGGTACAGTCGACCTGAAGAAATTTTGAGCCTAGTTCTGACTGTGTGTCTCGGCTATTTTGTTCATGTCTTGCAGGATGAAGATATGCATTATAAAGGAAATAATGTCTATGCCATGGCCAGAACATCCAATCTTAATGAAGAGCTTGGGCAGGTGAGGGCCCCTTCAGGGACTGGGTACGTGACAGGAACTTTGAAGAAGGTGGATCTAGGGAGAGGGTGAGCAAAGCCGGAAGTGCTGAATTCAGCCACAGGCTGTAGTTAATATGATACCTATATGGAGCTTCAAAAGTAGGATTTGTTAAAAATATTGATAATGCATCCTGGGTTGCAACCTAATACAGGTTATTAATGTGCTTAGGAAGAGGCAGGTAGGGAAAGCTTCAGTTAGCTCTCAAGTTTTCACTTAGCTTTCAGGGAGTCACAGGAGCTTGGAGACCTGCTACATGTGGCCATGCTCCTGCTTCCCTAAGGCAGATGACCCTTGGGGAAGCTTCTGGAGCTGCTGTAAAATTTTCCACCTGCCTAACCCATGTACCCTCAGGCCTTTAGTCCCTGCCATACACTACAAAGGGGCAGAAATGATGCCAGGTTACCAACAGACGGTTGGTTACCTTCTAAATGACAGTGGCGTGGTTACAAGTAGAAATTGTTTTTAAAAACTCCCACAGTTATTTGTCAGTTATACCACAGGACAGCTGGAAGAACCCAACGAACTCCCATGGTTGTGTGGTACCTGACAGGAGGAAGACTTCTGATTGTTATTTTTCTGTAATTACTTTTTGTTCTTAATATATTTTTTTACAAGATTATAATTTTCCCATCTTTCAATTAATTGGAGGCAATATGTAAATTATGGTAAAAGCAGAATTTTGGAGTTAAGCTTCCTGGGAGTGAACCCTGATTTCACCCATTTATAAGCAAAGTCACCATGGGCTTCTTAGGTAACTTGTTGGCCTTCATTCCTCATCTGTAAATCAGGAGAGATGATAGCATCTACTTCAGAAAGTTGTTCGGGGGATTGAATAAGATAATGTATTTGTGGGACGCCTGGGTGGCTCAATCAGTTGAGTCTGCCTTTGGCTCAGGTCATGATCCCAGGGTCCTGGAATCGAGCCCCGCATCCGGCTCCCTGCTCAGCGGGGAGCCTGCTTCTCCCTCTCCCTCTGCCTGCCGTTCTGCCTACTTGTGCTCTCTATCTCTCTGTCAAATAAATAAATAAAATCTTTAAAAAAAAAAAGATAATGTATTTTTGATATACTCAGCATAGTACCTAGTATGAAGAAGGGATTTAATTAATGCTAATAATTATAACCAGCAATTTGCATATATGCTTTCTAATTTAGGGTCACCTTGTATAGTATCATTTGAATAGAGAGTTCCCAGTAAATAATTATTTTAGAAGGTTTCTGGTGCCTGGAAATGCCTGATAAGAGAACATGAACAGCATTTTTACCTTGGACAAGTAAAGAAGGAGGATGGAATCATCAGCGTTCTAGCAACTTTTCTGCTTATGAAAATCTGATTACTTGCTAATCCTCTAAACATATGTTTTCTGTTGACAGTTAGGAAAAGATTACTTTATCTACCTTGCCTTGTCAGTTGACTCTAGCCTCTTTAGGGTGGTAATTAAATATAATAAAACTGGCTGTGGAACTCAAGCTTTAAAAATTAATTATATTGTTTATGTAGGTAATACATAAAGATAAGGGCAGAAATCAATGAAATCGAATATTGTCTTATTAATTAATTAAACCCTATAGAGGGTTTAATATTCAGAATATATCAAAAAACTACAACTCAATTGCAAACCACAAATAACCCAATTCAAGAATTGGCAAGGGATTTTAATAGGCATTTCTCCAAAGAATATATATAAATGGACAATAAGCACATGAAAAGTGGTCAACATTACTAATATCTAGGGAAATGCAAATTAAGACCTCATTGAGACACCATTTCATGCCCACTAGGATGGCTACTATAAAACAATAATACCAACAGAGAGCAACAAGTGTTCATGAGGACATGGAGAGAATGGAACCCTTGTCCACTCCTGGTGAAAATATAAAATGATGCAGCCACTGTGGAAAACAGTATGGGGAAACCTCAAAAAATTAAACTGAGGATTACCATATGTTCCAGCAATCCAACTTTTGGATATTTTCATGAAATAATTGAGGGTAGGGACTCAAAAATTGTATGCAGATGTTTTTAGCAGCCTTATTTACAATAGCCAAACGGTGGAAACAACTGAAATTCCCATCAATAGATAAATGGTTAAACAAAATGTGGTATATACATGAAATGGAATATCATTCAGCCCCGAAAATGATTGAAATTCAGAAACATGCTACAACATGGATGGACCTTGAATCTCACACTAAATGAAACATGCCAGACACAAAAGGACAAGTAGTATATGATTCCACTTATATGAGGTACCTGGAATAGTCAGACTCACACAGAAACAGCATAGTGGTTACCTGGGGCCACGGGACAGGAGAGAATGAAGGGTTAGCTATATCGTTGAGGTGATAAGAGGTTTCAGTTTGGGATGATGAAAAAGTTCTGGAGATGGATGGTGGTGATGGTTGCACAATTATGTGAATGTGCTCAATAACATTTAAAAATGGTTAAAATGGCAAATTTTATCTAGGTACATTTTACCACAATAATAAAAAATGCTTTAACACTGCCTCTTTCCCTTTTTTACTGAGCTATAATTGACACATAGGATTATATTAGTTTCGGGTGTACAGCATAATGGTTGATATTTGTAAATATTGCAAAATGACCATCACGATACATCTAGTTAACATCTGTCACCATATATAGTTAGAGAGTTTTGGTGATGAGAACTTTTGAATTTGCAATAGAGTATTTTTTTTTTGAAAATGCAATATAGTATTATTAACTGTAATCACCATGCTCAGGATTTATTTTATAACTGGAAGTTTGTACCTTTTGACCCCCTTTGCCCATTTTGCTCACCCAACACTCCCTGCCTCTGGCAACAACCAATTTTTTCTCTGTAGCTATGAGTTTAGTTATTTTTTTCAGATCACACATGTGAGATCATGTGGTATTTGTCTCTTTGTCCGACTTATTTCAGGTAGCATAATGCCCTTAAAGTCTTTTAATGTTATACAAAGGGCAAGATCTTCTTTCTTATGGCTGAATTGTGTGTGTGTGTGCACGTGTGTGCATAATTATGTATCATTATATATACACCACATTTTCTTTATCCATTCATCCATTGACAGACACTCAAGTTGTTTCATCTTGACTATTGTAGATAATGCTGCCATGAACATGGGGGTACTTATATTTTTTCAAATTAGTTTTTTCATTTTCTTCGGATAAATACCCAGAAATGGAATTGCTGGTAGTTCTATTTTTAATTTTTTGAGGAGCTTCCATGCTATTTTCCATAGTGGTTGCCTCAATTTACATTCCCACCAACAGTGCACCAAGGGTTCCCTTTTCTCCACATCCTCACCAACACTTGTTATTTTTTGTCTTTTGGTAATCGCCATTCTAAGGTGTGAAAGTGATATCTCATTATGGTTCTGATTTGTAGTTCACTGATGATTAGTGATGCTGAGCATCTTTTCATGTGTCTGGTGGCCATTTGTATGTCTTCTTTGGAAGAACGTCTGTTGAGATCCTCTCCTCGTTTTTTAAGTTGGATTGCTATTTTGCTGTTGCATCATATGAGTTCTTTATATATTCCGGATACTAACCCCCCTCACCAAATATATGATTTGCAAATATTTTCTCCCATTCGTTGTGTTGCCTTTTTATTTTGTTGGTGGTTTGCTTTGCTTTACAGAAGCTTTTTAATTTAATGTAGTCCCACTTCTTTATTTTTGCTTTTGTTGTCTTAGTTTTTAGTGTCAAATCCAAAAAAATTCTCACCAACACTGATATCAAAGATCTTACTACCTATGTTTTCTTCTAGAGATTTTATTGTTTCAGTTTCTTCTGTTCAAGTCTTTAGTCCGTTTTGAGTTACTTTTTCATATGGTGTAAGAAAGTGGTCCAGTTTCTTTTTTTTGCATGTAGTTATCCAGTTTATTGAAGAGACTGTCATTTATTTATTGAATACCATTTTTTGAAGAGGCTGTCCTTTACCTAATGTGTATTTTTGGCTCCTTTGTTATAAATTAATTGATGATAGGTGTGTTCGTTATTTCTGAGTTCTCTATTCTGTTCCATTGATCTGTGTGTCTGTTCTTATGCCAGTACCATACCTTTGGATTGCTATAGCTTTGTAATGGAGTTTGAAATCAGGAAGCATGATGCCTCCAGCTTTGTTCTTTTTCAAGATCGCCTTGGTTATTTGGGGTCTTTTGTCATTCCATACACATTTTAGGATTGTTTGTTCTAAATCTGTGAAAAATGCCATTAGAATCTTGATAGGGGTTACTTTGAATCTGTAGTTGGCTTTGGGTAGTATGGACATTTTAACAATGTTGATTCCTCCAATGCGTGAATGTGGAGTATCTTTCCATTTGTTTGTGTCTTTTTCACTTTTTTTTTATCAGTGTATAGGTCTTTCTCTTCCTTGCTTAAATTTATTCCTAGGTATTTTATTCTTTTTAATGCAATTGTAAATGAAATTGTTAATTTCTCTTTTTCTGGTAATTCATTATTGTATAGAAATGCAGTATTACACTATATGTTAACTAACTAGAATTTAAATAAAAATTTTTAAAAAATTAAAATTAAAAAGAGTGAACCATAATGTAAACTATGGACTTCAGTAATAATGATAAGGCAGTGTAGGTTTTTTGACTGTGACAGATGTACCACTCTGGGGCAGGATGTCAATAGTGGGAGAGGCTAATCATGTGCTGGAGCAGAAGATATATGAGAACGCTATACTTTCCACTAAATTTTGCTGTTAACTTAAAACTGCTCTAAAAAATAAAGTCTATTTTAAAAAAACTCAAATAAAAAAAATTAAAAAGAAAACAAAATGCAATAGATTTTTGTATGTTGACTTTATATCCTGTAACTTTACTGAATCCATTGATTCTAACAGGTTTTTGGTGCAGTCTTTAAGGTTTTCTATATATGAAATGTCCTCTGCAAATAGTGACAGTTTTACTTCTTCTTTTTTAATTTGGATGCCTTTCATTTTTCTTGCCTAATTGTTCTGGCCAGGATTTCCAATGCTATGTTGAATAAAGTGGTGAGGGGAGGCACCTCTTCTTGTTTCTGATCTTAGAGGAAAAGCTTTCAGCTTTTCACCGTTGACCATTGGTGTTAGCAGCAGGCTTGTCACATTGACCTTTATTATGGTGAGGTTTGTTCCTTTAACCCCACTTCATTGAGAGTTTTTATCATAAATGGATATTGAATTTTGTAAAATATTTTTTCAGCCTCTATTGAGATGGTTATATGATTTTTGTCCTTTATTTTGTTAATGTGGTATATCACATTGATTGATTTAACTATTCTTATATCCCTAGAATAAATTCTACTTGATTATGTTGTGTAATCCTTTCAATGTACTGTTGAATTTAATTTGCTAATGTGTTGTTAAGTATTTTTGCATCTATGTTCATCAGGGATATTGGCCTGTAATTTTTTTTCTTGTGGTGTCTTTGTTTGGTTTTGGGGGGTGTGTGTGTGTCTATATATCTACTTAATGTTTTCTAGAGACTTTTGATGAGATTTCTTGTGGCAAAAAAATGAACTTGGACTTCTGATTTTCTTAGGTTTGATGGCTTGAAATTTACTTTGCTTATTAGCATAGAAATTTCCCTGCAGTGTAAAACAAAGAGAAGAGAATCTCTGAAAGAAGTATAAATATTAAAGGTAGAATTTTTATTAACTGAACTTCCTGTTTCCTAAAAGTCCAAAGATTTTGAGGATTTGAAGAGAAAGAACTTGATTTTATCTTTGTTCTCTAAATATAGTTTATGTTGTTTATCATGTTTGTTTTTTCTTTGTTTAGGTAAAATACTTATTTTCTGATAAAACAGGAACCCTCACTTGCAATATTATGACATTTAAGAAGTGTACCATTGCAGGTATAATTTATGGGTAAGTGTTCTTATTGCCATACTCTGTTGAAAATTCTCGTTTTTGTCTTAAATTAATTAGCCTTTACTTCAAAACTTATATGAATTTCTAATAACATAGCTATATCTGAATGAGATGGCTGGGTGATAGACATTGGGGAAGGTATGTGCTATGGTGAGCGCTGTGAATTGTGTAAGACTGATGAATCACAGACCTGTACCCCTGAAACAAATAATACATTATATGTTAAAATAGTAGGAAGGGAAAAATGAAGAGGGGGGAATCGGAGGGGGAGATGAACCATGAAAGACTATGGACTCTGAGAAACAAACTGAGGGTTCTAGAGGGGAGGGGGTGGGGGGATGGGTTAGCCTGGTGATGGGTATTAAAGATGGCACATACTGAATGGAGCACTGGGTGTTATATGCAAACAATGAATCATGGGACACTACATCAAAAACTAATGATGTAATGTATGGTGATTAACATAACATAATAAAAATAAAACTTACTATAACCCAAATGAAAATTTTCAGTTGTTAAAAAAATAAGGTTTATATTTACTTTTATATGCGCTTAGAATTCCTAAAGCATTTTATATCTATAGTCTTAAAACCATCATATTTCCTCCCTCATTTTCCCTCAGAAATCAGTCAGACAGAAGTGATATCAATTTGGAAAAGTTAAGGTAACTAGACAACATTCTTTTCTACTTTGTCCATGCTCCTCCCTTCCCGCGCCCCCCCCATGGACTTTTTATCAGTATTGGAGTTCTGATATATGATAACACAGCTGTCCCTTGTCAAGACCTACAAAGGCAGTTCCCAGAAATCTCCCCTGGATAGATCTTTCCCATGTGATATTCAAAGAACCCAGAATCCAGGCTTTGATTTGTTGCTTTTATAGTTACTCTGTCTTAAATTCTGTATAACTATATGGAATTCCACAAAAATTTAGGCATTTTCTAATGCCATTTTGCAACCTGAGTCCTGATAGGATTATAATTTGATAGAACTTTAAATATTTACTATATAGTTTACCCTTGAACAACACAGAGGATAGGGGTGCTGACCGTCCCCACGCAGCTGAAAATCTGTGTATAGCTTTTACCTCCCCAATTAACTACTAAAAGCCTACTGTTGGACCAGAAACCTTACCGATAATATAAACAGTTGATTAACACACATTTTGTATGTGTATTATATAGGGTGCTCTTACAATAAAGCTAGAGAAAAGAAAATGATAACTAAGAAAATTACAAGGAAGACAAAATACATTGACTGTATGAGAAAAATCTGTGTATAAGTGGATCTGCACAGTTGATACCCATGTTATTCAAGCTCTACAAACTTGATACTGTAACTTACTGAAAACGTGTTCACTTGAGGTCCATTTGATTGCTGACTGGCCCCATCAGGAATTTTAGTTACAACAAATCTTCTCTGTTCTTCCTCAGTCTGTCACCCTCTGTCATCACAGAGTCCTGTGAATTTAATGACCCAAAATTACTGCAGAACTTTGAAAATGACCATGTAAGTCTGCTATTTTCACTTAAAGCCAACAGGGGTAATGCTACATAACTTTAAAAAATATATATGGTTTATTAAAAGGTATAATTTTCTCAGCCAGGACAGAGTCTTGAAAATTTTTTTTTGATGTTAATAAACAGTGGACTTCATACTGATATTAGGAGGAGTGTGCTACACTTGTTAGTGTCAATGAATCCAAACATTAAGAAAGAATATTTTACTATGTAGCAATCTATGTAAGAAAATCTCTAAATGCTTCTAAGCTATTTGGTTCTATTGTATGTTACCAATATCTTCACTTACCAGTTTTAAGATACTGATCTACTTGATTTGAAATCTTGATCTTCTCAAAAATAAAAGTGATCTTTTAAAACATAAAACTGTACATGCCCTTCCTTTGCTTAAAAACCTTCAGTGAACTGGCACCCCCTCTTAAGATAAAATCCTAATTCATTACTGTGACTTTCTCTCCATCCTCATTCTGTGTCATTGTTCTTGTTCAAGATGCTGGAGTCACACTTGTCTTGAAGTTCACAAACCTATGAATCTGTTTCCTGACTCAGGGCCTTTGAAAGTGCTATTCCCTTTGCCTAGTATGTACCACAGTCACATGTCAGTGAACACAGCTAACTAACCTTTCCATTTAGGTCTTAATTTAAATATTATCTCCTCGATGTATTCCCCCCCATCACCTCCCTAAAATAGGTCCCTCTATTCTCTGTAACAACCCCTATTTTTTCCTCCAGCTTTGAGAAACCTCTTTCCCCAGTGAGACTAGAAGCTCCAAGAGAGCAGGGTCATCTTCACTGAGGTCTCCCCAGCCCTGCACTGTCTCTACCTCGGTGGCCACTCCACAAACACATTTTGAATGCATGATATGGTTTTTAGTCAGTGCCTGACTCTGTGTACCTGAAGTGAAACCACAGTTGATACAAATTGCAGACTATATATTAAATCTTATGTCACTGGTCTTGGAAGAGACTCATTAGCTCTGTGCCTTTTTTATAGCCCACGAAAGATTATATAAAGGAATTTCTTACCCTGTTATGTGTGTGCCACACTGTTGTACCTGAGAGAGACGGAAAGAATATAATCTACCAGGCTTCCTCCCCAGGTAGGTGCTATGTGCCCCTAGAGCTCCTGGTAGGTGATGAGCCTTGAGAAGAGGCGATATACTCCTGCTGATCCCTGGATTGCTCCTGTGTTGCTCCTTCCCCAGACTTCTCACGCGTCAGGGGTACTCATGGTACTGGGTAGTTACTGGGGCTCCTCCCTACACCCCCAAAGACTGCCATAAGGAGGCTGGTCAGGAGGGCTCTCTGAGCTGGGGTTCAATAGAACATTTACTTATAACCAGTAACAAGGCAGGAGTAAGGCTAAGGCACTGCACCATGTTGTGGAGATTCTCTTAATGGCTTTAGAACAAAACCATAATGAGTACTAGGAAAGAACTGTATCTTAACCCCACTAAAAAAGGCCTATTTAACCAAATTTCCTCTTTTATGAATGCCTTCTGGTACCTAGATAAGTGCATTTGGATCAAAAAAAAAAAAAAAAGCCAAGTTTAAAAAAATATTCATGGTGTTTTAGTACTGGAGAATGGAAATCTGTTTCAATTAAATTCGGTGTTAACGTATTTGCTCCATCTCCATTAATAGACTTTTTATTGACAGATGAAGCAGCTTTAGTGAAGGGAGTGAAGAAGCTTGGCTTTGTTTTTACTACAAGAACGCCAACCTCTGTCACTGTAGAAGCTGTGAGTAACGTCTTACATACTTTCTCATGGTTTACATGCCCCTTCCAGAGAGACACAAGTAGAGTAGTTGAGCAGAGAAGCTCTGGAATCTCAGAGCCTGGGAGTCCCACCTGGACCCACACTTTTTCAGCCATATTCTCAGGCATGTTCCTTAACTTCTGTGTTTGCCCCAATCTTCTTATCACACATGTCGTAGGGTTTTTGTGAGGATTAAATGAGTTAATATATGTAAAGCAATTGGAATTAGTGCTTGGAGCAGAGAGAGTGCTCAATAAAAGTGAGCTATTTAAAAAAGAATCATCAGATCTTCAAGAAATATACTATTTTTTTAATGAAAAATTAAAAATTTTCAAACTTTTTTGGTGAGTTCTCTTGTGTTGATTTGTTCATTATATGTACTATATGTTATGTATCTGTTTTTCTTGTTTTGTCTTGATGACCACTTACCACAAGCCTTTGATACTATGGGGAAGAATTGAAGCAATGTGAACATGGTGCCCAACACACTCAGTTTTTTTCCTAGTAGTTAAGGATGCCTACTAGACATTCAGTCCTTAGAATGGACTGACTGATTCATCTTTATATCTGTAGTATGTGCCACATGGACAACTCTCAAATTATTTGAAATTCTGAATTGCCTTATTGGTGAATTGATCATGGCTACAGGAAGTCAAGAGGCTGTAACTGGAAAAATTTAGAAAAGAAAGCAAGTTTAATTGATATAGAATTTTATAGCATGCCATCTGTTTCCCTGGTTACCTCTTCAAATTATCTAACGATTAAGGATTTTGTTTGATCTGTGCAATTTTATGAAAAGACTTGTTTTCCCATTTCTGCTGTTGATTGTCTCACTTACTCCATATAACCTTGCAACATGAGAGTATTCATAAAATGTTTCTAGTAGTGCTGATTTTATATTGAAAGAGGTGTTTTAGTCTTAAATCTGCCCTTTGAGAAGTATTTTTGCCAATAGTCCCCCAGTTTGCAAACAATGTTTCTTGCCAGAAGAGGGCACCATTATTTCATCAGGTTTGCAAGGAAATGTGTTATTTTGAAAAAGATGTGTAGTTGTAGGGTAGGTAAAACTTTTTTCTGATTGGGAGAATGAGCTCTTTTGCAGGATGAGTACTTTTTTTTTCCCCCCTCGGGTAAGAAGATGTTGTCTTATCTTCCTGTAGATGGGAGAAAACTTCACATTTGAAATTCTTAATGTCCTGGAGTTTTCTAGGTAAGATACATTTTCATTCTGTTCATGTATCCCCCGGGGCTCCTTCTGTGACTCTTCAGTTGAGATTTGGTAATGCAAATCAAAACTTTGATATAGAATCACAAAATTCTAGTTAGCTTCCATCCACTCTTTAATCTGAGCCTGGTGCTCCGTTCTTTGGGTATCATTAGGCCAAATCCCTTTTTGTAGCTGAGAGGAGGTCCCATACCTCTCCTTCCTAGCACTTGTCAGAATCAGACTTGAGGTTTACATCTGGGTTACTACTTACTGACTGTGTTGCCAACTCGACTCTCAGTTCCAGGAGGGCGGGAGTCACCTTCTGTGGAAGTAAGTGCTCAATAAATATTTGATGAATGGATGAATATTGGATATTATTTTTCCAAATAAACCCAACACTATTTCTTTAAAAAGAGATAGTGAATTAATTCCTTTTTGTCTCCCCCAAAGGAAACAATGTGCATACAAATCCTTCTCTCCCCGGAGACTTCAGAGGGCCTCCTGGTCCAGCCGCTGTGGCCTGATCCCCAAAGCCTAGCGGGGGAATATTGGTGATGATTTTATTTTCATTGCCCTGTTTTGAAGATTCACAAAGTCTCATCTCTTAGACCATCTGAGCATTTCTAATGTAGAATCTGAAAAGTTAGAAAAGGAAATGCTAGAAATTTAGAAAAGGAATAATTCATTCTTTTCAAAGCCAGATGACTTTTTAAATCATGTTTTTTTAATGCCTTGTTGGCCAATGACACATTAAAAAAAAAAAAACGCTTTGAACCTCAGTAAAGTTGTTGTCAGCTTCTCTTTTCTCTAGGAAAGCTTTTTCTAAAAACTTTTTTTATAAGAAAATGTATCTTAATGTTCATTTTAGCTTTCCCTACTACTGGAACACTCATTTCCTGTCCTTAAAATAATGAGCTCCTAGCTAGGTGACACTTAAATAACTCAATTGCCTTGAGTAGTGTTCTAACAGCTAAGTAGGTAAAGCAATTGCTAGTCCCTGTCCCTTTTGACAAGTACTTTCTAGCTCAAGTGCTCAGGTGTAGGATTACTCACTGGGACCCTCCTTGGATCGTACAACACATAGAGTTGTGGGATATGACGATTATCTGAGAAGGTGCTGAGTGACAGTTTGTTTGGGTCTCTTAAAAAGTGGTTATAGGCCATGGAGAGCCATCCAAAGGTTATGGTCGGGGAGTGACAAGATGTGGAAGAAGGCAAAAAAAAAAAAAAAAAAAGAAACCAAACCTGATTGAGCCCCACATCGGGGGCGCCCCCTGCTTGTGCTCTCTCTCTCTGTCAAATAAGTAAATAAATTATTTATTTGACAGAGAGAGACAGCGAGAGAGTGAACACAAGCAGGCAGAGAGAGAGGGAAAAGCAGCCTCCCCGCTGAGCAAGGAGCCTGATGCGGGGCTCGATCCCAGGATGCTGGGATCATGACCTGAGCCAAAGGCAGATGCTTAATGACAGCCACCCAGGTGCCCCCCCCTTTTTTTTTAAAGAATCTCAGTTTAAAATGTAGGTAAATCAGAAAAGGAGAAAGAAACACATTGGCCTTTTCACTAACGGTCAGCTGAGGACTTGTAAATTTGGTTTTGTGTGTGTGCCTTAGCACCATGTACTGAGGAACATAGAAGCTAATAATAATTTTTATATTGTTTTAGTAATAGAAAAAGGATGTCTGTAATTGTCCGAACTCCTACAGGAAATCTCCGGCTCTACTGCAAAGGGGCTGTGAGTATAGGGATTCATTATTCATATTAACTCCTTCCCTCTGTTTCAACAACTTGTAGGAAGCCTTTTACAACTTCACAATATTTTAAAATGGTGTTACTTTGTGTCTGCTGTTGGGCTGGTTGTTGAGAGATTTATCCAAGACTGAAACAGAGTAGCCCCAAAGCTTCCCCAACAGTCAAGCCCATTGAAATTTATGGTGGTTCACACCAGAGTGTTTATTAAGCTTTAATGTCAGTGACAAATTTGTTGTCACTCAGTTGTTCTGTGGAGAACTAATGGTTAGATTGTTGAGGCTAAGGGTTTATTAGCAGGAATTTTGATCCCAGTTTCCAGCCCAAAGTGTTTGGATTTGGTAAATCTCAGGAAATGGCTTAACCTCCGTAAAAACCTTTTTTTTTTTAAGCACTTATATATTTGTTCACAGCCATAGGCAATTAAAAGAAAAACAGCTTTATTCAGGTAAAAGTGACATAAAATAAACTGCACATATTTAAAGTGTACATTTTGATAAGTTTTGACACCAATGTGCTTTTTGTCACTCTAGACTCATTTGCGTTTACTAAATTTTATATAAAGTCACGTAGGATATATGGCTTTTTGTCTGGCTTTTTTTACTCATAATTATTTTAAAATTCATTCATGTTGTAGCTCATATTAATAGTTCATTTCTTCATATTGCTGAGTGGTGTTCCATTGTATGGATATATCAGTTTGTTCATCCATCACCTGTTAATGGACTTTTTGTTTGCAGTTTTGTCTACTACAAACAATGCTCCTATAAACATTTGTGTACAAGTCCTTGTATGGGCACATAGTTTCATTTCTCTTTGGTAAATATCTAGCAGTAAAATGGCTAGATCAATGGTAGGTGTATTTTAACTTTTTAAAAAACCACCAAACTGTGGTCACATTTCTACCAGCCATTGTCACCAGCACTTGGCACGGTTAGTCTCTTTAATTTTAGCCATTCTCATAGGTGTGTATCTCATTGCGATTTTAATTTACATTTCCATGCCATGACTGATGATAGTGAGCATCTTTTCATGTTCTTATTTGCTGTCTGTGTTGGGGGTTCTCAAGATTACCCATATGTTTTTAGTGGATCTCTAAAAGGATTCATGATTATATGCATGGCTAAGATGTATTATAGTAATGTAGCAAGGACACACAACCAGATTATAAGGGAAAAAGACAGGCAGAGTCTGGAGGAATCCATGTGCAGGCTTCCCATGGGTATTATACAGGGAAAGTTTCTATCAGCTCAAAGAATTGAATACCAGCCAAGTCCCTTAGACGCTAGCCAAGAACCAACCTTGTAAGGAGGTCTTTCTAAGGATAACATTCTCTGACCTGCTTTGGTAACTCTTTTCTGTGCACCATCCACTTATTTTCTTTGGTGAAATGTCTGTTTAAATATTTGTCCCTGTTTTTATAACTGTTTGTGTTTCTTTGTATTGAGTTTTGAGAGTTCTTTTTTAATTTTTGGCTATAAGTCCCTTATTAGATACATGATCTGCAAATATCTGTGGCTTTTTTCATTCTCTTAACAGGTCTCTGAAGAACAGGAATTTGTAATTTTGATGAAGTCCGATTTAACAATTTGTTCCTTTATGGGTCATGCTTTTAGTGTCCTAGCTAACAAATTTTTGCCTAATTCAAGGTCACAAAGATTTCCTCCTGTTTTATCCTCCTTTTATAGTTTTAGGTTTTACACTTACTTCTGGGATCCATCTTGAGTGATTTTAGGATATGGTATGAGACATGAGTAGGAGTTCTTTTTTACAGATGAATATCTAATTTCACAGCACCATTTATTAAACTGTTTATTCGTTCTTCACTGAATTGCCTTTGCACTTTTGTAAAAAATGAACTGTTTATATATATGTGGGTCTATTTCTGGACTTTCTGTTTTCTATCATTGTTTTGTTGGTTATCTTTACACCAATACCACAGTATCTTGGTTATATTACTTTATAATAAGTCTTAAAATCAGATATCATGAATTTTCCAACTTTGTTCTTTTTCAAAGTTGTTTTGAATGTTCTGGAACCTTTGCATTTCCATATGAGTTTCATACTTTTTTGAAGATGCTTTTTATCATATTAAGGAAATTTCCTCCAATTCCTAGTTGGCTGAGATTTAAAAAAAATCAGTAATGGATGTTAAATTTTGTCAAATAGTTTTCTTGATTTGATTGAGATACTAATATGATTTTTTCTTTTGTGCCTGTTAATATGGTAAATTACATTGAATTGATTTTTTTAATGTTAAACCTATCTTGTATTCCTGAGATAAGCCCCATTTGTTCATGATATATTATCCTTTTTCTGTATAGTTGGATTCACTTTCCTAAAGTTTTATTTAGAATTTTTGCATCTACTTTCAAAAGGGATAGTGATCTTTAATTTTCCTTTCTTGTAATGTCTTTGATTTTTAATGCTGACCCTATGAAATTAACGGGGAGGACTCTTTCCTTTTCAGTTTTCTGGAAAAGTGTGCATGGAATTGAGATTGTTCTTTAAATGTTTGCTAGAATTTACCAGAAAGCCATCTGGACCTGAGGGTAGGCTAGCTAGACAGTTATTAGTTTTATTTACTTTTTCACTTATAGGTTTTATTGATCTCCCTAAAGAAATTGCTTTCAGATTTGATTTTTCTTGAATGTTTCTTTGTCTTCTGTTTCATTAATTTCTACTCTTTATTATTCCCATTCTTTTGCCTACTTGTGGTTTGATTTGCTCCTCTTTTTCTAGCTTCTTAAGGCAGAACTTGATTTGAGATCTTTCTTTTTAATACAAATGTTTAGTGCTATAAATATCCTCCAAATCTTTGCTTTAGCAGCATGTCACAAATTTTGATATGCTGCATTTTCATCTTCATTCAGTTCAAAATATTCTAATATTCTAAGTTTTCTTTTGATTTCTTCTTTGGCTCATGGGTTATTTTGAAGTGGGTTAGTTTTCAAATATTTAGGAATTTTCTGGAAATATTCCTTTGATTCATAACATAATTTGATTTTATTAGAGAACACACTTTATATGACGTGAATTTTTAATTTAATTGGGACTTGTTTTATGGCTCACATTGTGACTTATCTAATGTTAAATGTTTTGCATGCACCTAAAAAGCCTGAATATTCTGCTGTTTTGAGGTAAAGTAGTTTATAACTATCTGTTAAGTCAAGTTGATTGATAGTGTTGTTCAAATCTATATCCTTAATGATGCTTCGTTTACTTGTTCTATCAATTATTGATAGATAATTGATAGGGGGATATTGAAATCCCCACTGTCATTGTGGATTTATGATTTTCATCTTGAAGTTCTGTTAGTTTTTACGACATTGCATTTACTTCTATTAGTTTAGCTTCATTTTGAAACTGATTTATTAGATGCATAAGCATTCGGAATTACTAGTTCCTCTTGATGAATTGACCCTTCTGTCATTCCAAAATGATTTTCCTTATCCCTGGCAATTCTCTTTACTCTGAAATCTCTATTGTCTGGTTATAATATTGCCATTCCAGGCTACTTTTGATTAGTGTTGGGTAGGGTATATCTTTTTCTTCCTCTTTAACCCATTTGTGTCTTTATATGTAAAGTGTGATTCTTCCAGGGAGCATGTAGTTGGTTTGTGTTTTGGAAATCTCTGCCTTTTAACTGGATGTTTAGACCATTTACATGTGTGCTTACTGATACAGCTAGGTTTAAATACATCATCCTTCAATTTATTTTCTATTTGTCCCAGTTCTTTTTTCCTTTATTCCAAGAATTACTTGAGTATTTTATAATTCCAATTTCTTCCTTTTAAAAAAAATTTTAGTGGTTGTTAGTAGGCACCTTCAATTTATTACTTTCTATTTTCAAGTGGTAATATACTATTTCATGTGTAGTATAAGAATTACAATTCTGAACTTCTATCTGTCTCCTCCCAATCTTTGTGCTCTTGTCAGACATTTTAATTTTACAAATGTTATAAACTTCACACTACATTAAGTTTGTTCAAGCAGTTATCCTTTTTTAATAAAATATATAACAAGAAAAATATTGTATATATATCCGTATACGTATATATGTGTATATATACACACATAGACTCATGTCATTACCATTTTCAATGCTCTTCAGACTCATATTTCCATTTGCTATAATTTCCTTCTGTCTGATGGATTCCCTTTACCATATCTTATAGCATGGATCTGTTGGTGATAAGTTTTTTCAGACTGTATATGTCTGAAAAGATTTTTATTTCATCTTTATTTTCTCTTGCATTCATTTTGAAATTTTTGCTGAATATAGGATTCTAGATTGACAATTTTTTTCTTTCAGTTTTTTAAAGCTTGTGCTTCACTTGCATTCTCAATGAGCAATCTGTTATCTCTGTTCCTCTGTATGTAATGTATCCTTTTTGGAATTGTGCCTTCCCTGGGGCTTTTTGGGTTCCTTCATATCTATTAGATATAACAATAAAAATATAATGCAGTATTTAGAATTTGGATTGTTAGGCTTAGGTAAGATATTGGTCACAAGAACTTTTTTTTTTTTTCGGATAGGATACAGTGATTTATGAGAGACTTTCAGAAGATTCTCGCTTTATGAAGGAGACATTAACCCACCTGGAATATTTTGCCAAAGAAGGTAAGTGAACATTGTTTAGAATCTTGTTTCTTTTTGAAATGCTATTCTTAAATATTAAAATTGTAACCTGAATGCATGTCACTGATGCTTGGCCCATAGGTGGGCAAGGGGAGCTCATTCCTATATGTGACTTTGTAATGCCTTCTGTTTGCTTAAAAAATAAATGGTTCCTCAAACACACCCTGTTGAGATATTATTTTTCCTTTCTTCCTCTCTCCACCAGCAAATGTTGAAAAGTATGTTTTTACTGTGTAGTTCTTCCTTCATTCCAAAAACAGTGTCTTCAAAGACATCTATTATCTGTTTCTATTTGTTGTAGTAGGAACTTGGCCCCTAATGGAAAAAGAGAGGTTTTTCCAGTATGTGTTGTATATTTCAAAGTTAATTACTTTGTGCATATAACTCAGAAACCTGACATAGTTGATGTTTTCCTGTCATTCTCTTCTTATCCTTCTGATTTTGCCTTGTCACCCACCTCAAGAAATAAAATTCCATGAGTGAGTTTTGAATAAGAACAACACTCACTAAAAAAGTTTATAGAAGTTTTGAAAAATTGAGGTGTAATATCACATAAAAGTAAAGCTAATAATGCCTGGAAGCAGTATCTCACTTTGTCCTTCCAGTTTGTAAGCTGCTGGATATTTTGCAAGGTTGCACTTTGGGCCTTTTGCTGCCATCTTAAAATATAAGTGAGCTGTAGGCAGGTTACAACAGGTAGAAGCATATAGGAACTGTATTGTAATGGAGCTCAAAACAGAATAACAACTTCTATAGCTTATCTGTAGAGCTTTAATTTCTAGGGGATCCTCAACTATTTTAATGTTTTGCAGGAGTTAGCCTAAAATATTAGGATACAATATAATTTCTAAAATTTTTTCTTTGCAAAAACGGGACTTAAATTAATTTTCTGTTATTTTAATGATAATTTGGCTTACTTTGAAATTGAAAAACTAAAGCCTTATTCAATTCTTTCCTTCCTCCAACAAATAATTATTGAGTATTTATTGAGTGCTGTGCACTGTTCTAAGCTTCTAGGACAGAAGTGAACAAAACATAGCTCATACCCTGAAGAAATTAGCCAATAATAGATAATGTCAGGGGGTGATAAGTGCTATGGAGAAAAATTAAACAGGATAAGGGGAACAGAGTATGATGGGGCTGCTATCTCTATAGGGTGAGTTAGACAGAAACTAAAGGAAGAGAAGGAGAATACCAGGTGAAAGTATTCCAGGTCAAGGGCAGAACAAGTTCAAGAGTCTAGAAGCAAGAGGATCAGCAGAGACAGGACCGTAAGCAATGAGGAGGTGGCAGGTGGTGGGGGGAGTAAGATCAGCAAGGTAGCCGGGGGCACAGCAGGTAAGGCCATGTGAAGGACCTCACATTCCCATGACCTCTACACTTTTGGATTTTGTTTTCAAATTCTGTACTCCTCTCTGATCACTGGTGGCTTGATCAGTTTACATTCCATTCTTTCTTACAGGGCTGAGAACTCTCTGTGTTGCCTATGCAGATTTAACTGAGGAAGAATATCAGCAGTGGTTGACGCAGTATAAAAAAGCTAGTACAGTTACCCAAGACAGAATGCGGAGTTTGGAAGAATGTTATGATAATATTGAAAAGGTAACATACCCGATATGTATTCTACATGCCTAGTTAAATATGTGAAAACATACACTTACCAACGTTTTCATATCTTGATGTCATTTTAAAAAACTCAGTTAAAATGGGGCGCCTGGGTGGCTCAGTTGGTTGTGTCTGCCTTCAGCTCAGGTCATGATCCCAGGTTCCTGGGATCGAGTCCTGTTGCCCGATCAGGCTCCCAGCTTAATGGGGAGTCTGCTTCTCCCTCTCTCTCTGCTTGTGTGTGCTCTCTCTCTCTCTCTCACTCTCTTGCTTGCTCACTCTCAAATAAATAAAATCTTAACAAAAAAAAGCTCAGTTAAATTGTTTTTTTTTCCTTCAGAAGTATAAAGCTATCTTATACTGAAAATTCATAAAATGGGTTTTTTAAAATATTCAAAATATTTCTTTCATTTCTGAATCATATCCTAATCACTTCAATTTTGTTACCCCTTTTTATAACTTTTCCCATCCAAAAGAAATACATGTTTATCACACAAAACTAAGCCAGAATAGTAAATAATAATCATCTGTAATATTGGGCTAATGACGAAATTCTGGTGTATAATCCTCCAACGTCTTTCTTCATATATGTGTATTGTCTATGTAGTATTCCATTGTAGGTTTTTAATACACATACATACATTTTTTCCCATAAAAATTTAAAAATCTCCTCCCACCCAAAATCTCTGTCAAATGTTCCCTATAAAAATACTGCTCAAATCATAAAATTTTTCACTCTGCAATAAATTGGTAATATTTTCCATATCACTGAATATTTTTCTGTTAATTGCATAGATTAGTCATGGTATTTCATTACTTTTATTGTGCTATTCTCTGGTGCTTACTGTCCCAGGGGATCTCGTGCCCCCTAGACTATTGTCATTGGAAGGTCATTGTGAATTTGTTTGTGGTGGCCTCAGGGATCTTGTGGCTCCTGGGCCAATTCTTATCTTAGTTTCTTGGCTTGGGTTCTTTTGTCATTTGCTTCCATGAACTCTGCATTTCATTTCTGCAGGAACATGGCCAGAACAGATTTAGACTGGGGGATTTTCTTTTCTTTTTTAAGATTTTATTTATTTATTTGAGCGAGCGAGAGAGAGCATGAGGTAGGGAGAGAGGGAGAAGCAGACTCCTTGCTGAGCAGGGAGCCCGATGCGGGGCTCAATCCCAGGACCCTGGGACCATGACCTGAACCAAACTCAGATGCTTAACTGACTGAGCCACAGGTGCCCTGATAGACTGGGGGATTTTCTTGACATCATGGGGTTCATCTTTTTTTTCAAAGTCATCTTGTTGAGAAATTAGGAACCTAACCTAGCTTCACACCAAGTGCAGGAAGATGCTGCAGGAGCCCTCATGGGTGATTATTCAGCATCTGTTGACACAGCACAGCGAAGGGACAAACTGATTTATGTAACCCTCCTCTTCCTCATGTTCCCAGCAGGTTGTTTGTGAAGAAATCTGGGCAATGGAAAATTGGCCTCTAGGGGTGCCTGGGTGGCTCAGTGGGTTAAGCTTCTGACTCCTGGTTTTGGCTCAGGTCATGATGTCGGGACTCTGAGGTCGACCTCACATCAGGCTCCAAACTCAGCGCAGAGCCTGATTGAGCCCTCTCCCTCTGCTCCGCCCTCCCTCCCCCTCCCCGCCGCCACACACCCTCTCTCTCTCTCAGAAATAAAATCTTAAAAAAAGAAAAAAGCAAGAAAGGGAAACTGGCCTCTGGAACTTGAAAGATTGTATAGTTCCTTTTCAATCAAACTGATATATTTTATATTTTAGTTTTAAGTTTTAATCTGGAAATCATAGGTGATAAGGAAGTCAAAGAGTAAGTACGTTTGCCTTTGCCAGGTCATATGGGTGGGTGGCAAGGGCAGGGCATGGCATGGCCTTAAGCTGACTGGTTCATTCATCAGTTGAATGCTAGTCTCCAGCATGTACACAGTGCCTGGCACACAGTCAGCGTTCAGCAAGTATTAATTGAATAGATGAATGAAATATTGGGGTTGAATGTTTTAAGATCCTCTGCTTTCCAAGGAAGGTAGATAACTATGTATAATTGGCAGGGCTTGATGTTGATTCTTTTTCTTCAACTTCAAAGAGCAGTCATAAATGGTAGAAGGGCTATCATGGGCCAGTTTTTCCTATCTGGTCTTAGAGGTTTTTGACCTGGGTGAGTGCCACATTACAGATTGTCTGTATAGTCAGAGTGAGTAATGAGCAGCATACAGTGCTTGGAAGGTCTGAATGGAAATCTAATCAGTTTTAGATACTTTAACAAAGTACTATTGTACTGTTTAACAAACTACTGCATTTTCTCTCCATGACTATGAGGTTAAAATTACAGGCATCAAAATACTCAGTGTCTGTGTTTAGTGTGACTAGGATATCTCTTTAGCCTTTGTCATTTATGCAAATGACAGGCTCTGTGACGTTAAAATCACATTGAAAATTGTCAAATATATTCATTGGTGTCCCTTTCCCCCACAGGATGTTTTCCAGTTCACCCAGGAGCGATGAGCTCCTGGGTATTGAATCACGTGGGCCAAACTTCTGGGGGGCTGGGGACTAGACCTTGCTATTCATTACAACTCTCTCAGGGGAGACCTATCTTGAGAACTAGGTACCCCACTGAAGAAGGGTACTTCATGAAAAATGGACCCATTAGGAGGGCAAATGATACATGAGAGGATTGTTGTACATAGGTTTTGATCAGAGGGAATTGGATTTTTTTAAAAAAGCTGTATCTCTCAAGCTGTAATGGCCTAAAAGAATTTTGTTCTTCACTTTTTTTCTTTTCTTTTCCTTAAGTCTATGTCATCAATTCTAGTTTTCTGGGCTTGGAACAACTGTATGCCACCTAGAAAAACTTGTCCTTCCAGTTGTCCTTCAACTGTTATTTTTCTTACTTTATATTAGCCACCAGAGCATCTAATCTTCTGCTTCATGACTTGTGTTAATTTCCATAGTTCTAGCTGATGTTGTATTAGTTATAACTATTGTTGCAGTTAAATGGCTATTCTCTGCAGACTGTTAGGTAAATATTGGAATCTGACACCAAAGACGGGTCAGGGTCAACTAGTTCTGTGAAATGATTCTTATAGATAATTCCATGTACGTTGTTATGATCCTACTTGTTTTCAGTTCTAGGGAGGTATTTTCTGATCATCTTCTTAGATCTTGAGGCCAGGAGTACTTCTTTACCTCTTGAATATATTTCCTTTGGACACTCATAGATTTAAGTTTCTTTCCTATTGGCTAAGAGTAAGAAAGACAATGTCTACATTTGTATCAATAGTCATTAAGTACATCATAACTTAGAGCATAACTGCTAAAGTAATTAACTTACTTTTTTTTAAGATTATTTATTTATTTATTTGAGAGAGAGAATGAGATAGAGAGCATGAGAGGGGAGAGGGTCAGAGGGAGAAGCGGACTCCCTGCTGAGCAGGGAGCCCGAGGCCGGACTCGATCCCAGGACTCCAGAATCATGACCTGAGCCAAAGGCAGTCGCTTAACCAACTGAGCCACTTTCATGTTGCCAGGGTCACTCTATTGGTAAAACATAAATTTTACATACTGGCTGATTGAATTAGACTTTGAAGCATTCCTTGTTTATTTTTTTTTCTTAATACAACAGCTTTATTGAGAGATAATTCACATACCCTACAATTCTCCCATTTAAAGTATATAAGCTACAGTTTTTAGTATATTCAGAGAATTGTAAGACCGTCACCACAGTTAACACGGAATATTTTCAACATACCCCCTCCCCCAAGCCCTATATCCATTAGTCTTCACTCTTTGTTACCCTCCTATTCTCTCCCCCAGCCCTATGCAGCCACTGATTTACTTCTAGTCTCTACAGATTCACCTTCTCTGGATATTTCATATAAATAGAATCATAAAATAGGTGGTCATTAGTGACTTGCTTCTTTCACTTAGCTTAATGTTTTCAGGATTCACCCATATTGTAGCATGTACCAGTATTTCATTACTTTTCATTGCTAAATAGTATTCCATTGCATAGATACCTGATTGTTTATCCATTCTTCTGTTGAAGGACATTTGGATTGTTTCCACTTGGTTATTGTGAATAATGCTTCCAAAAGTAATCATTCAAGTTTTCATGTGGACACATTCTTTAATTTATCTTATGCATATACCTGGGCGTGAAATTGCTGGGTCATATGGCAACTCTATATAACCATTTGGGAAGCTGCCAGACTAGTTTTCCAAAGTGGCTGCACCATTCTACATTCCTACCACCAGTGTTTGAGGGTTCCATTTTTTTCACATCCTTGTCAACACTTGTTACTATCTGTAACTTATTATAACCATCCTAGTGGGTATGAAGCAGTATCTCATTTCTTTAATGGTTAATGATGTTGAACATCTTTTCATGTGTTTTTAGATTATTTGTATCTCTTCTTTTGGAGAAGTGTTGGCCATTTTTCAATTAATATATTAATATATACCTATAATAGTACATTCATCTATTTCTCTTTGCTGTTCCATGAGTTCTTGTCTAATATATTTTGATGCTCTGTTGTTAGGTGCACTGAAGATTGTTACATCTTCTTAGAAAACTGACTCCTTTATTATCATGCAATGCCTCTTTTTATTCCTAGTAATTTTCCTTCATCTGAATTCAGTTTTGTCTGAAAATAATATAGCTACTCCAGCTTCTTTTATTAGTGTTAGTATGTGTATCTTTCTCCATCCCTCTATTTTTTTAATTTTTATTTATTTAAATTCAATTACCCAACTCCATCCTTTTATTTTAATCTATCTGTGTCTTCATATTTAATGTGTGTTTCTTATGACAACATAGAGTTGTCTTTTTTTTTAATCCACTCATACAGTGTCTGTCCTTTAATTGGTATATTTAGATCATACATTTTTACAGTTATTACTAGTTTAATACCTTTCATACTTGTAACTATTTTCTATTTGTACCCTTTCTTATGTTTTTTTCTTTGTCTTCCACTTTTTTTTCCTGCCTTGTCTGGTTTTTAACTGATCTATTTTCTCTCCTTTCTTAGCATTTCAATTATACCTCTTTTAAAAATGTTTTTAGTGGTTGTCTTAGAGTTCGCAATTTACATTTACCACTAAATTGTCCACTGTCATATAATACTATACCATGTCATGGGTAGGACAGGTACCTTACAACAGTATTTCCAGTTCGTCTCTCCAATCTCTTATATTGCTGTCATACATTGCATTTGTCCATAGCCCATAATCACCTAACACGTCATTGCTATTATATTTTGAAAAAAACATATCTGTTAAACCAATAAGAAAAATAAAATATATCATTTAATCCTTATTCATTCCTTCTTTAATGTTATTCCTTTCTCTTCTCTATGTATATCTGAGTTATTAATCTACATTATTTTACTTCTCTCTGAAGAACTTTTAACATTTCTTGCAAGGCAGGTGTGAGAGCAACAAATTTCCTCAATTTTTGTTTGTCTGAGAAAGCATTTATTTCTCCTTTACACTTGGAGAATAATTTCACTGGATACAAAATTCTAGCTTGGTGTTTTTTTCCTTTTAACTCTTTAAGTATTTCACTCCACTCTGTTCTTGCTTTCATAGTTTTGAAAAAGAAGTCCAATGTAGTTATTATCCTTGTTCCTGTAGAGGTGAGGGTGTTTTTGGTTTTTTTTTATCCTCTCTGGCTTCTTTCAAGATTTTCTTTTGAAAACAGTTTGCACAGGAAATGCCTAGGTGTAGATTTTTGGGATTTATCATGATTGGTGTTTTTTGAGGTCTGGGTCTAATTTTGATGTCTGTGATTAATATTGGAAAATTCTCACCAATAATTATTTCAAGGATTTTCTGTTCCTTTCTCTCTTCTCTTTCTGATATTCCCAATCCATGTATGTTATACCTTTTATAATTGCCCCACAGTTCTTGGTATTTTATTTTATTTTTTTATTCTTTTATCTCTTTGTTTTTCATTTTGGGAAGTTTTTATTGACATATCTTCACATTCACTAGTTATTTCCTTGGGGATGTTCAGACAACTGATGAGCCCATCAGAAGCATTCCTTATTTATGTTACAGTGTTTTTTTTTTTATTGCTAACATTTCCTTCTGATTCTTTCTTAGAGTTTCTATCTCTCTGCTTCCATTGTCCATCTGTAAAAAGTAAACATGTCATTTACTTTACCACTAGAATCTTTAGCATATTGATCATAGTTATTTCAAATTTCTGGTCAGGAAATTCCCAAATTTCTGTCATATCTGAGTCTGAGTCTGATTCTGATGCTTGCTCTGTCTGTTCAGACTGTGATTTTTGTCTTGAGCTCCCCTATAACTTTTTGTTGAATGCCACACATGATGTATTGGATAAAAGGAATGAGGCAAATTGGCCTTTTGGGTGAGGTTTCATGTCTCTCTGACTAGAAGTGAGGCTGTGTTTACTATTTGCTGTAGCTGTGATATTAGAGGCTAAAATTGCATCTAGTATTCTTGTTTTCATCCTCCGGCTATCTTCAGGTTTCCCTAGAAACTCCTTCTTAAGCAGGGTCTGAGCCTTACACTTCTTTCATCAGCAATCCCTTATATTCATGCAAGAGACAGACCGATGTGGTAAGGTGAGGGAGAGGAGATCTATGGTTTAACCCTTGATTAGATCTCAATCTTCTATGAGTCTGAGTTCTGTATTTGTCTTCCCCCATGTCGAAAACTAGAAGGTGCTGGAGATGAGTATTTCCCTTCCCTCAGATTGACAGGCTCTGGTAAGTCCAAGTTGATAAGCCTCTGATAAGATAGTTTCCTTTGAGTACAGGCTTTTGTGAGAGAGCAGAATAATCTGAGAGTATTTCAAATGTTTACTTTCCCCCTCCTCTTGACATAATCAGGAAGGGATCCCTTTTATTCCTAGTTAGCTGTGTGTTTTTATCATGAAAATGTTCAAAGCATTCTTTTAAAAATCCATGTTTCATACCCAGAAACATAAATCATTATTGAAAATACTTTTTGCTAGCTGTGGGAAATTTTACATTAAAATCCAAAGTTTTAATACAGAAATATCTTGAAAGTATTATAGTAGAAATAGCCCAAAAATAGAATAATGAAGATAAAGAATGTCTAATAAGATTGATATACTTGAATATTTAGCACTTAAAAATTCAGCTGGTCATTGAGAAGACTAAAAATTTTATGGTTATTTTAAAGTTTAATTTATAGTTTATATATGATAGTATCTCAAATTATTTCAATTCTAATTATCAGCACAGAATCAGCTTACTTTATATCTTAATTTCATTTTAACAACTAATAGCAATGTAAAAAACCCTTGAATGTTTAGGTTGTTCTGGCTTCTGGGAAACAACTTATGCTTTATAGAAACCTTTTTATCTACCATAGAGCTTCTGCTTGAATCTCCACAGTGATAGGGAAATAATTCACATTAGGAACAAAAACTATAAACTATCTGGTGCTATGAAACTTATGGAGAAAATATGAAATTTCTTGTAAGGACTTACATAAGTGGATAGGTGTATTCAATATATAGAAAACCGCAGTATAATAAATGTGGCAATTCTCCTCAAAGTCATTTATAAATTCAGTGTAATACAGGAAATAATAAAGGAAATGCATATAATTCCCAACAGGATTTTTATAGAACTTGAGCAGTTTGTTCTAAAATTCACACAGAAGTAGGAGGAAGCTGAGAATTATCATGATACTTTTTTTAAGAATAATAAAGGAAGGGGGCTTACCTCTCTAGATTTAATTGCCTAATTATAATCTGCTAGATATTCTTTTTTAAGATTTTATTTATTAGAGAGGGAGGGTGGGGTGAGTAGGGTGGGGAGGGGTAGAGGGAGAGGGACAAGCAGACTCCTTGCTGAGCAGGGAGCCTGATGCAGGGCTGGATCCCAGGATCCCGGGATCATGACCTGAGCAGAAGGCAGACGCTTAACCAACTGAACCACCCAGGCACCCCCATGAGCCTATACTCTTTAACTATCATGCTACACTGCCTCATGCTGTAGCAAAATAGGGACAAATAGACCAGTGGAAGAGACTAGGAAGAAAGTGTGTGTGTGTGTGTGTGTGTGTGTGTGTGTGTGTGTGTGTGAGAGACATGTATGGGACTTTACATAATAAGTAGACTGCATAACATTTGTCAAAATTTGCCCATTTATGCCATATTAAAATGTTTTTTATCTTTTTTTTTAAGATTTTATTTATTTATTTGACAGAGAGACACAGCGAGAGAGGGGACATAAGCAGGGGGAGTGGAAGAGGGAGAAGCAGGCTTCCCATGGAGCAGGAGCCTGATGTGGGCTTGATCCCAGGACCCTGGGACAATGACCTGAGCTGAAGGCAGACGCTTAACGACTGAGCCACCCAGGCGCCCCATGTTTTTTTTATCTTAACTAGTAATAAAAAATATCTCTTTCAAAAATATATCTAGAAATTTCTGCTTCTTGGAGCCACAGCCATTGAAGATCGCCTTCAAGCACGTGTTCCAGAAACAATAACAACTTTACTGAAAGCAAACATAAGAATATGGGTTTTGACAGGAGATAAACGAGAAACTGCAATTAACATAGGTAATAGATATAAAGTTTTAGAAAATCTGTTTGGACAGGTATTCTAAATATATCCTGGTATCAAGAATGAATGATTGAACTTCCTTCAAGTAGTTGTTTTATATGCCTTTGGGTAAATGGAGTGCAATGGAATCTTGCCATCACATGGCAGGAAATTTGAGCAAACTAAGCAAAGCAAAGAGTCTGTCTCCTTCACACTGTTGAAATATAGACTGCAGAATGCTTACATGAGTAATATGTATGTTTCTTGTTCCTTTCCTTTGAAATTTGAAGTTATGGCATATTTTCCCTATAATGTATATACCTATCTTTGTATTATGTATGTTTATTCATAAACATTTTGATTATTAGTGAGAATATTCAATTGTTTTTTTCTTTTTAAATTTAAATTCAATTAGTCAACCTGTAGTACATCATTAGTTTCAAGTGTAGTGTTCAATAATTTATCAGTTGCATATAACACCCAGTGCTCATCACATCATGTGCCCTCCTTAATGCCCATCAACAAATTACCTCTTCCCTCCACCCCCTTCTCCCTCCAGCAACCCTCAGTTTGTTCCCTAGAGTTAAGAGTCTCTCATGGTGGGTGGCTGGAGTGGTGGGGGGTGGGAGGGATGGGGTGGCTGTGTGATAGACATTAGGGAGGGTATGTGCTATGGTGAATGCTGTGAATAGTGCGAGACTGTTGAATCACAGACCTGTACCTCTGAAACAAATAATACATTATATGTAAAAAAAAAAAAAAAAGATAACAGGAGGCGAAGAATGAAGGGGGGGAAATCGGAGGGCGAGATGAACCATGAGAGACTATGGACTCTGAGAAACAAACTGAGGGTTCGAGAGGGGAGTGGGGGTGGGAGGATGGGTTAGCCTGGTGATGGGTATTAAAGAGGGAACGTTCCGCATGGAGCACTGGGTGTTACATGCAAACAATGAATCACGGAACACTACATCAAAAACTAATGATGTAATGTATGGTGATTAACATAACATAATTAAAAATATATATATAAAGAGTCTCTCATGGGGGGAAAACTGAATGGGAAGTCATCAGAGAGGGAGAAAAACAATTGTTTTTTTTCAATGTCTTTTTTTTTTTTTGCCTTTTTTCCCCTTTTACTGTATGATTGTATCTTAGAGTTGAGATGTGCAGAATAGGAGTTGAAAAGTCAATTGTTAGCTGTGAATATTCATGTTTTGATGGTGAGAAGGAATTGAAATTATTATGTTTTTCATAATCATCATGGTAGTCAGCTCCAGTTAGATTAACATATATGATAAAACAAGTCTGTATGCGCCAGACACCACCTTTAAATGTTGTCTCCACTCATTTGTTTATTCTACATTCATTCATTTAGTGAATATTGATCACTTGCTAGGTACCAGGAAAATCTAGGAGCTGGGAATGAAAACCTGAGTAATAGTCTCTATCCTTATGAAACTTATATCCAAGTAGAAAAGATAAAATTAATAAGCAGATCACTGTGTTTTGTAATATTGCAATCAGTGCTAAGAATAAAAACACAGCAAGGCATAGCAAGAGGTAGACAAGCTAATCACATAGAACACCTCTAAAGAAGGTGACTTTTGAAACAGAGACCCAAATGGAAAGAGGGAGCAAGCATTGAAAGGATCTCTGGGATGAGTGTTCCAGGCAAAGATTATAGTGAGCACATTGGCCCTGGTGTGGGGATGTGCATATTCGAGGAACAAAAGAAAGGCCGGAGTGGTTGGAATATGGGGAGGAAAGCAAAGAAGATAGGAAATGAAAGCTTGTCAGGCCACAATAAGAAATGTGTATGGTTTTAAGCAAGAGAGTAATATGATCTAGTTTATATTTTAAAAACAATCTCTTGGTTCTTGTATGGAGACTAGGCTGAATGGAAGTCAGGAGATCAGGTAGGAAGCCTTCATAAAAGTCTAGACAAGAGATGCTGGTGACTTGTACGAGGATGTGATGGGGCGTGTGAGAGAAGGACTAAATTTGGGGTCCATTTGGTAGGTTGATCTGTCAACCCTCACTGATGAGGGTGTAGTGAGTGCAGATGAGTCTTTCAGAATTTTGCTGTGAAGGGGAGCAGAGAAATAGGGTGTAGCTGGAAGAAAACAGTCAGTGAAGGGTTGGCTATTTTTGAAGGATCTGCTTAACCTCTCTAAACATCAATTTTCTTGTCTGTTAAATGGGGATAATAATAGTTTTAGCCTCATATCACTGTTGTGAGGACACCTTGAGGTAATCCCTGTAAAGAGCTTAGCTTGGTGTGAAGCACTTACAAGTCCTTCATGAATGCTAGATGTTAACATAATTATTAAGGACTCACCAAAGGAGTCCAACCATGATGTAGTCACTCATTTATCCCCCTGGCAAATTTTGAGAGCATACCATGCTCCTTTTGCCAGCTCTCCCCTATTTCAGCTTTAGTGTGACTTGCTATGCTTCTTGGTAATCATGAACTCAGCAACCACTGTAACTTGGTGTATATCCTGTGAAGGGGCTCAGTGGACAGAGCACCACAGAGGAGGATGATTGCTCTCTCATCACCTTCCGAAATTGCTCCCAATCCCTTTTTCCAGACCCACAAGCGGAGGATTGTTTTTCCTGAGCCTCTGGCTGTCTCCTCAGCTGGGGACTGAAACCCAACCTAGATGAGACACAGCCATTGTTGTTGGTAGGGGAATTTTTATCCTTATTGAATGAGACCTATTTTTGTTAGTAGAAGTCTCTAATTCACTTGAAGGATTCTTTGCTGAGAATAACTGGATTCTTAGATAACTGCTATATCTAATTGCACTCATTAAAAAAAATTGTTTAGTAACTGTGGTGGACTTGAAGGAAGAAAGGAAACAATCTCTCCAGTTTCTTAAAGCAGGGCTTGCAAACATCTGGGAGAACCAGGCAGGACAAGAGTGAAGGGCAATGTCCACAAGGGGATGCTGGTCCCCGAAGGGGCAGCCAGTACATCCTTGCCTTTTGGAAATGTCTGCAATTGGCACAGGGTTTTTTTTTTTTTTAATTTTTAAAAAAATTTTAGGGGGTAGAGGGGCAGAGAGAGAGAGGGAGAGAGAGAATCCTAAACAGGCTCCACACTGGGCATGGGGCCTGAGGTGGGGCTCAATCTCACAACCCTGAGATCATGATCTGAATGGAAATTGAAAGATGGACACTTGACTGATTGAGTCCCAGGCGACCTAGGTTTTTAGTTTTTAAGAGATAATCAGGAATTCTGTCTCTGATATGAAATATCCTGATGCACAGATGTTGACTTAAATGTATAAAACTTTGTAAGGGCAAAGCAAAACATGTCTGTTGGCTGAAAGCAGCCCACAGTCCCCTGACCGCTTTTGAATACTGGGTCCCAGCTTAAATTTTATTATCACCCCTTAGAGGCTACGCCTGCAGAGACCAGCTAAAAGATGGAGTCCATGAACTTAGTATAAACTGAAGACCGTGCTGACATAATTTGTTTTCTTAGAAGTTCTCTGAGCTCTAGCTTTTTCCAAGAAAAACAATAGCCTTTGGTTAGACAGCTCTCATGTTACTTTCATGGTTCAAATGTCTGGGGGATGGATTCAAAAATAAAAAGATTGAGCTGTGTCTGAGAGCTGACATCTTTATATCTTTGGAAGACAATGTAGAGCACAGTAGTTGAAAATCAGACCGTAGAGTTACCAAGGACCCTGTTGTGAGCCTGAATCTCCTGCCTCTATATTTATGAGCTTGTGCTTTTGTGGGCTTTTCTAACCCTCAATTTTCTCACTAATGAAATGGAGATAACCATGATAACTCTGGTGGTTGTGATGATTAAGTGAGATATGTATGTGAAGTTCTCTCTAAAGTACTGGACACAGTAAGGGCTTTGAAAAGTTGGCTGCTGCCTTTATGAATGTGGTGACAGTTATTATCATCAGCTCTCCTGGAGCTCAAGTTGGCTAATGTTTTTGTGGTTAAAAGACTAAACATAGTCTTGATTCTGAATACAAAATTTGACTAAGGATTTGGCAGGAGGGTGACTTTTAGCAATCAGTATGTCAAGACTGGTTTTTGACAATGGTCACTAGTGACTATATAAGGACCACTGTCACATTTTTGCCTATTTTCTAAGACTACTAGTTCTATTAACTTCTGAAACTTTCTGACAACATGATTCAACATGATCTGCTGCTTCTTGACCTCAGCAGCATTTATACTATTATATTTCACTTACCAAATGCTGGGTTTTTTTTTTTTTCTTTTTTGCATTAGCTTTGATTCCTTAGGTTTTAGAGGCTTATCATATATCTGTTGTAAATCTTCATTTGCACCCAACATAATGCTGGGTACGAGCAAGCACTCAGTGCTTGCATAGTGACTGGATTTTCATCATAATATATGGAGACCTTTGGCTTTGTCTATAGAGAGCCAGCAGCAGCAACAACAGCTTCAGGAGAAAGGAAGTTTCCTCGTGGGGGCAGCTCGAGAACCCACAGTGGGCTGGCTTGTCTGTGTCCAGCACAAATATGAACTCTCCAACCTGGGGGTTGGTAGAGAAACTGCCAACCTTAGACAGTTAACTTTGTCAGTAACTTACCACAAAATGAAGGTGGACACATGAACATTGCAATAAAACATATCAGGAAATCTTTAGAATTCTTTGAAAAGTTTAGAATCTCTGGTTTTGAAAAACCACTGCAATAGGGCAAAAAAAATCCACAGGCTTTGAAATAGAAATTAAATTTAAAGACCAGTACATTCTGGGGGCAGGGGACACTGTTTAAATAGGAAGCATCAGATGAACCAATAATTGATGAAGAAGACCATTTAAAAAGTGATTATCTCCTGTAATTGGATAGACTGCGTTAGAATACATAAATAGGTATTTTGAATTATATAAAAATCATGAAGCTACTTTTGCTTTTCTGTATGATGTCCACAAGTTTCAGGAAATTTCAAAGGAAATATTAAAATGATAGTGTATAAATTTACATTTAAATTAAATTCCAATTTACATGAAACTGATTTATATGAACAGTTAGTTTTAGAAAATTTGTTCCATAGGAATCATCAGTTACAAATGTACAAAAATTTAATTTTCAAAATAATATATCAGAAATTCATCACAATATCCTCACAGCCTATAAAAAAATCTTAAAAGCTCTAGTAATAGTTACATCAGAAAGATGATGCTCAAAATTAAAAATGGTCAAAAATTACTGACAATCTTACATTTTCCAAGAGTGACAAACATTGCTTTCAATTACATATATTGTTTGAAAATAAAGTTGCTAAAAGTATAAGTTTTGATGATCGAATAAATGAATTTGCAGAAGTGTAAGAGAAAAATCTTATGATCCAACAAGATATCACATTAATAAAGTTTTATTTTTATCGCATTATATAAGATTATGGCACCAAAACTATATATTTTTTGCAATTTGTAAGTTTATGTTGTTTTTTGTCTATCACCATTACCCCTGTTACATTTTCTAAGTATAAAATATTTTTAGAGAAAAACTTTCTATTTTAGAATCTATAATGGCATTCTGTCCTCCCCCCTCCCCCTGGTTTTTGAATAAGGGACCCCATACTTCCATTTTGCTGAGAGGATGGCTGGGGTGAGAGAGGAGAAGATGAACCAGCACTCTGGAGAGCAGGTCTCCTGGACTTGTGGACAGATGCCGAATTAAACACCCACGCACTATCTTCTTAGGACAACCATTAGTTCTCAGAGACAAAAACTGAACCTGTAAGAAGGAAGAAAAATACTATCCTAACTCACTCAACATTTGCAGGGCTCTCTTCTTACACTCAAATCACTACTTCCTATTATTTTCACAGTGGGGTTAATTCCTTTCATTTATCCAGCAGCCTTCCTATTGTGCCCCTTTGAGCCTATAGGAGGAAAAGAAAGTGACATTTTTGGACTGTTAGTAGATGTTTCCTCAGCTTCATAGAATTTAAAATGACTGCTTTTACAAAGACTCAAACTTTTTTGATAAGGGTTCATCTATCTCAGAGATAGTTTCATTCTTGTAGATACAGATGTGATTTTCTATTTGCGCCCTCATAGGCTAATCCCGTATTTACAAAAATATTCTCAGTCTAATTTCTAAAGTGAGAATGACTTAGTTTTCAAACTGGAAAATGCTCTCTGAGGTGTCTAACTGGATCATCACATTGAACGTTATTATGAGCATTGGGTGAGTTTATTTCCTTCAATCCTACCTAGGATTTTATGAGTACGGTAGACATAATGCTGTTGATATAGCAGCTTGATACAACAAAACTTGATACAGCAGTCTTCCTCAAGCCTTGGAATTGTTATAAAGCATAAATTGAATCTCATGTCATATAAAGATAATAAAAATAAAAATCCACAGACATTTAAAAGTACAGAGTTAGCCATTAGTTATATGCACCTTCCCAACCATTTCTATTTAGGTTGCCAATTAAGATTAAATGAAGCAATGTTTCAACTTTTTCAATCTACAACCTTTTGCTCAGTATTTGAGATGAGCTACTAGGCTTTGACCTAGTCATAAAGCAGAGACTATGATGAAGAAAATGTATAAATAGATGTCTTACTCTAAAAAATGAACTCATGGAAGGCATTGAGTCTTCAAATATGTGACATGTTTATTTCTCTCTTGATAGCATATTCCTGTAAACTGCTATCAGCTCACATGCCTCATATTCAATTGAATTCAAACTCATTTGAGGTAAGTGATTTTTAAAAATTTGATTTAATATGAGTGTAACCAATTTGTTACTTCAGTGTTCCCCCATACCTTAAAATCTACATAAGTTGCCTTGAACTCTCAAGTCCATTAGACATTACCTCTGGTCCCCATTTCTTGCCTCATTCTTAGGCTAGTCCTTTATCACCCCTGCTTCTGACATCATACCAAATCCAACACTCAAATCTTTGATTTTAAAAATGCAAAAAAAAAAAAAAAAGAAAATACGTGTAAATAGCAGTCTTTATCAAAAGTTTGAGTAGATAGGTGGCATTTACATTGAAGGAATGAAAGGATTTTGTAATCCAATATTGAACCTCCTTGCCCTTAAAAATTAAATGGTTACAGCCATTTATTTTCTGTTAAATATTTTTTACTGTGTAATTTTCTTATCATTTAAAAAATTTTAAATAGATTTCATCTATTCCTTTTCAGTCTTCTTTTTTAAAATGTAGATCTCAGTTTCTGACATACATCATAATTATTCTCCATGAAAAACTTTAAAAATATTTCTTATGGGGCAGATCAGCTGGCATTGAATTTCCTCAGTTTTTGTCTGAGAAAAATCTTTATTTCTCTTTCACATTTGAAGGATAATTACACTGGATATAGAATTCTAGGTTGGTGTCTCTTGTTCCTTCAACACTTTCTTCTCAACTGTATGGTTTCTGATGAGAAGCTTGCTGTTTTTTACTTTATTCTTCCCTTTAACTTCTTTCAACATCTCTTCTGCCTTTGATTTTGTGGTTTGAATATGATATGCATAGGTGTAAATTTTTTGGTATTTATCCTGCTTGGTGTTTTCTAAGTTTCCTGGGTCTGTAGTTATGTGTTTGCTATTAGTTTGGGAACATTCTTAGTCATTTGTACTTAAAATTTTCCTTCTGTTCTCTTTCTCTTCTCCTTCTGATATTCCAATTAGCTGTATGTTAGACCTTTTAAATTGTCCCACAGTTCTTGAATATTCCATTCTGGGATTTTTTTTTTCTAATTCTTTTTTTTCCCTTTATATTTCAGTTTGGGAAATTTCTGTTGATATATCTTTAAGCTCATTAATTTTTAGACTTTGTGCAGTCTATTGTTGGGCCCAATAAGGGCACTCTTCATTTCTGTTAAGTGTTTTTTTCTTTTTTATTTCTAGCATTTCATTTTTATTCTTTCTTAAGTGTTTCTCTCTGCTTATCTTCCCCATTTGTTCTTTTATGTTGTCTATTTTTCCATTAGAGTCCTTAACATGTTAATCATAGCTTATTTTAAATTCACTGTCTGATACTTCAAAAATGTGTGTTATCTTTGAATCTGGTTCAGATGCTTGCTTTAGCTCTTCAGACAGTGCTTTTTCTTGCCTTTTAGCAAGTCTTGTAATTTTTGTTGAGAGCTGAATGTGATGAATGTGGTAAGAGAAATTGTGGTAAAGGCCTTTAATGTGAAGTCTTATGGTAATCTGGCTGTATTTAATGTTTGCTGCAGCTATACACATGAGAAGCTCCAAATTCCTCTAGTGTCGTTGTTTAGTCCCCCTTGTTGTCTTTGGGTTTCCCTAAGAACTCCTCCTTAAATAGATCCGCACCTCACAGTTCTTTCATGTGTAATGCACTGTTACTATACTGGGACCCCATTGGTGTGTGGTAAGGTGTGTGGGAAGAGAAGTGATCTTATGATTAAATCTCAGTCTTTTAGTGAGCCTGTGCCCCTGTGTCTTTATAAGCGTTTCTTAGCATCTTTCTCCCCTTGGGTGAGACAGGGAGGTTAGAGGGGGCTAGAATTGGGTAAATACCCTTCCCTTTAGGTGGGATAAGACTCTGGTAAAGTTTTTAACTTTGGAGACTAGGCTTTCATTATGGAGAATGCTCTGAACATATATCAAAATGGTCGCTTTCCCCCTCCTCCTTCCTGAACCATGAGGGGAATTTTTCTTGGCTTTTCTCCATAAGAACCTGGTGAGGTTTCTAGAAGTAAATCCACAAAAATGTGAGTCTTTACCCATCAAGATTGCAACCCAGGGAGTGTCTCATTTTCGTGGTAACCCATACTCAGCCTACATCAGTTCCTCAAAATTACCAGTTAAGTGTTCCTACCAGTTTGTGACTCTAGTATTACCTTCTGCTCCAGTTAAACAGAGCTCAGCTGTGATTATCTGTATTCCCTTGTCTCTTCAGATTTCTGGTGGAAGTTTGTCATGTGATCTCACCTATCTCTGATAGGTCCAAAGAAGGTTGGTTTTCACTTTGTTCAGCTTTTTTCTATAAGGATGAGAGTGGTGAATCCAAGCTCTTTATGTGTCATTGTTGAAATTTCAGTGCCTTTGACTAACTTTTGACTTTTAAGTTTGTACAAGGGACAGTACTCAAGTTTTTGAGAGGAATAAATTTGCATAAGTAATTAGATGAATGAGTTAGAATTTTCCAGAAGCTAGTCTTGTTAGTGAAGCTTACTATGGAAAACTCTGTCACTTACATATTGTGATTTACCTAGTGATCCCGGTACATTGTTTCTCTAAGATTTTCTCTATGTTTTAAGTTCCTGTTAACTTTAGAGTCATGTCATTTTCAAAACTCATTATTCTTAAATAATCATTACTTAGTTACTGATAGACTTGTTTTACATATGAAGCATATAATGCAATTTTCCCATATAATGTGCTACAGGTTGTGCTGCAGGATTTTACATAATCAGTGTTGGCAAATGACTCAGGTACTCATGTTCTAGAGTGAACCATGTTGGAAGAATTACCTTTACCTTCTGTTAACATTGGCAACAGAAGGACTGGTAAAGAGAACCAATTTAGGAGTAGAAGAAAAAAATAAGACATTAAACTAATAGCTTTAGCTCCAAGCATTTACTTGTTTTAAGAAGCTGTAAAATTGAAAGCAATATATTAGCTAGAAAAGCACCAAGTTTTGTGTTCACTAACCAAATGAAATATGAGAAGAATTATTAAAGTGAGGAAAACTTCAATTTTGCCAGATTATTTTGGGGCAACAAAATAGTCACTTGAGATCATTGATGGGATATGCAGTCCACTGTGTAGAAAAAGCAGAAGTAGAAATGTTTAATATGATACATATATATCATATATATTATACACACACACACACACACACACACACACACACACATATGTAATACCTCATAGTTCCTACACAGCATGAACTCAAATTTAAAGTGTTTGAATTCCATCTGTTATTAGACCTCCAGGTTTATAAAGCCTTCACTAATTCAAGGATTATTAAAGTAACTTTATTTTTGGGAAAAACAGTTATTTCATTTGAGTAATGAGTATTGAGTAATGAAGACCTTCTGAGAAAAATAGGGAGGAGGATTTTTTCATTAAAGGTTTTGGTGCTTGATGCCTGTTATGCTTTAAAAATTTTCCCCAGTTGGCACATTTTCTTAAAATTTCATTTATTAATACGTTTAGGGGAGATCATAAAAAAAATCTCTGATTTCTGTAGATCATTGAATATAACTGAAAATTATAGTTAAATAAAATAAATAATAAGCTTTTAAATATGATTTAGTATTTTATGGCATTCATTTCACACAGTCATAGAAGTAAAACAGAGTTGGTAAGAATCAAGAAATATTTTGGCAAACTTATTATTTCACTAATGTTTCAATAGAAAATGGTAACTGATGTATTTTATTTTACTTGTATTTGATGAAGAAATTTTTTTTAGCATTAATCTATATAACTTAAAATTTTATTACATATTTTCCTTAAAATTCCTGAATTTTCCACTCTGCTACTGGCATGAGGAGTCATTTCTCTAAAATTTTGATCTTCCAACAGTTTATGTGAATTATGAAGGAAGGAAAATTTGGGTGAGGAAAATAAGCTAAGGGAGGTGATGCCCACACATCTTAAATTGAGTGATGAGTCTTTACAACTTCTTTATTTCTCCCTTAGGAGCCTGAGACTCAGTTTTGTAGAGTACACTCCATTATTTTGTTCCCACCTTTGACATTTTTCTCAAAAATTTTCTGAACTTTCTGATATGCTATTAACATCCATCCATATTTTCCAACTGATATGAATTCACTCTTCTGTACCTTTTAAAAAACAGCTTTATTGAGATATAATCCACATCACATAAAATTTATGTTTAATGTGTACAATTCAATCTGTTTTAGTATTTTCACTTATATATGCAACCGTCACCACAGTCAACTTTTAGAACACTTTCATCAACTCTAAAAGAATCTCCCTACTTTTTAAAAAATTTTTTATTGTTATGTTAATCACCATACATTACATCATTAGTTTTTGATGTAGTGTTCCATGATTCTTTTTTTTTAAGATTTTATTTTATTTATTTGAGAGAGAGAATGAGAGAGAGCACGAGAGGGAAGAGGGTCAGAGGGAGAAGCAGACTCCCCGCTGAGCAGGGAGCCTGATGTGGGACTTGATCCCGGGACTCCAGGATCATGACCTGAGCTGAAGGCAGTCGCTTAACCAACTGAGCCACCCAGGTGCCCTAGTGTTCCATGATTCATTGTTTGTGCATAACACCCTGTGCTCCACGCAGAACGTGTCCTCTTTAATACCCATCACCAGGCTAACCCCCACCCCCCTTCCCCTCTAGAAACCTCAGTTTGTTTTTCAGAGTCCATCATCTCTCATGGTTCGTCTCCCGCTCCGACTTACTCCCCTTCATTCTTCCCCTCCTGCTATCTTCTTTTTGTACAGATCTGTGATTCAGCAGTCTTGCACAATTCACAGCGCTCACCATAGCACATACCCTCCCCAGTGTCTATCACCCAGCCACCCCATCCTCCCACCCCCCACCACTCCAGCAACCCTCAGTTTGTTTCCTGAGGTTAAAAATTCCTCATATCAGCGAGGTCATATGATACATGTCTTTCTCTGATAAGAATCTCCCTACTCTTTAGTTAATCATCTCTCTCATCCTCCTTCCCCCACCCTGAACAACCACTAATCTATTTTCTGTCTCTATGGGTTTGTTTATTCTCAACTTTCATGTGAATTGAATCATAATAGCATACAGTTTTTTGTGACTGGCTTCTTTAGTTACCACATTTTCAAGGTTCCTTCATGTCGTAGCATGCATTAATACCTCATAACCTTTTTATAGCCAAAGAATATTCCATTATATGGATATACCATATTTTGTTTATCCATTCATTAGGTTGTTATAACTTTTAGGCAGTTGTGAATAGTGCTGCTATAAACATACAAGTTTTGTGTAGACATTTGTTTTCATTTGTCTTGGGTATATATATGTATGAGTGGAATTGCTGGGTCATGGGTAAACTCCATGTTTACCCATCTGTGGAACTGTCAGACTATTTCCAAGGTGGCTACACCATTTTACCTTCCCAACAGCAGTGTATGGGAATTTTGCATTTCTCTATATCCCAATCAACACTTATTATCTCACTTTTTGATTCCAGTCATGTTAATAGATATGAAGTATTATCTCATTGTGGTTTCAATTGGCATTTCACTGATGACAAATGATGTCAATCTTCTTTTCATGTTATTTACTTTTTAATTTCAGTGAGCTATTTGAAGGAAAGAATGAGGTAAAAATATGCCTCAGTCTACCATCTTGATTCAGAAAGTGTTTTCATTTATATTTAAAATGAGAAAAATAAAGTTATTCCCTCCCCCCACCTTTGTTTTAGGCAACACAACAAGCAGTTACTCAGAACTGTGAAGCTCTTGGAACCCGGATAGGTAAAGAAAATGACCTGGCCCTCATCATTGATGGTGAAACACTGAAGTATGCCCTCCATTCTGAAATTAAGAGGAGCTTCCTCAATTTGGCCCTCTCATGTAGAGCAGTATTATGCTGTAGGTAAGGATATATTCACTGTTCTTTTTCCCTCCCTGCTATCTTTAACACTGTTTATATAAAGAAAATGTGGACATGGAAATACAAGTTTTTGTAGAAGCAAAGTTACTTATTAGTAAAATATATGCTGAAATTGAAGAGAGATATCTGAATTTAATTTTAATTGTCAGGCTTAAGATGTTACTAGAAAGCAGATTATAATTTTTCAGTGATAAATTGTTTAGTGATGTATTGACCAGATGAAAGACGTCTTTAGTAAGAACAAAAGCCCTCTATTTATAGTGAGGGGCAAATCTGAAAAAAATCCACCGATGTCTAGAAGAAAATGAAATTATCAGTATTAGTGCAAGTTAAAACATCAATTTAAAAAGGCAAAACATGTACAAGAAAGATGGCTGGCACTAAGAAAATAATGAAACTAGGTACAGAATAGTTGTTTCTTGCTCCTGAATGAAAATATTAAATGGACCAATTATTAAAACATCTTGATGCTTTGAACTTCTAAGTATTAATATAGATTTGCTCCTCAATCGAGTTCCTTATATGCTTCAAATGTTTCCCTTAGATGTCCTCCTGCGTTCACATTCATTCAGCATCTGCTACAAAAATTCAGCACCTTCTGTTCTTCACTCCACCCTCACTTGTCATGACTGTAGTTTAGCCTTTAGAATTCTTTGTGATTTAGTCTTCCATCAGTTAGAACTGAAAAAAAAAATAATGGAAAACTGAATTCAAATCCAGCTTGGGCAAAAAGGGAATTTATTGGCTCGCATAACTGAAAATTCTATAGGTAAAGCTGACTTCAAGGGAAGCAAGAAAATTCATCAATAGTCAATTCACCAAATTTTTTGTTCCTTTTAACTATTTAGATTTAATTGCCCAGTTTTCATTTTGCATCATATCAATATTTTAAGGAATGCTCACTTTTTCTTACTCAAACTTCCTACTCATGCTGGAGGAAGCAATGAGAGGACCTACTGAAGAAACAGAGAAAAGGAGAGAACATTTTGCCACCAAGGATGGATATTCCAGCAGTTGGCTTGCAATGACCTATTAGTGGTTTGTCCTAAATCTGGCTTTACTTGTGGTTTGATGTAGAGTTCAAATGGTGTCTCCCTTTTGATTCACCTGGTGCAGGCTTTATCCCCAGGCCAGATACCCTTTTGGCAGCAAGTTGGGGGTTGACAGACCCAAGCTTCACAACCTCATATGATTGCATGCAGAAGAAGATTCACATATGCTTTTTCCCAGAAATCTCAGCAAATGAGACATCATGTTTGGCTCTGAAAGATACTTGCTTTCAGGAGCCCAAGAGGAAAACAAAGGGATTATATACATGCTGGTAACAGTGGAAAGAGCCGATATACCCCTAGGTCCAAAGGGATCGGAGGAGGGAAGTAGTCACTGTAGCTGCAAAGAGAGAACCCTGCAGAGGGGACTGCTTCTAGAGGAGCCTTGAGCTGTGGTTGATAGACATAGCCCCCTGGAGAAGACATGGCAGGGAGGAGCAGGGAAATGTCCAACTTGACCTCACTCTCCTCCCTGTCCAGCTTCTGCAGGGGTCACTCATTGGCCAACCATGACAGCAACTCTCAATGATCCAGGTTTAAGTGGTTCATTGCCTTAGTTTCTCCACTTAGTCACTTCATCCCTTTAAGTCATTAAAGGGACTGTTCATCCCATTAGATGAACAGTAAACATAAATGAATACAAAACTGAAGTCTGTTGACTGAGCTATATCCTGAACTGAGGAAAGCAATTTGGTATGGAACTGGCTGAAACTAACTTACAAAGGGAGTGGTGGTAGGGGAGGAGAGTAGAGTCTGTCTCTAACATTCTTCATGGCTTCAAAATTTTATGAATTTTATTTTTATTTCTTTTTTTTTAAGATTTTATTTATTTGAGAGAGAAAGAGAGAGAGAAAGGGCAAGCACAAGCTGGGGGATGGGCAGAGGGAGAGGGAGAAGCAGACTCCCTGCTGAGCAGGGAGTCTGAGCCCAGCCTCAGTCCCAGGATCCCATAGATTGTGATATCTCAATCTCAATCTCAACACATTTGGGTCTTTCCTATATCCCTTTCTCTTACTGATTTCTAAGTTAAAGCTATTTTCAAATAAAATACTAGGTTTATTTATTTTTTCCCCTTGGTACTTTGTCATTCTGTTGTCTTCTGGCTTCCTTGTTTCTGATGAGAAGTTTGCACTGTTGTTACCCTGTATGTGACGATTCATTTTCCTCTTCCTTCTTTCCAGATATTTTTGTTACTTGGTTTCAGTTGTTTGGCAATGCTGGCTCTATACATGGTTCTTATTATATTTGTTCTCCTTTGGATTCAGGGGATCCCTAAATTAATGTTTTGTTTTGTTTTTACTAGATTGGAAAATTTCAATCATTATTTTTTCAAGGTTTTTTTTTCTTTCTACTTTTGATTTCCTTTACTTTTGGGACTCCGATCATATACATGAGTGAATGATTGATGTTGACTTGTGGCACCGCCACTACATTTTTCTTTAATTTTCCCTCTTTTCTTTTTGAATTGCATATTTTCTATTGATGTGACTTCAAATTCACTGATTCCTTCCACTATCTCAGATCTGATGTTAAGTTCATGAAGTACATTTTTCATTTCATCCCTAGAATTTCTATTTTTTAATATAGTTTCCATTCTTCTGCTGGGATATGCTGTTTGTTGACTCATAATTGTTACAATTTTCTTTGATTCTTCGGACATATTTTATTTCAATTCTATGAACATATTTATAATGCTGCTTTGAAGTTTTTGTCTGCAGAGTTGAGTCTTCACCCAATTACTTGGACAAGTTTGTGCCTCAACAATTCAAACCCTAAGACTTCTACCTCTGCTGCCAGGGCTATATGTGGTTGGAGCAATGCTTTCAGAAGTCTAACAGGTTGCAGCCTCTCTAGGCTGTTCCCTGCATATTCTTAATTTAGTGGTCCATCCAGAATATGTAGAAAGTTTATTATCTCAATGCTCCCATGATTCTTTTGTTGCAAAAATCTCCTTGTTAAATTTCTATCTGATTTTTTGCCCTCCCTGAACTAAGAGAGCCACCCCAGTTGATAAAGATGTGGGTGATCATCATCTGCTCCAAACCATATCCACCATGTCCAGATAGTAAATCTGCAGATTCTTGCCCCACTCCCAGGTCAGGGGAATACAAACACCTCCAGGAAAGGAGGTCACAAACTTGCTGCACTTACCTGATACAGTAATATCTTTTCATGAATAAACATATCTCAAGTTCTTTTCCACCTTTGGTCATTTTTCTGGTGAGATGAAATACTTGCTTTTAATCATTTTTTCCAGTTCCACACTTGTTTTCTTATTGAAGGAAATTGTCCAGTGTCCTTATATGCCATTAACAGGTATAGAAAGTTTTCTTAAAAATTTAACCAACAATTTGCTTACTGAATGTCACTTAGAAATAAAAAAGTTTAGATAGTTGGAGAGTGTCATACAGTATTTGTTATAATTGCTTCATCAGTGGCACTCAGGTGAACATAATTAAAAGAGAAAAATTATTTTTTAAAAGTCAATTTATGAAGCTGTAGACTTATTTTCCCCATAATTCTTATCACTATATGCCATAATTTTTGTTTTACTTACTTGGTTTATTGTCTCTCTCCTCTCCACTGCAATGTAAACTTCATGAAGGCAGGGATATTTATATATTTTATTTTCTGCTCTATCTTCTCTATCAAGGATTGTGCCTAGCTCATAGTAGGGACATAAATATTTGTTGAATAAATAATAATTGCTGAATATGAGGTTACCTTTAAGTAGCTTACTCAGCAAATTGCAAGCACAAATATAGCAAAAACACTTGTTTATATATCTAAGAAAACATCTGTGCCGTACAATATGTTGAATCTATTTTACAATTTTTAAAAGGCTTTTATTTAAATTCTAGTTAGTTAACATATAGTGTAATACAGTTTCAGACGTACAATATAGTGATTCAACCCTCCCATACATCAGCCGGTGCTCATCACCTGTGCACTCCTTAATCTTCATCACCTATTTAACCCAAATTTTGAGTGGAAACCATTTTATTTTTTATTCCTCACACTGATTATATTGATAAAGAAGTCAATAGTATGTGCCCATGGAAAAACCATGACATTATTCCAGCCAATCTGTTTATTTATCTCTGTATATTTTTAATCCATGAAAATAGATGATAAAAGTACTGCAATTTTTGAATTACTCAAATGGGACTCGAGTATTTTATAGGTTGGAATCTATTATGTGTTCTTTATAAATTATTGTTGAATTTATTATTTGCTTCCATGTTATAGATTAAAAATCAAAATGAGAGTTGACATGTAAAATACTATTTTTGGAAAGTAAAGATGTCCATTTGGATGAGAAGAGTAGAAATGAACTGTTTAATGTCTGTTTTGAATTCCTAAAACTATTTTTTAGGGCTGTGTTTTCTTATCACTTTTGTGCTCTGAAACAGCATATTGACTTTTTTCCTATCCTGAATAGATTTCTCCCCTTTCAATTTTTGTGACTAGATGGCTAGGGACTTCTATGTTGTTTCAGTCAATAGAATGACAAGATGAATTTGGCCAGACATGAGTGTAAATACCATCAATTGGGTATAACCCTAAAATTTCAGGATTAGGGAAATTTGGCTTAATGCCCATACATGGACACATGACCTAAAGTGTTTTATTAATTGGAGCTCAATTAACAGATGGTTATTAAAGGACTAATATTATTTTAGGATTTATTTTCATATATGGTTGGGGAGGACCCAAAATCAGAATAGTGATGATCCACTTCTATTCTTAACTGGTCAGAACTGACTTGGAGCTTTGGTGAAAGGCCTAGAACCACATTACCAAAGGACTGAAGGACTCAGTGATGTTTAGCAAGGGGAGAAGAAGGTTTAGTGGGTCCCTGACAGTTCTTTTCTTATATTTTGGAGAGCTTGGTCGGCCCAGAGGATAGAATTAGGATTTGAAAGTTTAAAGAGTGAAATTTGGGATTAATATGAGGTAGTTTTTCTTTTTTCCACAAATATCGCAGTCTGAATATAAAAGTAGTTGCCAGACTAAATGGTGAAATTATTATCATTGTCGGCATTCCAGCAAAACAACCAGCATCTCTTGATGGAAACGAAACATACAAATGGTTTCTGGAACATCCTCTACTTCAGTAACTTTTCATACTGTGACGACAAAGTAATGTTAACTCATTATATTTTCTTCATTATGAAGCAAAAGTTTTTCCATCTGTGCTTCTGTCTTAAAATTTGGAGTGTGAGCTAGTCAAGGAAGCCTATCTCCTCAGTTTTTAATAATCTCACCTAAAATTTGAAAGGTTTAAATTTAAATTAGTTTGTAGGAGCTGTTTTGTGGGAAGGGGGATGATCATTCAATTACTAGAAAACAAAACCTTTTTGTGTCTCTTATTTTTTGGATAGAGGTGTGTATCCAATTCATTTAGTGGATGAATACATAAGTGATGAATAAGAGATAAAAATTTTTTCTTCTCTTTCCTTGATATATCTGTAAGTATTTTGTGTAGACAGGGTCTGTTAGCCTGAAATATTTTAGGAATACTAAATTTGCTTTTGTAAGCTCATCTGAGGGGGGGAAAAGGATCAACAGTATTCTCATTTATTGGACACATACAATGGAAAGAAACAAACATCTGTTATGTTAGGTTACTTTGCTTTTGTTTGTTGTTATCACAGACTCGCCTGACTGACACCTTCATGTTTTTACATCTCCTTGTATTTTTCAAGTTCACTTGAAGGTACTTTGATTTTCATAGGCTAGTCTACAGGCTATCCTTTGGGTAAATGCCTTCATATAGTTTCAGAAATCTTCACTTCTTGCTCTCGTTTAGGTAGATGATATAAATTAATAGAGCAGGCCAGTGTTAGGTAACAGGGAGTGATGGGGAGAAAGGCAAACTGAAGAGTTTATCTCCATGTAAACTGGGCAACTGCTATTGTGTATTTCTTTTGGATGTTAAAGAAGTTACTGTGTGGTTTCTTTGCTTTTCTTTTTATTTTGGGTAAGGGTGGGAGGGAACTTTTTAGGAAAAATGGAGTGTAGTTGACACACAATGTTACATTAGTTTCAGGAGTAGGACACCGTGATTGGACATCTCTATATGTTATGCGATGCTCACCACGAGTGGAGCTCCTGTCTGTCACCAGACAACACTATTACAGTTCCACTGCCTGTATTCCCTGGGCTGTGCCTTTTATCCCTACGACTTACTCATTGCATAACTGAAAGCCTGTACCTCCAGGTCCTCCTCACCCATTTTGCGCATCCCTCCATTCCCTCCCCCTCCGGCAGCCATCAGTTTGTTCTTTGCATTTGTAATTCTGATTCTGCTTTTTGTTTGTTCATTTGTTTTTTTCGATTGGTGGGTGGAACATATTTATATATGTAAAAAGCTTAATTAATGGCTTGGGAAATGTACCCGTAACTGATATTTAAAGGTGGTTACGTGTAGATCATTGTTGACTCCTTGTTAAAGACTTTGTGAACAAAAACAAAACAGTAAAAAAATGGTGGTTTCTGTCTTCTTTTTCAGGTTATCTCCCCTCCAGAAGGCAGAAATAGTGAACTTGGTTAAGAAGCATGTAGGGGCCATCACTCTTGCCATTGGGGATGGTGCTAATGATGTTGGGATGATCCAGATGGCCCACGTGGGTGTGGGAATCAGTGGGAATGAGGGCGTGCTGGCCACCAACAACTCAGATTATTCCATTGCACAGGTCAGTAGTGTGGGCATGAGATTATTGGAATATCTTGAGTCTATCCCCGAGGCCTACCCCGCTCTTTAAGCTGCTTTTCATATGAAACTACCAACACATTTGGGGTTTTCTTTCGTTTTGTCCTTATGCACTTTGCAGCAAAAAAAGTTTTCCTTGAGCAGTTATGGAGTTGGTCATACTGATGCCACCAAGAATCTATAGCTCTGTTAATACAATCTCTAAATCCCCAGTCTCTTTAGTCTGTAATGTGTGCTTTTCTTTGTGGTGTCTCTCAATGGAGATTTCTTAAAGACTTATAATCTCCCCATTTCTGCTTTTTAAAAAGTAGGCATTGCCTCTTGGCAGGCATTTAAAAAAAATAGACTGTATTTTAGAGCAATTATAGCTTCACAACAAAATTGAGCAGAAAATATAGAGTTGCCATATATTCCCCGCCTTCCTCCACAAACTCCCCCATCATCAACATCCCCCACCAGAGCAGTATATTTGTTATAACTGATGAACCTACATTGACACATCATTATCATCACCCAAAGTCCACAGTTTACATTAGGGCTCACTCTTAGTGTTGTATATTCTATGGGTTTGGAGAAATGTATATTGACAAGTATCTACCATCACAGTATCATACACAGTAGTTTTACTGCCTTAAAAATCCTCTGCACTCTGCCTATTCATCATTCTCTCCATGCATGAACCCTTGGCAACCACTGATTTTTGTACTATCTCCATGGTTTTGTCTTTTCCAGAATGTCATATTCATACAGTATGGCTTCTTTCACTTAGTAATATGCATTGGAGTGTCCTCCACGTCTTTTATGGCTTGATAGCTCATTTCTATTTAGTGATGAGTAATATTCCACTTTCTGGACGTACTTTATCCATTTGTCTACTGAAAAATATCTTGATTATTTCCAAGTTTGGGCAATTATTAATAAAGCTGTTATAAATATCCATATGCAGGTTTTTTTGTGTGGACATGAGTTTTCAACTTTGGATTTATACCACAGAATGTAATTGCTAGATCATATAGTAAAAATATAAAAGTATGTCTAGTTTTGTAAGAAACTGCCAAACTGCCTTCCACAGTAGCTGTACCATTTATTGGAAGGCATTTAAGCAGTGTGTGTGGTCTGTGATTTACAGCCTTTGTATATTTATGTAATATCCTAGGCTGTTTAACAAGAATACCTCCTCCTTCTACATATTAATATTTTGACTTTTGAAGAATATTTTAATCAGTAATTTAAGATTAGCTTTTAATGGATCTAGTATTTTATCACAGTTGAGCAACTAAGAATAACACTTTTCAATTTTGCTGAATTCAGGAGCCACCTGTAATTCTTGAACATTCCTTAGGAATAATCCCATATGCTGAGTAGGCCTTCCCTGCTGGGGCTATTCTTATGGTGGCTGTCCCTGAGGGGCTAGATGATTTAGTACCCTGTCCACAGGTAAACAGATGCCTGAAACTGGAGTGGTAACAAAATGGATTCCTAGGATTTTACAGCATAGATGAAAAGCATATTACCCCAGTGTTTGAATCAGATCCATTCTGAGACCCTTCTTCTTACTTACAGGTTAAGTGTTCTGGTTTTATAGCAGGGAAAACTAAGGCTCCTCTGTGCTAGAGTATTTGTGTTGGCGGGGGGGGAGAGTGTCAGTAAACCATGATCAGAGCACCTGTGTCTGTAAATAAGCAAATGGCCACCAAATTCACCTAATTGTGTCCTAAACTGCTACATGCTATTAGGATACATACTTCCAGTGATCTCAGCAATTATATGTGACATAAGCCTTGAACTACTAAACACTGTAGACACACCAAGCTGGCCAGTATCAGGAGTCCTGGGGATCCAGAAAAACATTTCTGGCTTTTTTGTTTGATTTTTTAGATTCCACATTAGAAGTGAAATCAAATGGTAGTAATCTTTTTCTGTTGGACTTACTTTACTGAGCACAATATCTACTAGGTCCATTCATGTTGTCGCAAAAAGCAAGATTTCATTCTTTTTTATGGCTAATATTCCATTACACACACACACACACACACACACACACACACACACAATCTTCTTTATCCATTCACCTATTGATGGACACCGAGGTTGCTTCCATATCTTGGCTATTGTCAGTAATGCTTCAGTAAACATAAAGGTGCAATAATACCTTTTCAAGTTAGTGTTTTTGTTTTCTTTGGGTAAATACACAGTAGTGGAATTACAAGATTATTTGGTATTTTTAATATTTCAAGGAACCTGAATACTGTTTTCCTCAGTGGCTGTACCAGTTTGTATTCCCACCAAAGTGCATGAGGGTTCCTTTTTCCCCACAGCCTCACCAACACCTGGTATTTCTTGTCTTTTTGATTCTAGCCATTCTGACAGGTGTGAGGTGATATTTCATTTTGGTTTTGATTAGCATTTCCCTGCAAATTAGGTGATGTTTGGTGCAAATTAGGTGATTGGTGATGTTGAGAATATTTTCATGTGTTTGTTTGCCATCTGTGTATCTTCTTTGGAAAAATATCTATTCATGTCCTCTCCCCATTTTTTAAAGTTTTTATATGAATTCCAGTTAGTTAACATACAGTGTAATATTAGTCTCAGGAGTACAACATAGTGATTCAACACTTCCATAAAATACCCAATGTTCATCACAAGTGCACTCCCTAATCCCCATCACCTATTAAACCCACCTCCTCCAAACCTCTGCCTTTTTAAATTGGGTTATTTACAGTTTTGGGGTGCTCAGTTGAATAGCTTCATTATATATTTTTAATATTATCCCTTATCAAATATATAATTTTCTTTTTTTTTAAGATTTTATTTATTTGACAGAGAGAGACACAGTGAGAGAAGGAACACAAGCAGGGGGAGTGGGAGAGGGAGAAGCAGGCTCCCTGCTGAGCAGGGAGCCCGATGCGGAACTCAATCCCAGGACCCTGAGATCATGACGTGAGCTGAAGGCAGACGCCCATCGACTGAGCCACCCAGTTGCCCCATCAAATATATAATTTTCAAATGTCTTCTCCCACTCAGTTGGTTGCCTTTTCATTTTGTTGATGGTTTCCTTAGCTGTGTAAAAGATTTTTGTTTTGATGTAGTCCCCATAATTTATTTTTACTTTTGTTTTCCTTGCCTGAGGACATATATATAGAAAAGTGTTGCTAAAGGTCAATGTCCAGGAGATTGCTGCCTTTTTTTTCCTTTTTCAAGTTTTTATTTAAATACAGTTAGTTAACATACAGTGTAATATTAGTTTCAGGTGTAGAATTTAGTGATTCATCCCCTACAACACCTAGTGCTCATCACAAGTGCCCTGGAATTCAGGTCTCACATTTAGGTCATTAATTCATTTTGAGTTTACTTTTCTGTATTATATAAGAAAGTAGTCCAGTTTCATTCTTTTGCAAGTGGCTTTCCAATTTTCCCAACATCTTTTTTGAAGAGACTTTTTCCCCATTGTATATTCTTGCCTCCTTTGCTATAAATTAATTGGCCATGTAAGTGTGGGATATTTCTCAGCTCTCTATTCTTTTTTTTATTATTATTAACATACAATGTATTATTTGTTTCAGGGGTACAGGTCTGTGATTCATCAGTTTTTTTTTAAATTATGTTATGTTAATCACCATATATTACATCATTAGTTTTTGATGCAGTGTTCCATGATTCATCGTCTGCGTACAACACCCAGTGCTCCATGCAGTACGTACCCTCCTTAATACCTATCACCAGGCTAACCCATCCCCCCACCCCCCTCCCCTCTAGAACCCTCAGTTTGTTTTACAGAGTCCATAGTCTCTCATGGTTCATCTCCCCCTCTGATTTCCCCCCCTTCATTTTTCCATTCCTGCTAGCTGCTGCTGTTTTTTTGTTTTTTTTGTTTTTTTTTAACATATAACGTATTATTTGTTTCAGAGGTATAGGTCTGTGATTCAACAGTCTTACACAATTCACAGTGCTCACCATAGCACATACCCTCCCCAATGTCTATCACCCAGCCACCCCATCCTCCCACAACCCCAACCCTCCAGCAACCCTCAATTTGTTTCCTGAGATTAAGAGTCTCTTATGGTTTGTCTCCCTCTCTGGTTTCATCTTGTTTCATTTTTTTCTCTCTTCCCCTATAATCCTCTACCTTGTTTCTTAAATTCCGCATATCAGTGAGATCATACTAAAATTGTCTTTCTCTGATTGACTTATTTCCCTTAGCATAATACCCTTTAGGTTCCATCCACATTGCTGCAAATGGCGAGATTTCATTTTTGATGGCTGCATAATATTCCATTGTGTATATATACTACATCTTCTTTATCCATTCATCTGTTGATGGACATCTAGGCTCTTTCCATAGTTTGGCTATTGTGGACATTGCTGCTATAAACATTGGGGTGCATGTGCCCCTTTGGATCCCTACATTTGTATCTTTGGTGTAAATATCCAGTAGTGCAATTGCTAGGTTGTAGGGTAGCTCTATTTTCAATTTTTTGAGGAAACTCCATACTGTTTTCCAGAGTGGCTGCACCAGCTTGCATTCCCACCAACAGTGTAGGAGGGTTCCCCCTTCTCCGCATCCTTGCCAACATCTGTTGTTTCCTGACTTGTTAATTTTAGCCATTCTGACTGGTGTGAGGTGGTATCTCATTGAGGTTTTGATTTGTATTTCCCTGATGCCAAGGGATGTTGAGCATCTTTTTATGTGTTTGTTGGTCATTTGTGCGTCTTCTTTGGAGAAATGTCTGTTCATGTCTTCTGCCCATTTCTTGATTGGATTATTTGTTCTTTGGGTGTTGAGTTTGATAAGTTCTTTATAGATTATGGATACTAGCCCTTTATCTGATATGTCATTTGCAAATACCTTCTCCCATTTTGTCAGTTGTTTTTTGGTTTTGTTGATTGTTTCCTTTGCTGTGCAGAAGCTTTTTTATTTAATGGATTCCCAATAGTTCATTTTTGCCCTTCCCTTGCCTTTGGAGATGTGTCTAGCAAGAAGTT